TGGACACCTCGTCTGCAGGCACAATAACATACCATTTAACGTCATTATCGAAGAAAGCTCATCTCTGTTTTGTTTTCATTTTAGATTTCAAACTGCAAATTCCTTTAAGACTGGTGGACCGAATGAAATTAGCCTACTCGAAAGGTGAATCCAACACAATTCATAGGTATCTTAAAATTCATACTCCAATTAACGGACGGGATTTCACGATATTCAGGACCCTTCATAAAAAGCCCTCGTAGCTTAGGCTTTGTCGAACAGCTAGGTGAGCTAGCAATAAAACGTTGTCGATATGGATTCTTGTGAGGAATCCAGTAAAAACGAACGACCATTCCTAGTGAGATGTCTCGAACGGTTTAGTGAGCATCACATGTTTTTCGAAATTGGGTCGTTTCTCGAGGGTGACGTAGTTACTTGCCTTGCTATTGTAGAGTGTATTGACAGACGAGGCTGGTACCTGTGGATAAAGCGATGTGCTGTAGTCTCGTTCTTGTTGGTTTCCGGAGAGTGATTGTGAACTTTGAACATATAGCTTATTTTTTTTATCATCAAAGCCAGTCGTCAGATACTTATATATGTGTGTGTGTATAAAGAACACTCTGGTTCCATTTGATAGCGAAGTTAGTATGTAGTGTTGTTTTGGCATGCGTTAGCGCATTTAGGCGAGACATGCCCTCGGGGTTTTCAACTCGTGTCGTTATCTCGGCTAATCTAAACGCGTTTGGACTTGGAAATTTTGAATGTACCTCATTGAGATAAGCTCTATCGTATATAAATTTTGAGGTCTATAGTATGTGTTATATTTCCTGAACCTTGGAGCTAAGGAGCAATGATAGATCCATCATCCATGCATCACGTGTCCTAATTTTGAAACATTATATGATAGCTCAAGAGTATACAATGATAGTGAACTAGATAAGTGTGATATGACAGCGAATCATGGTAGCGCCGTTTTAGTTTACATTGATAGTGAACTTTAGAAGAGTACATTTGTATCATGTCAATGAACAGCGATAGTGATTCATCATAGTGAACTCTGATAGTGTACCGTTGCGGCTGGTAAAATCTGATAGTGCACTCTGAGAATGAACAGGATAATATACTCTGATAGAAAACTCCGGCAATAAGCACGTGGAGTGTTTACTGGTAGAAGTTTATGATAATTCCGTATTTACGTAATGCAGAGTTATCTGCCCTTGTGAACAGATGACCGTACGTCACTGGTTTAAGTAAGAAAACTAGCAGTTTTCTCCAAAATTTTATGACGTGTCTCCCAGACTCAAACGATGCAACAATCAGTACCTGCTCACAACAACAGACAAAACTGTATTACGAAAGACGGAATGAACACCAATGAGGAACTGAAACAATATACCCTGATAATATAACATGATAATATACCCTGATATTATACCCTGATAATATAACATGATATTATATTCTGACGGTGTACCCTGATAATATAACATGATAATATACCCTGATATTATACCCTGATAATATAACATGATAATATACCCTGATATTATACCCTGATAATATAACATGATATTATATTCTGACGGTGTACCCTGATAATATAACATGATATTATATCCTGACGGTGTACCCTGATAATATAACATGATATTATACCCTGATATTATACCCTGATAATATAACATGATAATATACCCTGATATTATACCCTGATAATATAACATGATAATATACCCTGCTATTATACCCTGATAATATAACATGATAATATACCCTGATATTATACCCTGATAATATAACATGATAATATACCCTGCTATTATACCCTGATAATATAACATGATAATATACCCTGATATTATACCCTGATAATATAACATGATAATATACCCTGATATTATACCCTGATAATATAACATGATATTATATCCTGACGGTGTACCCTGATAACATAACATGATATTATATTCTGACGGTGTACCCTGATAATATAACATGATATTATATTCTGACGGTGTACCCTGATAATATAACATGATATTATATTCTGACGGTGTACCCTGATAATATAAGATGATATTATATTCTGACGGTGTACCCTGATAATATAACATGATATTATATTCTGACGGTGTACCCTGATGATATAACATGATAATATAACATGATAGTATACCATGAAAGTATACGTTGAAAGAGTACCATGATAACAAACACTGAAAGCGTACCATAAAATAATTCATTTCAATCAGGGTCTCAAAAAAACAGATTAAAGACAGCACAAACCCGACGGTACTAATCCCGTCTTGGATCAAAGCTTTCATTCTTTTATCCGATCAGCCGATTACACTAACAGAACAATCATCTTTATTAATATGAATGTAGAAAGTTTGTAGACATAATGAGGTTAAGTTTTGAAAACAATCTATCCACTGGTTACTTATCCATAGTTGGAACGTCTAAGTTTTTTACCACGACAGAATTTACTTACCAAACGTTGGGACTGTGAGTCTTTATCAAGACAATATTTTACTTACCAAAAATTGACAGGTGTGAATCTATACCAAGACAGTTTGTTACTTACCAAAAGTTTGGTAGCGTGAATCTTTACCAAGACAGTTTCAACAATGTTTCACATTGTTCTACACGAATCAAATGGATGGATGTTTAATGAGGAAAGAAATGTAATCTCCTCACACGACCTGATAAAGTAGCGAGAAAACAAGGAATTAAACCCGGGAATTCTATCCTCATCACACGCCCTGAAAAAGTAAGTATTCAAAAACATTATATTAAAATCTCCTAACACGCCCTTATAAGGTAAGTTGTCAAAAACATTGAATTAAAGTCGGGAACTGTAGCCTCGTCACACGCCTTTATAAAATAGGTTGTCAGAAACAAGGAATTAAAGCCGGGAACTGTAGCCTCCTCACACGCTCGGATAAAGTAAGTTGTCAAAAACAAGGAATTAAAGCCGGGAACTGTAGCCTCGTCACACGCCTTTATAAAATAGGTTGTCAGAAACAAGGAATTAAAGCCGGGAACTGTAGCCTCCCCAAACGCTCGGATAAAGTAAGTTGTCAAAAACAAGGAATTAAAGCCGGGAACTGTAGCCTCGTCACACGCCTTTATAAAATAGGTTGTCAGAAACAAGGAATTAAAGCCGGGAACTGTAGCCTCCTCACACGCTCGGATAAAGTAAGTTGTCAAAAACAAGGAATTAAAGCCGGGAACTGTAGCCTCGTCACACGCCTTTATAAAATAGGTTGTCAGAAACAAGGAATTAAAGCCGGGAACTGTAGCCTCCTCACACGCTCGGATAAAGTAAGTTGTCAAAAACAAGGAATTAAAGCCGGGAACTGTAGCCTCCCCAAACGCTCGGATAAAGTATGTTGTCAAAAACAAGGAATTAAAGCCGGGAGCTGTTGCCTCCTCACACGCCCTTATAATGTAAGTTGTCAAAAACAAGGAATTAAAGCCGGGAACTGTAGCCTCCCCAAACGCTCGGATAAAGTAAGTTGTCAAAAACAAGGAATTAAAGCCGGGAACTGTAGCCTCCCCACACGCTCGGATAAAGTAAGTTGTCAAAAACAAGGAATTAAAGCCGGGAGCTGTTGCCTCCTCACACGCCCTTATAATGTAAGTTGTCAAAAACAAGAAATTAAAGCCAGGAACTGTAGCCTCCTCACACGTTTTATTTAATGAAGTAACCTACCAATAGTTATACATTAAGTTTCACGACTTTTTACACCAAAGTCACATATGATTTTATTGATCCGTACTGTACATAACTAATAACGCACAGGAAAGTTGCGTTATAACAAACTCAAACTCAAAATTGCAAAGACGAGGGCAAACTATGATTACAGGGGAGACCCTTGAAAAGGTACTATGATCAGGTGTTCCTGAAGGGTTAAGGTTTATATTTCATCGGCGACATCCGCCTCGTAAATTATTGACAAACGAGAACAACCAAACCAGTAGACATAATCATCAATAGCCACCGAAAAACTTCCACAAATAACTTACCACAACCTCCAACCCTCGACCTCCTGTTGAACCTTCATACGTCAGCTGTTCAAATCGTTCACATAAATCGGGATATTGGGAACAAACTTTGTAATATTTAATCGAGTGCGAAGCTTAAATCCGACAGGTTGTGAGATTATAGATTGTACCAAAAATGTACAAAGAAATTAAAAAGTAAAATTATTGAAATTAAAAGTTTCACGCTTATCTTACAGCTTAATTACAGGCTTGACAGTGAAGATCGCGGTTAGTGACTTGTGTAGATGTGTCTTCATTACATATATCTAAAAACAATTGTTCCACCTTTCTAAGATTCTACAGCACTGCTAGGAACAAAAGTGTGTGAAAATCAGGAAAGAAATAAGAAAATGTCAATAGTTGAAATACATATACCTTCAGTATTCGTACAGGATTATAACAAAGAAACACAGATGGCGAAACAGACATAGAAGTTAAATGATCAGAATAATTAACTAGTTGGCAGTCTGGAAGGTAAACCCGTCCAAAAACGCCTAAACTTTATAAAATCCTAAATCGAATGCAACAACTAACATGATCTGATCAGAAAATTTACTTATTTTTTCTTGTGCTGTATGAAGTTAGATGTGTTCGTTATTATACCTTATAGTTCTCGTTTAAATGCGTGAAATTACAGGGACTTAGCCAGATTAACATGTCGGATATAGTCGATTAAGCAAAAGAAACATCTATTTCCGGAACTCTTCTTGTGTGCAATTTCGAAGTATAAAATCAGGAGAGTTTAATTTGATATGAACAGGTTAGATTCTGTGGGTAAGATTGTTTTATATAAAGTCGAAAATGCAATATAGAAAGAAACGTTTTTAAAAAATAACGCCTTCTAAATGGAAATTAAAAACTATTATTTTTTCATTGAAACAGATCTCACCATTCGTCGCTGTACGTCATCAAAAGTAGTTGTCTACGTCGTTGATATAGATGCACTCACTTTAGCTGTACTGTAAACTACAAAGATGTCGATGTCGTCGAAGTCGCTCTTCTTGCTGAAAACACGTGACCTGAGCGTGCAGGATCATAGCATGAACATTGAAGTGATGTTAGCGCCAAACAGAACATATTTGTTGATGAACAAACACAAAACTCTGACAGCCAAAAGTAACAAACAGAAGGATGATGTAGAGAGACAACGAGACTCCTCCACACACTCGTATGTCTCCGAGAAACGTCTCGTGGACCGTCGGAATCAGGAGTTCTATATCAAAAGGGTCAACATGTTTCTGAATCAGTTACAACCCAGCGTGCGCACGACTGTCCTAGACAGGAAGTCGTTTTCTCCCAGTTTGAATAAAATACAGTATGAAAATAAACAGGCATCAGAGGCAGTCCAAACGGCAAAGAATAAGCCCAGAGTGAAATCAGAGCCTCCCACACCTCGAGGTTCAATCAATTCAAGCTTCCCTCTGATTCCCACTGACAGACGTCAATCTAAGTCATCTGTAGGCTTTCACGAGAGGGCGAATGATAAAGACAATGTTACAAAACAGACCGACACTTACGGTCGTTCGAGGGTCTCTGTAAAAGGAAATAGTCTAACCATTCAGGGAAGTCGATTTCAAAATGAAACCAGATCAAACGTAGAAGGTTGTATCTCTCCCACCTCAGGATACTTTCCCCCAGTGTCGCCGACTCACAATATCACTAGGGACGCTATCACACCGGTCAATCAGATTCCATCACCACAGCCGGTTACAATGGACCGGAAGCGGACGAGTTCGTTACTACCGGAGAGAAAGAAAGTCAAGTTTGTACCGCCTAAGGACCAGAATGGATATAAAAAGTGGGAAGAGACACAAATGAAAGAAAAACGTAAAGTTAAATATCTAGATAAAAAAATTGAAAGATTCATGCTTGATCAGATAAGATTCAACCAAGCCAACAGAATATCGCACTACGACCCCCAGAGGCGCGCTGCCAGCACCACGGAAGACAGTAAATATTCCAATAAAGGTAATCTTATCGAGATGTTTGACGCTTTTTGTCAAACAGGTGGTAAACAGCAAATGCATAAGCTTGTCAAGATGGCCGCCAGAATGAAAGTAAAGAAGAACACAAGCACAACCAGTACATCGTTAGCTCCTTCCGTCGCGTCCTTCAAGAACTCTCAGACATTTAAACACTTGAACCAAGTACTCGTGAGGTAGAGAACTGTGGTAGTGACTTACTGCGAGCAAGATTAAAGTCTGGGACACAAAATTTGAATGTTAATCACTCGACGAAGGGGAATATCGATTCTCTGGAAGAATGCATTTCTGTTGAAAATAAAGCCATTGTTTATCTATGATAATTAATAACTTAATGTCTTTTTTTTTTTTTTTACAAATATCCATCGCATGGTCTTTATAGAATTTCTCTGATATTTAAGCAGTCCAGTGTCTGTTAGTATGTTCATAAAGTCAATGTTTAAACATCATTCGCCTGGTACGACCTTTATAAAACACACACTTACACTCGTACATGTATCATGTCTAAGTCTGCCATGTGTAGATCTACTATAATGATCTATCAATCTCTATCCTTACCCCACAAATCATAAACCCCATCGACCTATTTTTCCACCATGTTTGCCATAGACTTGATCAATCTCTACCAGTACCCACTTTAAAACAGCGAATTCAATTTCTGCCCGAACAATAATTACCTTGTACCCCATTGTCCGTATCCAAACTACCATAGACCCAATACATCATTGTCCGTATCCTAACTACCATAAACCCCATACAACATTGTCCGTATCCTAACTACCATAGACCCAATACACCATTGTCCGTATCCTAACTACTATATACCCCATACACCATTGTCCGTATCCTAACTACCATAAACCCCATACATCAGTGTCCGTATCCTAACTACTATAGTCCCCATACATCATTGTCCGTGTCCTAACTTCCCCAATACACCACGTATCCACTACCATAGACCCAATACACCCATTGTCCCCATACATCATCCTAACTACCATAGACCCAATACACCATTGTCTGTATCCTAGCTACCATAGTCCCCATGCAACATTGTCCGTACTACCATAGACCCAATACACCATAGACCCAATACACCATTGTCCGTATCCTAACTACCATAGTCCCCATACATCATTGTCCGTATCCTAACTACTATAGTCCCCATACATCATTGTCCGTGTCCTAACTACCATAGACCCAATACACCATTGTCCGTATCCTAACTACCATAGACCCAATACACCATTGTCTGTATCCTAACTACCATAGTCCCCATACATCATTGTCCGTGTCCTAACTACCATAGACCCAATACACCATTGTCCGTATCCTAACTACCATAGTCCCCATACATCATTGTCCGTGTCCTTACTACCATAGACCCAATACACCATTGTCCGTATCCTAACTACCATAGACCCAATACACCATTGTCCGTATCCTAGCTACCATAGTCCCCATGCAACATTGTCCGTATCCTAACTACCATAGACCCAATACACCATTGTCCGTATCCTAACTACCATAGTCCCCATACATCATTGTCCGTGTCCTAACTACCATAGACCCAATACACCATTGTCCGTATCCTAACTACCATAGACCCAATACACCATTGGCCGTATCCTAACTACCATAGACCCCATACAACATTGTCCGTATCCTAACTACCATAGACCCAATACACCATTGTCCGTATCCTAACTACCATAGACCCGATACATCATTGTCCGTCCCTAACTACCATATACCCTATACATCATTGTCCGTATCTTAACTACCATAGACCCCATACATCATTGTCCGTATCCTCACTACCATAGATCCCATTAATTCTTATTCGAATCCTCCTGGTCATATCCCCATCAATATCTACCCCTACCCACTTTACCATAGCCCTTCCAATATCCGTTCAACCATAGACACTGTCTACCCGCACTCTCCTCACAACAGATCTTATCAATGTCTACTCGTACCTTCCTTACCATAGACCCATCAATGTCTACCATACCCTCCTTACCCTAGACAAAATAAATGTCTACCCGCACCCTCCTTACCATAGACCCATCAATTCCTACCCGCACCCTCCTTATCATAGACCCATCAATGTCTACCCGCACCCTCCTTACCATAGACCCATCAATGTCTACCCGCGCCCTTTTTACCATAGACCCATCAATGTCTACCCGCACCCTCCTTACCATAGACCCATCAATGTCTACCCGCACCCTCTTTACCATAGACCCATCAATGTCTACCCGCACTCTCCTTACCATAGACCCATCAATGTCTACCCGCGCCCTCCTTACCATAGACCCATCAATGTCTACCCGCACCCTCCTTACCATAGACCCATCAATGTCTACCCGCACCCTCCTTACCATAGACCCATCAATGTCTACCCGCGCCCTTTTTACCATAGACCCATCAATGTCTACCCGCACCCTCCTTACCATAGACCCATCAATGTCTACCCGCACCCTCCTTACCATAGACCCATCAATGTCTACCCGCACTCTCCTTACCATAGACCCATCAATGTCTACCCGCACCCTCCTTACCATAGACCCATCAATGTCTACCCGCACTCTCCTTACCATAGACCCATCAATGTCTACCCGCACCCTCCTTACCATAGACCCATCAATGTCTACCCGCACCCTCCTTACCATAGACCCCATTAACGTAAATTCTTACTCTTCTTACCATAAAGTCTATCCATGCCGCCAGCTTAATCATGATATGCCCAAATCAATTACTGTTAGTAGTCTTTTCACCATGGATTTTTGTCCTGTTTATTGTACAGATTTTTCTTGTAATAATTCTGTCTAGTTTTGTCTAGCAAACCGTTAAATATGAACAATTCCACGTGTAAATTGTCTTGTCAAGAAAATGAAGTTAATGCTTGTTACGGTACCTCCCTAACAGAACCCTTCACATGACATCATGCATTTGCGAATTTTTCCGTTAAGTAAATAACATTTGCTGTAATTTATCAGATATACCAATATAAAAAATAAAGGTCACTCGAGATCCAGTAAAGAACAGCCGTAAATCCACTCTTTCACTCGTTGTGATATTAATACTTAGAATTAACATTTCTTTCATAGGGATTAAACACTAACTGCAGCCATTATAATATCCTATTAGGTATCGGTCAGGGTGTTGTGGTGTTACCGTTCTGTGGAAACAATATGTGTATTATAGGGATAAAATGGACTAAAGAAATTTGGCTATAAATACCGTAGCAGATAGTACGCCATCTACCGAATTATGATTTAATACCAGACTGTCCAGTGGCGATATAGAAAACTATTGTAGACTTTCGTTATGTCGGAATTATCCAATATATCAACACAACGTCGGGTAAATACATGTATAGAGCTTTTTCTATAAGTACGTGGAGTAATTCAAACGTAGAACAATCAATCGATATGTATGTGTGTATGTATTCGTGTAGAACATCAAATAAAACAACACATGACAATTAAACAACACAGGATAATTAAACAAAACAACACAGGACAATAGAACAACACCTGAATATCAAGTAACACCGGGAAACTAAACAACGGGAGATAATGAAATATATGAGGGGAAGTCCAGTAGAGCAGTAGCACATAATAGAGTCAAAAACACACGTGAAACAACGCCGAGTATAGTAAATAACATATGGGGGAGTAAAACAACACGTGGGGTAAAAAGACAACACGTAGGATGGCCAAACATCACGTGACATAGTAAAACAATACGTGATACAGTAAAACAATACTTGGGATAGTAAAACATCACATGGCACAGTGAAACAACCCGTGAGATAGTAAAACATCGCGTGTCATAGAAAAACAACGCACGAGGTCGTAATTTTCACGTGATATCTCGTGCGGCGTGATCACATTACGTGAGACAGTAAAACAACATGTTGAGGAATGGACAACAAAATAGGAGAGTAAAATAACAAATTGGGTAACAAAATTAAACAATATATCGGGTACTTGCAATAAGCGCTAAAATACAGATTGTTAACTCTACGGCAGTAAATTTAAGTAACTTGCGGGTAAATCCCTCACCTCCTACCTCCTTTAAAATTGTCACACTTTAAACTAATGCGTTTTTGTATAATTTCAATAATGCTTCATGTTACATTTATGACTAGTTTAAAATTCGTCAAAGACTTAAGATCTAATGATAGATTAAATTACTTGATTTGAAGTCTTATCTTATAACGCTAGTATCGAGTCACACCCATTCTAATGTCGTCTGCTCGTAGAAACAACACCTAGGCACGAACTGGAGTAATATCACAAAAAGTAACATTGTTATGTTGTATGTCAGTCGTGTCCGTTGGAAACCTGCAGCTAATGAATTAAATAATAGCTTTAAAGTTCTCTGATAGGAGTTTAACAGGTCAGACCGTAAGTAATTGTTTTCGTCCTGTCGTAAACACTCCTCAGCTAGCGGTCATTACACTATACAAGGTATATTTGTAATTACTTAAGCGGCTTTCAAACCGGATGAGCGTATGGCTGGAGACAAACTTTGATGAATTGATATTATTGACATAAAATGGAAAATATGCTTAATGAATGCTAATCTGGTTATTTGATACTATAATTGTGATTTGGTAGAGCATTCATATTTAAAGTCCCGTAGCGACTGGGCCGTCGTTGTGCCACTACTCATCGCTGTGTTATTGTAAACGTTGCCTTTTTCATTATTCACCTTTTGGTAACACAATAATTTACGAAATACATTATAAATAGAGAATTATCAAAGTACAGTGACAAAAAACGCCGCCAATCTTCTAAACGTTTGAATTATTCAATAGTATGTACAATAATCCGACTCAGTGGGTGGATTAGGGTGATCCGCCTAGGTGGTTGGTAAGGCGGGTGGTGAAACACACCTGAACAAGTCTTAGACACAGCACGTGCGATGAAGGGCCTAATCATTCTGTCGTTGGTTAATAGGCAACAGTGAACGATTGAACCCAGGATATTGGATTTAAGTATGAAGTAACAGTTACGTAAAGGTAATTTCCGTCCTATCGTAATGACCAGAACTAGCCAGTACTCCTCATTCGGCTTGGGAATCCTCTCCGTGTTCAGTTGGCGAGAAAAGGTCAGTAAAATTTGGATACATTTATCAGGTTTACAAAACAAACATATGATGTCAGTCTTTGATTTAGAATGTTTACCGATAGAAAACAAGGACATAAAGTGAGTTGAAATGTCACATAGTGTCTTGATGGAGGTGTGATTGAAGTATGATGTCAGAGGTTTGTGACGTCATGAGGTTCCCTATTAGAAATATGATGTTGGTGTGTGACTTCACAGGACAGGTGAATATTATTCGATCGGGGAATGCTAGTATGGTATTGAACAGGAGTGCTAAATCAGACTGCCCACGTATAATTAATTCTATTTCGGATAAAGTGTTGGCTTGTCTTGTTTCATTTTCCCTCTTAAATGACCAACACATCATTCAACGTACCTGTGCTTTCGGTAGGTGCCATTCATGGTCGATACTGTGCTTTGTTTTCTTAAAATATTTCTGAGAAACGTGTCTGTCGAACTTGTTGTTATCCCTTGTATAGTAAAGTATGCACGCGTGCATATTTCAAATTTATTTATATCCTTACAGATGTTGAATTGACGTTCAGAATAAAGCGGAAGTGACGATGGCCCTTCTCATGTTGAAGACACATGACCCGTCGTGGCAGGACCGGACGGTGAATGTGGAAGTGATGCTCGCCCCGGCCAGAAATCAGCTGCTTATGAACAAACACAAAACACTTGGCAGCAAGTGTCTCAAGGCACAACGTCTTTACGAGAAGGAGCGAGAGTCGATGTTAAAAAACATACTCATAGAAAAACGGATAATGGAAAGAAAGAAACAGGTATTGTTGAGAAAAAAATCGGATATAATGCTGAATCGGGTTTCTTCTGGTGTGTCTACTCATAGAGAGAACAACACAACAGTTCCCAAATTGTCATCAAAGCGAAGCGGGTCGGCACCGGCAAAACTCGACTGGACTGACAAAAATCCTAACAAAGCTGGTGTGTTTTTAACGGAAGTATGTGGGGAGTCTCGATCCCAATCTGTAACAACAACGGAAAAAGACAAACACTGGGAAGAATCGTCTTTCCGTTCTCATGGTAACCTCAGCATGCAAGTCGCTGGGTCGGCCTCACAGTTGTCAGCTTCGTCGCGAAGGGTTATCTCCCCTTTCGGATCAAAACGTTCTTCTCGAAGAGTAAAGTCTGTGAGGTTTGACGACAATCGTCTTCATGGAAACCAGGAAACAGAGCATCACTCGCATCAAACAAGCGTAGATGGCTTAGTAGAGCAATTTGTTAAAACTCAGTTAGAGTTCAACCAGAGACCTGCAACAACTACTCCAGAACAGAAAATATTAAGCAGACCAGACACAACCTCACCACTAGTAGCAAAGCGATACTCTTCTCTGTCCTTAAACAAGGATAAACTCATTAACGCATTCGACAACTTCTGTTTGGACAGAAACAAGGAAGACTTCCAAAAACTCGTGAGACTTGCTTCTAAACTGAAATCGTCAGTTAAAATGGCCCGGAACCAATCCGTGATTCCTGCTGTCGCTGCTTTACGAACAGGAAAAATATTTATAAGCCAGACAAAGAAACCGAAAGCTACGGACTCTCAGTGTTTATAAATCTTAAGTGTTGACAATTGATATATTACTGTATAGACAGTATAAAGATTACCTTTTTTGGAACAGGTACAATGTACATGTACATGTTATTGTATGGGCTTATTTTAAAGTACATGTGACCGATATGGTATGTTGTATCAGTACATGTTACGGTATGGGCGTGTTGTATAGATACATATTGCTTTATGAACGTGTTGTATAGGTACATGTTGCTGTATAGACGTTTTGTATAGGTACATGTTGCTGTATGGACGTGTTGTATAGGTACATGTTGCTGTATAGACGTGTTGTATAGATACATGTTACTGTATAGACGTGTTGTATAGATACATGTTACTGGATAAACGTGTTGTATAGGTACATGTTGCTGTATGGACGTGTTGTATAGGTACATGTTACGGTATGGACGTGTTGTATAGGTAATTGTTACTGTATGGATGTGTTGTATAGATACATGTTACTGGATAAACGTGTTGTATAGGTACATGTTGCTGTATGGACGTGTTGTATAGGTACATTTTACACAGTGTGGACGTGTTGTATAGGTACATGTTGCTGTATGGACGTGTTGTATAGGTACATGTTACTGTATGGACGTGTTGTATAGGTACATGTTGCTGTATAGAGGTGTTGTATAGGTACATGTTACACAGTGTGGACGTGTTGTATAGGTACATGTTGCTGTATGGACGTGTTGTATAGGTACATATTACTGTATAGAGGTGTTGTATATACATGTTACTGTATGGGCGTGTTGTATAGATACATATTGCTTTATGGACGTGTTGTATAGATACATGTTGCTGTATGGACGTTTTGTATAGATACATATTACTGTATGGACGTGTTGTATAGATACATGTTACTGTATGGACGTGTTGTATAGGTACATGTTACACAGTGTGGACGTGTTGTATAGGTACATGTTGCTGTATGGACGTGTTGTATAGGTACATATTACTGTATAGAGGTGTTGTATATACATGTTACTGTATGGGCGTGTTGTATAGATACATATTGCTTTATGGACGTGTTGTATAGGTACGTGTTGCTGTATGGACGTGTTGTATAGGAACATGTTGCTGTATAGACGTGTTGTGCGGTTACATGTTACTCAGTGTGGTGCGTGTTCATATAGCTTTAGTATGTTGTTGTAATCTCAGTCAAAGTATACAGTTAATATCAGGTTTTAATCTTTTATTTGCCAAACAGTTATATATAAATAAAGAATATATTTTACTCAATGAAGCATTCTTTTTTATGATTAGGAGACAGAAAAAATATCGTCAATTTTCATGAAATTCTTTGATAAATTGAAGGCAGCATAATTACTGCAAGGTACAATATGATATTTAATTACTTTTAGTACCTGTCTGGTACAAACGAATGCTTTAAAAGAACGGATTATATACGTCATGAATGACCCAATTAGCGAAAGTAAAACAGATTTTTCCTTTGTGTTTTAAAAATGTAAAAAAAAAGTGTATTTAGGATGTTTCTCTTCAGCATCAGAATCCAACTGCACCTTACGCTTTGAAAACTAACATCATTACAACAAGGAAAACGACACTGGTCATCTCATATCTTGACATGGAACTATGATTATTTCCTTAAATGTTTCATTTATCTATGAAATCTGTTCTGATACCCAACTTTTGAGACATGAACGTGTTCGGCTGTAATGGATAAACCTAATGATGTTTATCTTTTACCCAGCCTCTTCACAGTATTTAAATTATGTTCGATCAAACAATTATTGCTAAATGTTTCTAATTATTTGTAAACTTATATTTCGTTACTACAATTCCGTCTGTTGGAGATTTGTTCAAACCATTGGTTAATATTTATCAATCTTTAAAATTCTGTCGTTTTTTACTAGATAATGGTGACTGACAAATGAACACTCAATTAAACCAAATTGCATTCCTTCTTCTCCTTCTCCTCCCCTCCTCCTTCTCTCCTCCACCTCCTTCTCTTCCTCCTCTCTTTCTCCTCCTCCCTCTTCCTCCTCCTCCTCTCCTACTCCTCCTTTCCCTCTTCATCGATCCTCCTTCTAACCTTTCTCCTCCTTCCTCCTTCACCTCCTCCTCTCTGCTCCTCCCCATCTCCTCCTCTTCCTTGCCTCCATCCTCCTCTCCTTCCCCTCCTCCTTCTTCTCCTCCTCCTCCCCTCCTCCTCCTTCCCTACCTCCTCCTCTTCCTTTCCTCCATCCTCCTTCTCCTCCTCCTTCCTCTCCACTCTCTTTTTTACCATGCATGATTGTAGACATCTACGTTGAATGCTGTACAATTATGTATCACCTTTCCAGAACACCGTAGATGTTATAATATTAACGTTCAACCCTAAAATGTTGGTGAAACCGTCTAAATTTTTAATGACTAAAGTTAATGACTAAACTGTGTAATTTAACTGAGAAATATTGAAGTTATTTCTACTAACGTACTTCGTTAGATGTGTTGATATCAAAACATAGTACATGTGTGTTCGTATGAATCTGTTGTAGAAACATTGCTAGTCTAACAAATAATAAGTTTTTATACTGGTGCGAAACCACTTTGACTGAACTTTTTGATATTTCTATAAGATCTTAGGCATAAGTTACATTATATACTGTAAGTCTAGCATATAAACATACCACTATCATTTCTGTAAATAACAGTAAGTCCCATTGTTTTATAAACACTGAAACTGTTGAACAAGATTACTCTAGAACAGCTGTCACTTTCAATGGTTTCTGCTTTACTACAACACTGTAAGAATTTCCAAATCAGCTAAGAGTGACATCCGTGAAGGAGCGTGATTATCGCGAGAATTCTTCCATTAGTTAGAATCTTAGTTTTACGATACTTAAGGTTTCCATTGAAGTCTTCACCAAGATTGGATTCAATTTCACCGTAGAATAGATGCATTGAGTCTGTCATCCTTATCAAACCATCACCCCCTCCCTCCTGTCCGATATTACCGAGACTGATGTCAAGACAGCCTTTGAAGAATTTTCATGAAAAATCTGTATGCTCTATTGAAAATACCATATGTAATAACTTAATCCTTTATATAACCAATTAGAAGTTTTTATCGTAACAAATGAAAACATGCCAACTTAATATTCCTTTCCTAACGAAAATAAATATTCCTTTTTTAAAGCGATGCATTAACTTTACAAATCGTTTGGTCACTGGTTTAATGTTGGGCCTTTTCTTGTTTATATCGAATGTCTTTATTTTAATCACCCTACATGGACAGCTTTCCACTAGGACTTATCACCTGTGTGAAGATTTCCCTGTCCTTGTAAAGGGAGGTTACTCTGGTGCCTCCTCATTAAAGTGAAGTAGGAAAACAAAAACAAAACAAAAAACAAATAAATAAAAAAGGAATTAAAAAAAAAACACACACACACACACCCTCACACACACACACACACACACACACACACACACACACACACAAAAGATAACGTTCAGGCCTTTATGTTCAAGACTATTATTATGTGCCTTTCCAATATACTGGATTTTTTCGAAGTCTGAAGATTATCAGTTGCTGACAAGTATCTATATTAATAGAATGTGCTAACGGTAATATACACGTATGTGGTTACATTGTTCATATATTGTAGACCAATAATGATCATCTGTCATGCATGAGTCATTGTAGTTATGAAAATCGTGTATGTAAACTATCTTGTTCTGTTTATAAAATCTTCAATTTAGGGGAATGAAAGAGAATAATGACACTTCCACCTCATTTCAATATTGAAAGCTTGTTCCCAATTAAATGATTTTTGTTATATGTGTCAATAGCTGACAGAAATTAAAACAATGGGTTTCGGGAGAGGTAAGTAGATCAAGACTAAACAAATAGTTTATGGTCGTCATCATGCCATCTTCTGACCGAAATCTAAAACGTTCGTGTAATGAAATAAATACGTTACGACCACTGAAAAGGGAAATTGTTAATCTCAAGTTGACACAAAGTCGACACATGTATTTTTTTTTTTAATTTTTACAAGAGAAACTTCCGTGCTACTCCCTAGAAGGAGAGGGGACAAATATTTACTGTTAAGTTAGAAAATATATTCTTAAACCATGAAACACGCCATGATAACACTGTTTTTTTCAAATGCTTTATTAGGTTGCCTGATGGACGTAATTCAAATTCTAACAGGATATTTTCCATCTAAATACACGTCCAACTGCAAAGTTTGTTTTCTTTATGAAAGTAACAATTATAAAGTAGTATAATTGTATCAACAAAAAAATAGTGAAATCCCTTTACTACTACAATATCCACAAACCGTGGCCGGATTTCGTAATCCAACACCATTGTATTAATAAGTATATGTCGAGAAATTCTGACATCTCTATACGTTGTTTGATCCGAAGCTGCTTATTTAGTCACTAAACTTAACGATACTGGCTGTCCAGTCTGACGTCCAACCTAGGATAAAAGAACCTTGCACCACGGCCTCTTGACATGCGCTATCAATTTACGGGGCGTTTGATTCGGAACGTACATAAACCATGCAACATATATTGTCGCCTGTCCGTGTGGCCAGTCCGTTATGTCAGAAATTACACCTGGGGATAGTGACCACGAGACCCTTAGTAACCCGTACTGCTAGTGCGCTTCTCACCTTTACCTTTCGCCTCGGCATGGATCGACATCTCCTCATCGTCACCGTAAGTCACCTACATTAGATATTGAAATAACTATTTATATATTTATCAAGATCAGGACTTGATATCCAGTCGACTGACACAAAATGTTCCTGATATACAAATTTTATTTCGTTGCTTTGTCATTTTTTTCACCCATATTTATTTCATTTCTTTATGTATCTCAAATTATGTTTTCTTTCCTGATATTTTCATTGGATACTGTTTCTACATCCTTGATTTCTTTCTCTTCAATATCATTATGTTTATGTTCCGGAAGGGGATTTTCACTTTTTTTTCTTAGTTTTTATACCATAAAGAAGTTGTTTTAAAAAGATCTGAACATATGATTATTGTAATTACAATAACTATGAATTACAAATCCTTAATATCATAACAGATATGACACCAGCTGTCATTGTGAGGATCTCTTTCATTATTTCCAGATTGTCATCTTTATACAAACGAGGAGAATATTGTGATCCACTATTTTGAATGTTGCATTCAATTTGGATACGATTTTGTTTGAAAATCCTCACCTTTTCTGTAGACCTGAATAATTCAGATATCCCCAAACTTTATCCAGAAACAGATTTGGATTGTAATAGTAATAATCATTGTAGATATATATTTACATGTTACAGTGATAGTATTTTTATAGGTAAATGACGGTGGCGATAAGAACGTGTGCTTCATTCATGTGTATTAAGTTTGTTAGTAAATATATCAAACAAAGTCACACAAAACGGTAGTAACGATAACTATTAGAACAGTGCAAACTAACAGAAGTTTTAAAATAACTCGGACGATTTTTGTCGATTCTTTCCTTCATTTATAAAAATGAACATAAAAGAAGCAAAGTGATCATCAGAAAAAAGTTATAAACATGATCTTCTAAATTATCGATAAAGAAACGGCGACTCACCAACATCGAACTGGCCGTTCTGTTTGACGGATTACACTGCCGACAATATATAATTAACTTCAGTTATTATAATACAGTACAATGCAGCGAATGTACCTGTCTCGTTATGACATTCATGGCCGTTATATTTGACATCTCTAACGACCATAAATGTAGAACAGATTAGTGTACTTGATGTAATGTCTTGTGCCGGAAATCCGAGTCGAACATTACAAATCCCTTACAGGTAACGTCACAACTGTACATACGTCATTATTTAGGATAAATAGATATAACTCAATAATGTTGATACCATGGTAACGTCATGTCAATCATGACTGCACGAGGCAATACTAAGCGTTCTTGTTGAGGAAAAGCGTTTAATTTCATGCAAAAATCCGGGCTGATAAAACATCATAGGTTACATGACCAGTTTTTTTATAAACTTAAACAACACAAAGGTAACGTAATTCTTAATAAACGTTTTCAGCGTTATTATCATTCAAAAACGCGCGCGCGCGCACACACACACACACACACACACACACTCACACACAATTACACACACACACACACACACACACGCTTGCTTTAAAAAGCACGCGCGCGCGCGCAAATTGAAACATTTTTTAAAAAAAATTACATCGTTAAATTCTAACGTGACGCTACCCAAATTGAAATATTTTTTAAAGAAAATAGTAAATGGAACACCTCTCATATCCTGTTCATTTATAGAAATAACTGCCATAGTTATGATTTTTTTTCTTCGCTTTATAAAAGTTAACTTGCTGTCTTATTCAACAAAGTCAATTATCATTCAAAAATATTAATCCTAGCAATACTTTTCATTGTTTAAAAACATGATAGAATATTTGTGTTGTTGCATGGTACCACCGACAGTGAAAACTTTAGTCTAAAGTCAATAGTCCAGGATATGCAGAAATATTTAAGAACAGAGTGAAATGTAAACTATTATTTTACAAATTCGACAGAGAGACATCTTCAAGTCCATTAAAGTGTTGTACGAAATCCACACCAGTGAATAGTTATATTTTTTATAATTAACATCTCGAACCAGGCACAACTAAAGCCAAGTAATAGATTTAGCCGAGTCATACAGCTGTTTCGTCCTTTTAGAGCTCTTCCTTGATGGTAAGGGCCTAACTTGTTGAAACCTGGGAGACGACTCAGGACAATCAATATTGATCGAAAGAAATGACAATACCAAGACGGGGAGGTCACTAACTCAAAATAACCAGTAAACTGCATTACTTTTGACGATGAATGATTTTGAAAGAACGTTAAGCACATATGAATATCCTGAGGGGTACCACTATCTAAGTGAATTTGAAATGTAACATGCTGGTTACAGTTACTCTCAGGAGCTGCAGTCCACCAACAGTGTCTACCGAAACTTGTTATATCAAATGAGCGTACAACAGACACATAAGTGAATGGCAGTCTAAAGCAACGCACGCTTCGATAGAATGCCATACGGTTAAGGTGTTAGCCGGATGTCAGTATAATGTAACCAGCTGGAGTATCCTTCAGCAGTACAGCTTAGTGCAGTAGTAATAAAAAGTCAGATTTGGTTCCGCACGATCACAGGGACAACCAGACTTACATGAACATAGCCTCCAACAAACAGACGCATTTGCGCACTCACTTCGCGACCTTAAATGACCACAGATGTTGAATGTTTTAAAGCATTATCAAACTCTAACAGTAGATGACATTTTTTTTATCAATTTGTAAACATCTGCCCAGACATAGGTTATTGATAATGGAGCTAACATTGCTCCCATACTTGACCATTCTACGAGGGTGGGGTGAATGTTTGGGTTGGGGGCACTCGGTGTAACGGGATGGGGATGGGTGGTTGTTTGAGGTAGGGGGAGACGTAGATAATAGGTTATATCCCTTTAACTGTTGGAGTTATGTTTTCGTAGTTGTCAATTACTTCTGTCCGAAAACATATTAAAATTCCTCTTTTCTGGTCTTTGTGAATAATCTCATACTTTTCACGTATATATATTTATTATTAACTCATTTACATAATTACTGTTTAGTGGTATGTTACAGGTTTGTGTGTTTAGGTATGACAGTGTTCACTAATTAATTTACATAATTGCTGTTTACTGGTATGTTACAGGTTTGTGTGTGTCTAGGTGTAACAGTATCCGCCAACAATCCTAACAAGTTCAGGTACACATTCACCAATCAAAATACATCACCGACAGCAGCAGAACGTTTGCAGAATGCAGTGGTGTCACCACCCGACCTTCGTTCAGAACCTCAAATAAGGACATCCGGGTACTCGACAAATGGCGCCTCCACCGCCAGTTCCTTGTCGAATAAAGGTACTGTGTCAAAGAGTGTTAAAACTAATATACTGAATATAATAACAGAGGTTTTATTTACGATCGTAAAACTGGGGGAAGTGTAAAACAGTGTTTGGACCGGAGCTACCTCTACCGCCAACACCTGCTGTGAACTCAACCTTCTGAGAACTCAATCCTAAGTTACAGGGTTAATTATATTCCTCAGTAATGTCTCAATGACTTGTCCAACCTCAGCCGCCCCCCCCTCTCCCTGTAACTTATAATAAATCCCAAATCTGTAACCATACACTCTACACTACATCCAGTTGCCTTTAAAATTTGATTCATGAATTTGATTTTTTGACTCATGTTTTTTAAACAAATCAATATTCCTTCACACAGGTAAACTAGTAATTGTGGATACGAACAACACTGCGCCACAGGACATCACAGCGGTGAAGACTGGAGGAGGGGATATCGTCCTCACAATGGAAACTGTCCCCAATGCCACGCCCTCGCCAGCAGCGCTCACGAGATCGACTGACTGGAATTGGATTGTCACTCCGACTCCAGGAGCGACGCCCGCACCACCTGTTGTGAGAAGAACGACTGACTGGAATTGGATAGTCACTCCGACTCCAAGAGCGACGCCCGCGCCACCTGTTGTGAGAAGAACGACTGACTGGAATTGGATAGTCACTCCGACTCCAAGAGCGACGCCCGCGCCACCTGTTGCGAGAAGAACGACTGACTGGAATTGGATAGTTACTCCGACTCCAAGCGCCAAGCCCGCGCGACCGGCGCAGACTAGGAATTCTAATTGGGATTGGATAGTCACCCCTACCCCTTACGCTCCCGTCCACAGCACAGCGGCACCAAGCGCTCCACAGATGCCGACAGTCGGCCCTACTCCTTTCTACTATGGAAATACGAACACAATGAGTTATTTCGGAATGGGAAACACCGTGGGTTATTTTGGAACACCGTCATACTGGGATCTTCAGTATCAACCACAGGAAATAACTCGGAATGCTGGTATTAAATATGGCGAATGCCCTGCACCAAATGTGGTTGGTGCCAAATGTGGATATCGGTGTTATCGGGATACAGAATGCCCCCAGGACTGGAAATGTTGTAATGATGGCTCTGGCAAGCCTGATGGCTGCTGCCACGCCCGAAAACCAACTTATTTTGAGAGTTTTATGACTTCACTGTGGGACACGCCTCCATCACAGGAAATACAGAACGAAATGCCGTAAACAAGTATTTTTCAATTTTTAGCTTAAACTATATATATGAAATAATATGGTGGTGTAATTTTGTAACAAGTCGGGATTTCTACAACCTGTCTAACAGTCATGCTAATGTTAATGTGTGAAGATAACTGATGTCTTTTCATTCATTCTGATACAACAAAACCGTTGGATGTATTTAAGGAGGATGAGGGGAGGGGGAGGATTGTTATGTTTTATACTTATAGAGTTCTACTCTAATAAAATTGTAAAGTCAAAAGTCTACATTATAATGTTGGTGGTTATTTAGCGTTCATCAAATACGACCGAGACATGTTCACGGATACAGAGCAGATACGTGTAATGGTTTTCCTTGAAATATCCGATACATTAAATACGACCGAGACTGGTTCACGGATACATAGTAGATATGTATAATGGTTTCCATTAAATATCCGATACATTAAATGCGACCGAGACTGGTTCACGGATACAGAACGGATATGTGTAATGGTTTCCATAAAATATCCGATACATTAAATACGACCGAGACTGGTTCACGGATACAGAGCGGATATGTGTAATGGTTTCCATAAAATATCCGATACATTAAATACGACCGAGACTGGTTCACGGATACAGAGCGGATATGTGTAATGGTTTTCCTTAAAATATCCGATACATTAAATACGACCGAGACTGGTTCACGGATACAGAGTGGATATATGTAATGGTTTTCCTTAAAATAACCGATACATTAAATACGACCGTGACTGGTTCACGTAATGGTTTTCCTTGAAATATCCGATACATTAAATACGACCGCGACTGGTTCACTGATACAGAGTAGATATGTGTAATGGTTTCCATAAAATATCCGATACATTAAATACGACCGAGACATGTCCACGGAAACAGAGAGGATATGTGTAATAGGTTTCCTTAAAATATCCGATACATTAAATACGACCGAGACATGTTCACGGATACAGAGCGGATATATGTAATAGTTTTCATTAAGATATCCGATACATTAAATACGACCGAGACATGTCCACGGATACAGAGAGGATACGTGTAATAGTTTTCATTAAGATATCCGATACATTAAATACGACCGTGACTAGATAGTAGAAATAGACTGTGTATACGTCAAATACTAAATAAACGTTTTGTTCGTCTGGCAATCCAACGAGTCAAAAAGTACGAATGTAAAATACTATTGAGGGAGTATTATCTAAAGTAAGTGGTTATTTCTTCAACTGTGATACTTATGATGCACAGCATAATGCCAGATACAACAATGTTGTGACAATGTAGTGTTCATCACTATCGTTACTCACTATGGAAAGACAGCCCAGATAAACGTTTCGTTCAATCAGTTGTCACCATGCCTTCAATGTAAGTGACATGTTATGGACAGATTCGCATGTCGTCCTTTACATTCGGAACATACCAGCGGATACGTGTCAAGGAAAAATGTTTTTTGTCAATGTACATCACGTCTAAAAAGCTTATGTTCAAGTATAGGTGTAAAGTGTATTTTTTTAAATTAAAAACAAGAAACTTAGGATTTCAGCAGAAGAAACAAAAACGTTTTATTTAAGAAAAAAAAACAAGTAAATATTTTAAGTTAATAGGTTGTGTACACTTGTATATGAAACTTTATAAATAACATAAATATATGTAATAAAATATTTCTGCTAACAATGATAAGTTAAATTTGGCTGGACGGAGGAATTGACACAAAGAAACCAAAATTATCACATCATATACAATGTAATACCTGATAACCGCTACAGACAGTAACAGAGGGAAACCTCTCGTGATTACCGCAACAGATAGTAAAAGAGGATAATCTCTTGTGGTTACCGCTACAGACAGTAACAGAGGGAACCCTTTCGTGATTACCTCTACAGACAGTAAAAGAGGAAAACCTCTCGTGATTACCGCTACAGATAGTAAAAGAGGGTAACCTCTCGTGGTTATCGCTACAGACAGTAAAAGAGAGAAACCTCACGTGATTACCGCTACAGACAGTAAAAGAGAGATACATCGCGTGATTACCGCTACAGACAGTAAAAGAGGGAAACCTCGCGTGATTACCGCTACAGACAGTAAAATAGGGAAACCTCGAGTGATTATCTCTACAGACAGTAAAAGAAGGAAACCTCGCGTGATTACCGCTAGACAGTAAAAGAGGGGAAATCACGTGATTACCACCTCAGACAATACAGTGATCACTGCCATCTCGAACTGAAAACTGCGCACTATGAGCAGATAAAAAAATAACATCATAAACGATGAAAACAAATCATACGTCACTATTAGGGACACTGGTCACTATACCTATTGTCTGTTACAATAGTTTAAATCTAAAGGGGAGTAACTCTGACAACTCTTTCTTCTCTTTCAAATCAAACTCTGAAAAACTGACATGAAACAATTTATCAACAGGCTAGGTTTTTTTAAATATCAATGTTGATATAAACATAAATAAACACAATTCAAACATGAAAAGTTAAAGAGGTAAATGTTACAACATGGACCACAGGTAAATCACGGATGTTACCTCGGGATCAAAAAACTCTGTCAACACAACGTAACGGTCAACATATGCGTAAATAGTCTAAAAGTCTCGACAAAACAAGATAAATTATAACAGTACTAAAATTAAACAAAGTTCGGGACAACATATAGATATAGACACAAGGGAAGGGAGACAACTCACATAACAATTTTACCATGGTCAAGCACCCTGAAGACTGCTGGGTTATCCGAGTGGTAAAGCACCCTTATAGCTGTTCATGGTATCAGACTGGTTAAGCACCATATAACTGCATGGCGTATCAGACTGGTCAAGCACCCTGATAATTGCCTGTATTGTCAGACTGGTCAAGCACCCTGACAGCTGTTTGGGGTATGAGACTGGTCAAGTACCCTAATAGCTGTTCGGGGTATCAAACTGGTCAAGCATCCTAATAAATATCCAGTGTATTAGAATGGTCACGCACCAGGATAGCTGTTTTAATCGACCTGATCACGTGATCAAATCAAATTTTATTGCTCGATATATTATCTGATAAACAATTGTTATATGATTTCCTGTTTCACTTCATGGTCTACAGATATTTTTGTCACTTTTCCCATCTCTCTTACCTGATAAGCCATCACGTTGAACAACATATGAGAATTAAGTTGTTATGCTGCCAGGACTTCTATTTTTCCATCAACACCAATTACTAAAGGGAGACAACCCCTTCCAATAGGAATATGAACACACACACTGATGTTCCAAAATTTTTATACATTATACAAGGAAGATATGTATTATTTAGCAATGATGGATGTATTATTAGGTCCAGCAGTATGTTTACAATAGAAAAACATATTAATACTGATCACAACATATATATATATCAATTGTTTTTTTTTTCAGTTTGAGCAAATATTTTGAGATAAAATAAATTTGTGTAGACGGCCCCTAGTAATGGACAATTTTTGTCCCTGATTGTGTCCCACTTTTGGCCCTGTAAGATATCCTAAACATCTGTTAGGAATCTCTGACTTGTAGATGTTAATGTACCAAACAATTCATACAATATATCTGTATGTAAGGCACTGAGCACTAATACCACCTATAGTCACAATAGGATTCCACCAATGTCACTCAGTCACTTCCCCTGAAGAATGTTTGTAATCAAAAGTTATCTGTTTCAACTCACATACAATATCTGTCTGGTTATTACACAATCTACACCACTGTATGCAACAAAACTCTCTAAACTATGGTGAAATTTAACTATAATGCATCCTGCCACTGGTAACTCTGGTGAATTGTAACTATGTGGCTGTGAGCTGCTCCTTGCCACTGGTAACTCTGGTGAATTGTAACTATGTGGCTGTGAACTGCTTCCTTCCACTGGTAACTCTGGTGAATTGTAACTATGTGACTGCGAGCCGCTCTATGCCACTGGTAGCTGTGAAAAATTATAACTATGTGGCTGTGAGCTGTTTCCTGCCACTGGTAACTATGAAAAATCGTAACTATGTGGCTGTGAACTGCTCCCTGCCACTGGTAACTCTGGTGAATTGTAACTATGCTGCTGCAAGTTGCTCTCTGCCACTTGTAACTCTAGTGAATTGTAACTATGCTGCTCTGAACTGCTTCCTGCCACTGGTAACTCTGGTGAATTGTAACTATGCTGCTGCAAGTTGCTCTCTGCCACTGGTCACTGTGGCCAGGTTTGCCAAGTGATCATGATAGCCAGGAGTGACCATATCTGAACTTCTAATACACTCAGAAAGGGAACCACTAAAATCCAGCTTTTCTTCTGAAAAAAGGGGAGATAATCATTTATAGAAAAAAGATAATGGATTAGAAGATAAAGATATTTGTAGAGTACAAACACTGATGAGAAGACAAAATTGTTTAACAGTACAAACACAGATAAGAAGAAGAAATGTTTGTATTGTACAAACACATACGAGAAGACAAAATACTTGCACAGTACAAACACATGCGAGAAGACAAAAGATGAAATATTTGCACAGTACAAACACAGGTGAGAAGATGAAATATTTGCACAGTACAAACACAGATGTCAAGATGATTTGCACAGTAAAATCACTCATAAAAAGATGAAATATTTTAACGCACAATCTCAGGTGAGAAAATGAAACATTTGAACAGTAAAAACCCTTGTGAAAAGATTAATTATTTGTACAATCTAAACATAAGTGAGAAGAAAATCAGCAAACCCAGCTATATTCTTTATAATATCAGACCTTAACCCATCAAACACATTTGATATCATACCTTTTTCTATCCATCTGTCCTGGGCAATGAAAGTGAGAGCAGGTACGCAGTACTGGGCCACACCATACTCATTTGGGTCCTCATTAGAGTTCATAAGCCACAGGGGTGTCACAAGGTGTTCGTAGTGCTAAAACACAAGAAACAGGTCAAACCTGTATGTATAGCTATTGTATGTATAGTTACCTATGTCTATATAGTTACATGTATCGATAACCACATAGTTATGTGTATAAGTACTTATCTGTAGATTTAACTCTAACTACAGTTATCTGTATATATATTTACACATTGCATAGTTACCTGTATGTATAGTTACCTGTATGTATAGTTACTGTATGTATAGTTACCTGTATATATAGTTACCTGTATGTACAGTGACCAGTGCAGATAATTACCTGAGGATAACCAACATACTTGTCCAGCAGAAGCAGCTCATCTTGTGTGATTGGGTAGACACAACCCTCAACAGAGGAGTAAGGGTTAAACTCAATGTTTGCAAACCCTCCTGCCTCTAAGTCAGCACCTGTAGGTATCAGAACATAAACTTAAATGTCAAAACTAGGTCAGGGTCAACAGATATCTATTTCTCGTTTTAATTATACTTTTACAATCATGAAGAATGTGTTATGGTTGTCAGATGATATTAATTCTAATGGTCACCTTTTTTATTGAACACCAGCTGGAACCCAAACAGTAGACCCCAGTAACGTTGTGGCTCTCTCTTTATATAGGTGGTCAGTCTGTAACACAATAAAATCAAACATTATACACAGGGAACTCACAGTAAAGCTGCAATTTACAGCAAGGTACCAATTTACAGTGAGGTAACAATTTCCAGACAGGTTATAATTTACAGTCTGGTAACAAATTACAGCAAGGTAGCAATTTACAGCAGGATTATAATTTATAGTGAGGTAACAATTTATAGTGTGATAACAATTTACAACAAGGTTGCAAATTACAGCAGAGTTACAAATTACAGCAGGGTGACAAATTAAGTAGGGTAATAATTTACAGTGAGATACCATTCACAGAGTAAATTGAATTCCATACAGGACCACAGATTGTAGAGTTACCAATGTAGATGTAAATTAATACCTGTGAGAGGCAAGAAATTATTAAATGTGGACAAGAATTAAAGGATAACAGTGCTGGGTTTATTGCCTGATAACACCCAAGGATTCATAGTGTTTCCTCGTAGTAGCTGGTGGCTACCTCACCAAACAGCTTGCAGGAGGCCCATTGCATAACATCCAAAGCAACTGGGACAAGTGTCTTGTTTAAGAATAAAACCACATCAGCACATGGTTATTTGTGGTTTTAGAATGCCGAGATCAAGTCACACATCCCAGATCAAGTCTGATGCTTTAGATGCTTTAGCATGACCCAAAAGAAATAAACTAAACAGACCATGAGGTAGGTATATTACAAATCTCAGTATCCTATGTCTACATCACATAAATAATCATAGCTGAACTGGCACAAAATCAGCAGGTGATAAGTTTATTACTGATAACATATTAATTACTGACACTAAACATACACCTGATTATAACCAAACCTTACCTGGATAGGCTCATCTCAGTCCCATAGGCAAAGTAATACAGGTAGCCCTTAGGTGGTCTGGCATTGATCTCAAAACATACCGGGGCAAAAGGGGCTATAGGACCACTCCGTGGCTGTTTCTTCTTCCTATAGAAAAAATAGGAGGCTATTAATGAGGAGGTGTGTAGTATACAGGATGTAATCTAATGTAGTGATGATCTGATGTAGTGATGAAATAAACAGGATGTAATCTGATGTAGTGATGATATAAACAGGATGTAATCTGATGTAGTGATGATATAAACAGGATGTAATCTGATGTAGTGATGATATAAACAGGATGTAATCTGATGTAGTGATGATATAAACAGGATGCAATCTGATGTAGTGATGATATAAACAGGATGTAATCTGATGTAGTGATGATATAAACAGGATGTAATCTGATGTAGTGATGATATAAACAGGATGTAATCTGATGTAGTGATGATATAAACAGGATGTAATCTGATGTAGTGATGAAATAAACAGGATGTAATCTGATGTAGTGATGATATAAACAGGATGCAATCAGATGTAGTGATGATATAAACAGGATGTAATCTGATGTAGTGATGATATAAACAGGATGTAATCTGATGTAGTGATGATATAAACAGGATGTAATCTGATGTAGTGATGATATAAACAGGATGTAATCTGATGTAGTGATGATATAAACAGGATGTAATCTGATGTAGTGATGATATAAACAGAATGTAATCTGATGTAGTGATGATATAAACAGGATGTAATCTGATGTAGTGATGATATAGAGGATGTAATCTGATGTAATGAGGGATATTTAGTCACACAATTATTACTCACTTTTGTTTGTTCAATGTCTTCACCTCGGCTATGACCTTCAAGTCTTCCTTAGGAGGCAAAGGCTCACTACAACATTATATCAAGGTTTATCAGTTTATGTTGCCATAGAAAAAGGTGGACAGATGGAATTACAACATGTCTTAGGGACCAGTGCAATTAACACCTACGCCTTGGGTATGGTGGTATTGAACAAATTAAACATCAACAATTTATAGTGGTATTGAACATATAGACAACTGCACTTTGGGTGACACTGAACATATCTAACACCTACATTTTGGGTATGGGTGGTAACAAACACATTTAACACCTACACTTTGGGTATGGGTGATACTGAACACATTAAACACACTTACACTTTTGGTATTAAAGGCATTTCTGCATCTTGCTTCTGGAAAACAAAATGTAAGCATTATACAAAGTTTCCATTAATATCAGGATAATTAATTTGATGAAGAGATATTACACCAGAGATCCCAAAGGGATCTTGTCATCCATCATCACATCATCTTTAGTAGTTCTATGTAAGTTCTGTAGTTGTAGTTGTATGTGATTAATGACCATACATTACTTATGATAATAACACTCCTCTGGTAGAAGGCAGCCCTCCTAAAACTTGGATGATGGAAATTTATTACTGTCTGGGAGGGGCCAGTGACTACCTTATCATTCACTGATATCAAAATAGGCAAATATCAATGACTTCAAATGCCAAGTTATGACTCAGCAGGTGTATTAATAGAATGCACAGTAATTATTGTGATCAAAGTTGACATTCTTTTCTATAAGACAAGTTCTGGGCATTCCAGCAAGGTACTTTTATTGTCACTAAAGTCCAGTCATTCTTCACTACAAGGCAAGATTTCTGGTATACTTCAATGGCCTGTGTACATTATGTATCACTACCAGATTTTTAACCAATCGTATCACTCCATGTACCAATCATACCAGATTTATAACCAATCATATCACTACATGTATCAATTATACCAGATTTATAACCAATCGTATCACTACATGTACCAATCATACCAGATTTATAACCAATCGTATCACTACATGTACCAATCATACCAGATTTATAACCAATCGTATCACTAGATGTACCAATCATAACAGATTTATAACCAATCGTATCACTACATATACCAATCATACCAGATTTATAACCAATCGTATCACTACATGTACCAATCATACCAGATTTATAACCAATCGTATCACTACATGTACCAATCATACCAGATTTATAACCAATCGTATCACTACATGTACCAATCATACCAGATTTATAACCAATCGTATCACTACATGTACCAATCATACATGATTCATAAGCAATGTTTTCAGAATGTTTTACATTGTAACAAAATTGTTTGTCTAAAGATTGTTCCTGTAATATGTAACAGGAAATCAATACTAACCAGTTTCTCCTGATGTGTAAGCAGTTCATCACACACAATCTCCAGCAGTGCCTTAGTGTCCACGATTGTCCTGTCTTCGTCCACATCCTCCACCACTAGCTTTGTTTCCTGTGGCTCCGTCACCACCTCTTTTTGCTTTGGTCCAACTTGTGACCCCATCTCTGAATCAACCTGTGAGTGCAACTCCAATGGAGGCACGGTACTCTGTTCCGTCACACATGAATCCCCTGAACCAGACACTTCTTTTCCACCTGTTACACAGGAATCCTGCACCGGTGTCACTTTGTTTAGTCGTGACTGATCACTGACTTCACTATCACCTAAACTGAAGCCACTGTCCAGAGTAAGATTGGACGTGGCATGAGACAATCCGAGCACACTTTCACCTTTACCACTGTCCAGTGTGGACACAGACTGATAACTCCCTTTACGTTTTATAACGTTACTACTGACCGACTCCCTTCCAGACCTGCGTTGTTTGACCTTTGGCCTACGAGGAGTGGTCAATTTGTTGCTAATTTCCCCACAGTTCTCACTAGCCTCCATACACTTTCTTCTGTAGATATCTAGTAGTCCTGAGTAATCACCCCAACAGTCCTGCTGGTTGTCTGTCAACAGATCCTCCTCGGTCTGATTCAGTAAACCATGACCTGACTGGTCGACCTCCACAACTGTGCTGACGTCACTGTCATCCTCACTGCTGCTGTCCTGCAGTACATCCCATTGCTCCTCTGTGACACGTCTTTCCTGGATGTCTTCTTGAAGTGCCCTCAACTCTGCTTCAATGTCCTCAAACGTGAGCACTCGATCCTCCTGGATTCCTACATATAACTCATCACCATCCTCCTTTTCTACAAATATTGACTTGTGTTGTGGTTGGCTGTCTTCGAAAGAAACTTTTGCATTGGTGGAAGTTTTTGGCCTAGACGAAGTTTGCTGCCTCGTGGACAGGTTGGCAGAAGATGGCCTAACTAGTCGGTTACTCTTGTCGTGTTTCGATTGCTGTTTGTTCTTCTGATTTGTCATTAGTGAGTCTGGACCTTTTCGCTGCGGACTAGGTGACCTATGACCTTTTCTCTGAGGACTTGGTGACCTACTTCTACTAGTAGGACTCTCTGGACAGATCAGTGTATGAACCTGCCCTCCATGTCCCACCGCCTGCACCTGAAGGGTGGAAGCTGTCCTCGAATCTTTACCCCTTTCGTATCTAGAACACACTGCTTGCTTTACATTTGTTTTCTCTTTATTCACTGCTTTATCACTTTTCAAACTTTGTTGTTTTCCATGATTGTCACTCTTTGATGAAGAGGCTCGTTTGTTACTTTCTGTTGTATTTTGTCCTGCACTTCCAGCTGATATTAACCTGATTTCACCTTGACCTGACCTCAGACCTTTGTCCCCACTACTAGGTCCATTGTTGTTATCTGGGTCATCCTCCCTCTTGTCAGCATTACCAATGTCACTAGGTTTACAAGTTTCTCTCCCTGATCTCTCCTTCCTTCTGTTGACGGTGGGATCCTCAGCAAAGCGCACAGACTTACTGGCAGTGTGAGGCCTCGATTGTAACTGACCAGCAGTATGTGGTCTTGACTGACTATCAGCAGTAGGAGACTGACCAGACTGTCCACTAACAGCTGTTTGTGGTCTGGACAGGATTGGACTGTTGTGAGTTTTACTGTCTGTTTCGCTGTGTTTCTCGCGTGGATCTCCAGTTATGGCGTTTCTAGAACTATCCTGTAAATTCAGTTTATTGTGAAATTCTTCAGCTTGTATGTCATCAGGTATTTCAGGAATAGTTCTCCCAGTACTGATTTCTGTGGCAAACACTCGCGGGTCTGGTGACATGTTTCCTGATAATACATAAAATAAGTCGCATTTTATAACCAAGACAATTAAATACTTCAACAAGCATCTACTGCACAGAATTTTAAGAAAAAGCAATAAGTTTCTGAAGAGTAAAAACAATGTAATACAAAAACATTGGGTCACAGTTATAAACATAGCATTAGATTCTGAAGCATGTGATTGATACTAGGATTAAATACTAGATGCTTATCTTCCTTTAGTATCCTCACCTTGTTTGCGACGTTCAATGGATGCAGCACTGACAGGGGGCACCATCGGTACATCACGGTCAGTGGGTGTAGGGGTTGACCTGTAAACCAACAGTAACCATTAAACACATTGTACAGTTCTCAATATTACAGAAAGATCCCTGTCTAGCTAGTCAAAATATGTAAACTGGTTGCTAACTATAAAATCCATTTTCTACTTATCTATACTTTATTACAGTAAATGACCAGTATCATTACTTGTCTAGTCTGTCTGCCAGGTCAAGGTCGGAGAAGTCCACCTTCACATTGTTATCCCGATTTTCGTCCACACTAGATGCCTCTGATGTGCGATGGATACTCTCCACCGTATGTGGGCGCTCATAAAGGTATTCATGAATGTTAGGTATTTGTTGTACAATCTCCCGGCGACGGGCAAGTGTGCGATTAGGTGGTGCACCGTAACTCTTTGTCTCTGTAGAGAAAAGCAAACATGAAATAAAATTTAGTGTGAAAATTGTATACAAAATATTATTGTTTCATGATGGTAGAACAACTAGTTGTGTTGCCACAATGCCACAACACTTTTTGATAATAGAATCACATCCTGAGGCCACTTAACTACCACAAATGAGGCCACTAATTTGTCCCTATGCTATGACATTGTTTGGAAGTACTGGTCTAATGCTTGAAGTCACTTACCATTCAATAATGACACACTGCTATTTGATAGTGGGACCTCTACCTAAGGCCACTTACCTGCCACAATGCCACAACACTGTTTGAGAGAAGGATCTCTACCTAAGGCCACTTACCTGCCCCTAAGGCCACTTACCTGCCCCTAAGCCACAACTTTTCCACTTACCTGCCACAATGCCACGACACTGTTTGATAGTAGGACCACTGCCTAAGGCTACTGGCTTCAAAGGCTGCAATCTAATAAAGAAATAAGATCTATATCAACAAGACTGGAAGCAAAACTGAATAACAGGAGAAAGATCATTAAAAGGGGAAAAACTGAGGAAACAGTGATAATAAAAGAAAAATGACAAGAGAGGTAACAATGACAATAAAACAACAATGACAAGAGAGGTAACAATGACAATAAAACAACAATGACAAGAGAGGTAACAATGACAATAAAACAACAATGACAAGAGAGGTAACAATGACAATAAAACAACAATGACAAGAGAGGTAACAATGACAATAAAACAACAATGACAAGAGAGGTAACAATGACAATAAAACAACAATGACAAGAGAGGTAACAATGACAATAAAACAACAATGACAAGAGAGGTAACAGTAACAATAAAAGAACAATGACAAGAGAAGTAACAATGACAATAAAAGATGAGAGAGATAACAATGACAATAAAACAACAATGACAAGAGAGGTAACAATGACAATAAAACAACAATGACAAGAGAGGTAACAATGACAATAAAACAACAATGACAAGAGAGGTAACAATGACAATAAAACAACAATGACAAGAGAGGTAACAATGACAATAAAACAACAATGACAAGAGAGGTAACAATGACAATAAAACAACAATGACAAGAGAGGTAACAATGACAATAAAACAACAATGACAAGAGAGGTAACAGTAACAATAAAAGAACAATGACAAGAGAGGTAACAATGACAATAAAAGAACAATGACAAGAGAGATAACAATGACAATAAAACAACAATGACAAGAGAGGTAACAATGACAATAAAACAACAATGACAAGAGAGGTAACAATGACAATAAAACAACAATGACAAGAGAGGTAACAATGACAATAAAACAACAATGACAAGAGAGGTAACAATGACAATAAAACAACAATGACAAGAGAGGTAACAATGACAATAAAACAACAATGACAAGAGAGGTAACAGTAACAATAAAAGAACAATGACAAGAGAGGTAACAATGACAATAAAAGAACAATGACAAGAAAGGTAACAGTGACAATAAAACAACAATGACAAGAGAGGTAACAGTAACAATAAAAGAACAATGACAAGAGAGGTAACAATGACAATAAAAGAACAACGACAAGAGAGGTAACAATGACAATAACAGAACAATGACAAGAGAGGTAACAATGACAATAACAGAACAATGACAAGAGAGGTAACAATGACAATAACAGAACAATGACAAGAGAGATAACAATGACAATAAAAGAACAATGACAAGAGAGGTAACAATGACAATAACAGAACAATGACAAGAGAGGTAACAATGACAATAACAGAACAATGACAAGAGAGGTAACAATGACAATAAAAGAACAATGACAAGAGAGGTTACAGTGACAATAAAAGAACAATGACAAGAGAGGTAACAGTGACAATAAAAGAACAATGACAAGAGAGGTAACAATGACAATAAAAGAACAATGACAAGAGAGGTTACAGTGACAATAAAAGAACAATGACAAGAGAGGTTACAGTGACAATAATTGGACACTGACAAAAGGGGGTACCAGTGACAAAGGGAAGAGTGACAATAAAAAGGACACTGACATAACTGGTAACAGTGACAATAAAAAGGACACTGACATAACTGGTAACAGTGACAAAGGGAATAGTGACAATATAAAGGGAGGTGACAAGAAGGAAAGAGTACAACAGAGGGAACAATGACAACATAGGAGCAGTGACAACTGTGGGAACAGGTACAAAGAAAATAGTGACAACAGAAACTGTGACAACAGGTGAAAATTGAAAAATGGTGGAGCAGAAACAATGATAGGAACAATGACCACAGAAGAAACAATGACACAGAGAGTACAGGTACAATAGATGGAACAGTGACAACAGAGGAACAGGTACAATAGATGGATCAGTGACAACAGAGGGAATAGGTACAATAGATGGATCACTGACAACAGGAACAATGATAACAGAGGGAACATGTACAATAGATGGAACAGTGACAACAGAGGGAATATTTACAACAGAGGCAGCAGTAACAATAAAGGGAACAGTAATAACAGAGGTAACAATGACACAAAGGGAACAATGACACAAGAGGGAACAATCACACAAGAGGGAACAATCACACAAAGGGAACAATCACACAAAGGGAACAATCACACAAAAGGGAACAATGACACAAGAGGGAACAATGACACAAAGGGAACAATGACACAAAAGGGAACAATGACACAAAGGGAACAATGACACAAAGGGAACAATGACACAAGAGGGAACAATGGCACAAGAGGGAACAATGACACAAAGGGAACAATGACACAAGAGGGAACAATGACACAAGAGGGAAAAAGACACAAGGGGAAACAATGACACAATAGGGAACAATGACACAAGAGGGATTAATGACACAAAAGGGAACAATAACAGAGACTTACATTTAATAAGGACCATTTTACAGAAGGGAGCTGTGTAATGGAATACAAAACATTGCAGATTTTTAACTCAACAGCAGCATGTGTCAAATAGATTTTAGTTTCTCTATTTGTAATTTATTTCATTCACTATCAACAGGTGATATGGCTGGTGAGGTTTTATATAATTCAATGCTTTTCCATGGGATAATCAGATTTGTGACCAGTAATCCCCAAAATGAACTAAACAAACTGGTGCTGATCTTCTCAAAGCTTTTATATCATTTTGTCAAGGCTGGTGAGGTTTAAATATTTGTAACAGATTATAACTACTTAGATTTTAATCATTTATTTCAAACCTGAGGCCATGCTGCATGCAAGTACATAACTTGTTTAAATAAGTGATTCAGATCAGTGCATGCATGTTAGACACACCTGTGTTTGCTGTTATACATGTGATCATGCCAGGTACCTATAGGTCGTCAGTGTGTTCTAACTGTAACATGTATAACAATACAGAAAGAATGATAGAGAATGGCCAACAGGGGGGGGGGGATTGGTATGGAGAAATTGGAGAACAGGAGGGGACTGGGTATGAAGAGATTGGTGAACAGGATGGGACTGGGTATGGAGAGATTGGTGAACAGGGGGGAATGGGTATGGAGAGATTGGTAAACAGGAGGGGACTGGGTATGGAGAGATTGGCCAACAGGAGGGGACTGGGTATGGAGAGATTGGTGAACAGGAGGGGACTTGGTATGAAGAGATTGGTGAACAGGAGGGGACTCGGTATGGAGAGATTGGTGAACAGGGGGGAATGGGTATGGAGAGATTGGTGAACAGGAGGGGACTGGGTATGGAGAGATTGGCCAACAGGAGGGGACTCGGTATGGAGAGATTGGTGAACAGGAGGGGACTGGGTATGGAGAGATTGGCCAACAGGAGGGGACTCGGTATGGAGAGATTGGTGAACAGTAGAGGACTAGGTTGGGGTAGGTAGTGGGTGATGGTTAAAGGAAGGAAGATTGAGTAGGGAGAGATAGTAGAGGATAGTAAACTGGAAGGAGATTGGGTAGGGAGAAGTGTTAGAAGATGGTGAACAATAGGGACATTCAGTAGGGAGAAGAGTTATAGAGCATGGTGAACAGGGGGATTGGGTTGGGAGAAATGTAAGAGGATGGTGAACAGGAGGGAAATTGTTAAGGGAGAAAAGTAGTAGAGGATGGTAAACAGGAGGGAATCAGGGTAGGAAGACGATGCTGAACAGGAGGGGATTGAATAAGGAGAAAAGTGATAGAGGATGCTGAACAGGAGGGGATCGGGTATGGAGAGGATGGTTAACAGGAGGGATGGGATAGGGAGAGGTGGTGGAAAATGGTTAACAGGCGGAGAGGGTAGGGAGAGGATAGTTAACAGGAGAGGAAGAGGTAGGGGGAGCTAGTTGCAGATGGTTAACAGGAGAGGAAGAGGTAGGGGGGAGCTAGTTGCAGATGGTTAACAGGAGGGGATGGGGTAGGGGGAGGTGGTTGCGGATGGTTAACAGGAGGGAGATCAGGAAGAGAGAAAAGTAGTAGAGGATGGTGCACAGGAGGGTATTGGGTAACAAGAGGATGGGGTAGGGGGAGGTAGTGGAGGATGCTTAACAGGAGGGAAATTGGATAGGAAGAGGTGGTAGAGGATGGTAAACAGGAGGGGTTGGGGCAGGGGGAGGTAGTGGAGGATGCTTAACAGGAGGGAAATTGGATAGGAAGAGGTGGTAGAGGACGGTAAACAGGAGGGAGATTGGGAAAAGAGAACTGGTAGAGGATCATGGTGAACAGGAGGGAATATATGGATTGAAATAGGAATGAAGGAATGTAAGGACTGAAAGGGGGTCGGAGAATGTACTTTGTATATATATATATACTTTTTTTCTTCTTTTTCCCAATATGAAGACAAGATGCGAATGCAAATATAAGAAAAAGAATTTTCACAAAGTTTCAAAGGACAAAAACAGTAATATTTCACATAATAAGGGCAGTGTATTGTGTTTTGAACAGGAAGTGATTAATTTATCAGCAACAGTTGCACTGTGTTCTGTGACTAAAAATGAAGCATTTCAGAATGTTACCTGCTGGACTGCTCAGAGCTTGGACGTGAATGACTAGAAAGAGAATCACCACAAATATTCAAACAAAGAGGCCAGTTGGTCATTTAAAGTATTCATTAGGGTACTGAAATCTGTTTATTCAAACAAAATTTCAGTAGAAGTTATGTAATTAGATAAGGGCAAATTTCATCCCTGCTATCAAGACCAAAATGCCCACACCACAGCTATCCCTACTCTGACCCCTACATGTATCCTTACTCTGACCCCTACATGTATCCCTACTCTGACCCCTACATGTATCCCTACTCCAACCCCTACTTACATCCCTACCTCCATCCCCACCCTTTAAATGTATCCTTACTTTACCTGTTTCTGCATCCCAACTACTCCCTTGTATCCCTGCCTTTATCCACACCTCTCTATCTATCCCTACCCCTATCCCCGCACCTCCATGTATCTTTACCCATATCCCCACCATTTGTTGTATCCCTGCCTATATCACCACCGCTCCATGCATCCCTACCTGCATCCCTACCACTCCATATATCCCTACCTGTATCCCTACCACTCCATATATCCTTACCACTCCATATATCCCTACCACTCCTTGTATCCCCACCACTCCATATATCCCTACCTGTATCCCTACCACTCCATATATCCCTACCACTCCATATATCCCTACCTGCATCCCTACCACTCCATATATCCATACCTGCATCCCTACCACTCCATATATCCATACCTGTATCCCTACCACTCCATATATCCCTACCACTCCATGTATCCCTACCCATACCACCACCACTTCATATAACCCTACATGTGTTCCCACCACTGCTGTTCAGCTTCTTGATTTGGAGTCTTTTTAAGTTAAGAATACTTTGCACAATGGTCAGTATCCTATAGTAGAGAATATCTTGGTCAATGGTCAATGGTGAAGCTAAATGTAACTTATAAACAGCGAAACACAATAAAGTCACACTTACTTTCCCTTCAGCAACTTTCCTTGTTTCTTGTTTGAACTTTCATTGTTGTTCTTTGCCAGAACTTTTCCCATTTGGAAAGTGGCAAAGGTGGTTCTCTGTTTCATTTCGCCAGATGGTGTTTTACAACGTTCAGGTGTCCTTCCTTTCTCCTAAGAAGATAGGTAAACAAGTTTCAACCATAGCTGCTTAACTATAAATCTATTTCATCACTATTTCTCAAAATACTATAATTATTAGTTAATGGACTGTAACACCTGGAAGACATTTTGTAAATGATGTGTTGAGGTGTCCAATATGTAATTTAACTATAAAGCATCTTTGGTTTTCAGACTTAATGTGCAAAACTTTACGTAGAAATGCTGACACCTCGACTGCTGCCCTGTGGAAAATTAACAATATAGCCAGACTTTAGCAGGCCAGACAATAATACTACTTATTTAACCACAAGTTAAAGCTTATCTTTATTAATCACTCCTAGTTGTAACAGATACTTAACATAGATACAAAATACTTACAATATTTAAGTCATCCGTTGTGTAGTTGATTGAATGTTTAAATGGGTTCTTAATGCAGTGATTGATTTTCTTTGCTGAATCCTCTGGAGAGATAAATACAGATGACGCAGGAGTTATTCTACCATTCCTGAAACACAACCAACCAAACAGTTGTCAAAAATGCAAAAAATAAAACAGTTGTCATATAAGATAACCAACAAAACAGTTGTCAAAAATACAACCAACAAAACAGTTGTCAAAAATACAACCAACAAAACAGTTGTCAAAAATACAACCAACAAAACAGTTGTCAAAAATACAACCAACAAAACAGTTGTCAAAAATAAAACCAACAAAACAGTTGTCAAAAATACAACCAACAAAACAGTTGTCAAAAATACAACCAACAAAACACTTGTCAAAAATACAACCAACAAAACAGTTGTCAAAAATACAACCAACAAAACAGTTGTCATAAATACAACCAACAAAACAGTTGTCAAAAATACAACAAACAAAACAGTTGTCAAAAATACAACCGACCAAACACTTGTCAAAAATACAACCGACCAAACACTTGTCAAAAATACAACCAACAAAACACTTGTCAAAAATAAAACCAACAAAACAGTTGTCAAAAATACAACCGATCAAACAGTTGTCAAAAATACAACCGACCGAACACTTGTCAAAAATACAACCGACAAAACAGTTGTCAAAAATAAAACCAACAAAACAGTTGTCAAAAATACAACCAACCAAACAGTTGTCAAAAATACAACCGACCAAACACTTGTCAAAAATACAACCAACAAAACACTTGTCAAAATAAAACCAACAAAACAGTTGTCAAAAATACAACCAACAAAACAGTTGTCAAAAATACAACCAACCAAACAGTTGTCAAAAATACAACCAACAAAACAGTTATGTATAATCTTAGTTGATATATTCTGTAATTTACCATTCCTGAAACACAACCAACTAAACAGTTGTCATTTAACAGTTACTAATCTAAAACACATATGAAACAATAACTTAGTGATAATTTCTCATTTAGAAATTTTGTAACCCTGCCTATGAAGTAAATATTTATCTGTTAAATAAGCAGAATGATGTACTGTAATTGAAGTTGACAATCAAATCAAAAATTACTTTATTGGACAAATTCTGTAATTAAGGGGTTGCAAGCCATTGTCTTAATATGACTCATGTGTACACCAGTTTCATGATCATTGCTTAACTGACGGCAGAGTTATGCTCCAGACACAGAAGGACAGACAGAAAGACAGATGAACGAGCGGACGACAGACAAAGCAATGACTTTATATGCTCTGCCAGAAATTTTCAGGGAGCATAAAAAGAATATTTCAGTTGTTAGAAACAGCATTTTTACTAAAATTATATTCAATTTAAATACAGTAACTAATGAGTGGGAGTGAGTTTGCCTATTGGAGCATGACTAATATATTCTACGGCACATATCTTATATCTGGCATAGGATATCTGGATTTGAAGAAACTCATTTTGGCATAAAACCTTAGATCCTAGGACCAGGTCAAGGTCATCATTTCCCAGAATTTGAGAAATTCCAATTAATAGTACAGAAAGCATACCTGAAAGTGTTATTTTTTAAAATTGTTACTGTAGTCAATACTGTTACCTTGACAGAGATAATGTATCAGGGGCATTGAAATTCAAAATTTTGATAAAAACACCTGGCTCTGGTTGCTCAAAGGTTAGTTACAGTTAACTAGCGGTTATTGAAAAAAGGATGTTTAAACAGAAAATGCCAGAGCATTAAAGGCAAAAATAACTTCCTTTATATCAACCTGTTCTTAATTTTGTTTCATTCATATTGGGAAATTTTCACTAACAACTGGTTATCTCTAACTGGTCTTTAAACAATGGGGGCCTGTATCTCCTAAAAGACCTGAGGGACAGGGGACCGTAATGCTCAGGGCTCTGGGTGACAGGGGACCAAACACCTTAGGCTCTGGGTCACAGGGGACCCTGATGCTCAGGATGACAGAGGACCCTTCATCTCAGGCTCTGGGTCACAGGGGACCCTGATGCTCAGGATGACAGAGGACCCTTCATCTCAGGCTCTGGGTGACAGAGGACCCTACATCTCAGGCTCTGGGTGACAGAGGACACTACACCTCAGGCTCTGGGTGACAGGGGACCCTAATGCTCAGGATGACAGAGGACCCTACATCTCAGGCTCTGGGTGACAGAGGACACTACACCTCAGGCTCTGGGTCACAGGGGACCCTGATGCTCAGGATGACAGAGGACCCTACATCTCAGGCTCTGGGTGACAGAGGACACTACACCACAGGCTCTGGGTGACAGAGGACACTACACCACAGGCTCTGGGTGACAGAGGACACTACACCACAGGCTCTGGGTGAAAGAGGACACTACACCACAGGCTCTGGGTGACAGAGGACACTACACCACAGGTTCTGGGTGACAGAGGATCCTACAACTCAGGCTCTGGGTGACAGAGGACACTACACCACAGGTTCTGGGTGACAGAGGACATTACACCACAGGCTCTGGGTGACAGAGGATCCTACAACTCAGGCTCTGGGTGACAGGTGACCATTTGATTTCTAATTAAGGTTTTACTTTTCTCAAAGAACATTGAATGAATTTACAAAAACAACACTTTAGCTTTGCTCAGGAAATGCTTTTGATAAATTTGAACAATGTTGAGCCTCCATACTCTGAACTGCTATACATCAATAACAGTTTAGCTTCGCTTAAGGAACATTTCAGTAAACTTCAATCAATAGCAATTCAGTTTCCCTTAAGGAACATTCCAGCAAATTTGAAAATTTCTTTGTACTGCAGCGAAAGTTTCCTCCTAATGCTAGAAAGCTTTAGAATGTTACAATTTGTATATATAATGTACTATACTGTACATATAATAAAAAAGTCTGTAATGGGCTTGTGAAATAACTTGCTTGTTGCTGAAGTAGGTCTACCAACTGGAGAGACATAGAGTGATATAATGATTCCTACTGTGTAATGGTGCAGTTATTCTACAATCATCAATTCAGTGTTACTCTAGACATAACTAAAACTACATGCTAGTCGTTTGTCTAATAGAGAATGCTGTGTTAGTGTGAGTGGTACATAGTGATAGATATGACACAGGCAGTTGTGACTAGTGACATATAACATGGCTGTAAACTTACCGTCACAGGCTCAGAAACACAGAAAATTTGAAGTTGTTACATCAAAATATCTCAGATAGAAAAGTGTACTTTATTTAGAAAATTAAGGCATTGATATTCTAGTACACAAAGGTTTCTACTGACTAAAGTGTCCACACAACAGCAGCAAAGTACAGACTGGAACAGCACACAGAAGTTATTATAATGGAAAGGACAACAAAAGTCACTTTAATGAAGGGTACTACAGAAGTCATTATAATGAAGGGTAATACAGCAGTCATTGTAATGAAGGGTAATACAACAGTCATTGTAATGAAGGGTAATACATTAGTCATTATAATGAAGGGTAATACAGAAGTCATTATAATGAAGGGTAATAAAGAAGTCATTATAATGAAGGGTAATACAGAAGTCATTATAATGAAGGGTAATACAGAAGTCATTATAATGAAGGGTACTAAAGTAGTAATTATAATGAAGGGTAATACAGTTGTCATTATAATGAAGGGTGAAGGGAAATACAGCAGTCATTGTAATGAAGGGTAATACAACATTCATTGTAATGAAGGGTAATACAGCAGGTAATACAGAAGTCATTATAATGAAGGGTACTACTGAAGTCATTATAATGAAGGGTAATACAGTTGTCATTATAATGAAGGGTAATACAGTTGTCATTATAATGAAGGGTAATACAGAAGGCATTATAATGAAGGGTAATACAATAGTAATTATAATGAAGGGTACTACTGTAGTCATTATAATGAAGGGTAATACAGAAGTCATTATAATGAAGGGTAATACAGAAGTCATTACAATGAAGGGTAATACAGAAGTCATTATAATGAAGGGTAATACAGAAGTCATTATAATGAAGGGTACTACAGTAGTCATTATAATGAAGGTTACTACAGTAGTCATTATAATGAACGGTAATACAGTTGTCATTATATAATGAAGGGTAATACAGAAGTCATTATAATGAAGGGTAATACAGAAGTCATTATAATGAAGGGTACTACAGTTGTCATTTTAATGAAGGGTACTACAGTAGTCATTATAATGAAGGGTACTACAGTTGTCATTATAATGAATGGTACTACAGTTGTCAGTATAATGAATGGGATCAACAGCAGTCATTATAAATGAGGTGAATCAAGAATTATCAGTGCTGTTTTATCGAAGGTTTGTGTATTCTGATGTGAGCAGTATTTTATTATAACGACAGTTTTATCAGTTATACAGTAAAAGAGTGGTTGAGAAGAGCTGTTTACTACTTATATCTGAGTTAGTCCATCTCACCTCACTTTGCCTCCCCTCTTGCCAGGTGCTCTGTTAGGTATACCTACGTCCCCACTGGGTCTGTTTACACAACATCAACAGAGTAACACACACTTATTCTAATTCACTGTACAAGATCACAAAAACTGTTTCTTGCACTCTGTAGTGATGTTAGGGATGAAATGTATGGAAATCAAGACAGGTCAACCAAATTTAATGTTAACATACATGATGGGAAGTGTATTAACCCCATAGTTCGATCTATAAACTCAATATAGGACATAAAATTATTTCAAAATTATATGAAATACATATACTTAGTATAATGTACCAAGGCTAGCAGAACAACCCACCACTATAACCTTACAACAGCAATGAGACTTACCTCAGAAAGAAGGCTGGAGAGCCATACGGTGAACGGCCAGATAAGGAAGAACGATTTCCCGCACCAGGAGAGGATCTGATTTTACGACGAGTCTTGGAATTCCCAGAATTCACTGAAAAAAAAACAATCCATGTATCAGTAACAGGTGTGAACCATGGAATGGTGTATTTTCTGCCTGAACATTACAGAGCGTATTTCAGGAAAACTTTCACTTGACTGATATCTATAAGACTTGACATACAAAACAGTGTAATAGGAGGGAGTAGGGAAAAACCTCCTGCCACTTCTGGGGTTTGAACTAGTGACCATTTGGTCTCCTACCACTCAACTAAAGTCCCACAAGTCAAGGCTAGTAAGGCAGTCTGTATTCTCAACTTCTACACAATTCCCTCCTTCACAAAGTATTCCACCCTGCAGACAACAACAACAATGCAAGTTCGATATCTCTAAAGAAGCCTATCAATCTCCTACAGCTTCTACCTTTTGAGTGGTAAAAGGAGCCAGCTCTGTAATAGGAAGGAGTAATGAAAAATGGCACCCTGTACTGTCAACTTCTACAACAGCATTGAACGGGTAAAAAAATTGTTATCCTCAAGATTCAATTCAAAAACACTACTTCAGCTGATCTCTAAAGAGGTAGACCACACAGCTGCTGACACAGGCCTGACCTCCTGCACATCCCCATCTTCACTATAATCAACACAAACCTCTTGGTGCTGCAGACTTGGATCTTAATTCACCAGCGTGTTCCCCAGAACTTCTATGGACTGCAGACTTTGTCCTTGTTCTAACAGCTTGTTCCTCGATAATTCTGGGTGCCGCAGATTTAGTCCTTGCTCCAACAGCGTGTTCCCCGATACTTCTGGGAGCTGCAGATTTAGACCTTCTCTGACCAGTGTGTTCTTTAAGGAACACTTTGGCAAGCTGACTGAATGAAGGATCGTTTCTCCATTTTAAGATTTCAACGAGAAATTCGCTCCTTTTCTCGAGATCTTCATCATTCACTACTGACATGTTAATCGTACAACTCTAATTAACCTGGACCTTGGCATTATAAACTTAATTAAATCTGCCTAGACTCAAATATCACCGAAGATTGACAAACAGAGATTGGTTGTTGTCTATTGTAGCAACAGAGGGGCTACCTACAGGTTTTCAGTCTTTCTACAACAACACCACAACAGAGGGGCCACCTACAGGATATCTCCATACAATGTACTACTTCAGCAATGCTAAAAAACTTGTGTAATAGTGATCATGTTAGACAAAACAAACTTCAGTAATACAACAAGTCTGACTGTTTCCATGTTAAATACATTTTACACAATATTTCACGAATCTTATTTCATTTTTTAAAGTGCCCTCCCTGTAGACCCCTGTACTTACCTGTCTGGGATGCCTGTTTCTCGGGTGGCAGGTTATCCACACTTAAGAATGGTTCCATCTTTAGGTAAAGACAAAAGAAATCATTAACGCTGTGCTAATCTATCGGTAAATCTGGACACACATGAGTGAGCTTACGTACAAAGGCCCCCACAGACAGATAGGATCAGACGGGGAGACTTTGAATTCAACATTTAAATTTAAACAATAAGAACAATGTAAACATATGTGTATTGAAGATAGACAAGGACTATACAGGAATGTGCTAGAGATCTCTCCACAACACTATATAGGGACATCCTTAACAGATCTAAGTCTTTACCAGTCAAAATCACCTGTGATGCTTGCCTCTAAGATGTTTTATCTTCTCTATTCACCAGATATCCTGAGGATTCTATCACAAGCTGTAGTTGTTGACATTATAATTTCTCTTTGTGGACTAAAAGGAATTATTGATACAAGTATGTTACTTCTTATGAATCTGCATACACATTATAGTGTATTGTAGAGGTAACATTGTATAATGTATTGTAGAGGTAACACTGTATAACGTATTGTAGAGGTGGCACTGTATAATGTATTGTAGAGGTAACACAGTATAATGTATTGTAGAGGTAACACTGTATAGTGTATTGTAGAGGTAACACTGTATAGTGTATTGTAGAGGTAACACTGTATAATGTATTGTAGAGGTAACACTGTATAATGTATTGTAGAGGTAACACTGTATAATGTATTGTAGAGGTAACACTGTATATTGTATTGTAGAGGTAACACTGTATAGTGTATTGTAGAGGTAACACTGTATAATGTATTGTAGAGGTAACACTGTATAGTGTATTGTAGAGGTAACACCGTATAGTGTATTGTAGAGGTAACACTGTATAATGTATTGTAGAGGTAACACTGTATAATGTATTGTAGAGGTAACACTGTATAGTGTATTGTAGAGGTAACACTGTATAGTGTATTTTAGAGGTAACACTGTATAGTGTATTGTAGAGGTAACACTGTATAATGTATTGTAGAGGTAACACTGTATAATGTATTGTAGAGGTAACACCACCGTATGTATTGTAGAGGTAACACTGCATAATGTATTGTAGAGGTAACACTGTATAATGTATTGTAGAGGTAACACTGTATAATGTATTGTAGAGGTAACACTGCATAATGTATTGTAGAGGTAACACCGTATGTATTGTAGAGGTAACACTGTATAATGTATTGTAGAGGTAACACTGCATAATGTATTGTAGAGGTAACACTGTATAATGTATTGTAGAGGTAACACTGCATAATGTATTATAGAGGTAACACTGTATAATGTATTGAAGAGGTAACACTGTATAATGTATTGTAGAGGTAGCACTGTATAATGTATTGTAGAGGTAACACTGTATAATGTATTGTAGAGGTAACACCGTATGTATTGTAGAGGTAACACTGTATAATGTATTGTAGAGGTAACACTGTATAATGTATTGTAGAGGTAACACTGTATAATGTATTGTAGAGGTAAAACTGTATAATGTATTGTAGAGGTAATACTGTATAATGTATTGTAGAGGTAACACTGTATAATGTATTGTAGAGGTATAATGTATTGTAGAGGTAACACTGTATAATGTATTGTAGAGGTAACACTGTATAATGTATTATAGAGGTAACACTGTATAATGTATTGTAGAGGTAACACTGTATAATGTATTGTAGAGGTAGCACTGTATAATGTATTGTAGAGGTAACACTGTATAATGTATTGTAGAGGTAGCACTGTATAGTGTATTGTAGAGGTAACACTGTATAATGTATTGTAGAGGTAACACTGTATAATGTATTGTAGAGGTAATACTATAATGTATTGTAGAGGTAACACCGTATGTATTGTATAACACTGTATAATGTATTGTAGAGGTAACACTGTATAATGTATTGTAGAGGTAACACTGTATAATGTATGGTAGAGGTAACACTGTATAATGTATTGTAGAGGTAATACTGTATAATGTATTGTAGAGGTAACACTGTATAATGTATTGTAGAGGTAACACTGTATAATGTATTGTAGAGGTAACACTGTATAATGTATTGTAGAGGTAACACTGTATAATGTATTGTAGAGGTAACACTGTATAGTGTATTGTAGAGGTAATACTATAATGTATTGTAGAGGTAACACTGTATAATGTATCGTAGAGGTAATACTGTATAATGTATTGTAGAGGTAATACTGTATAATGTATTGTAGATGTTACACTGTATAATGTATTGTACAGAGATTACACTGTATAATATGTGGTACAGAGATTACACTGTACAATATGTGACACAGAGGTAACTTTGTATAATGTACCTTATGGTACAGAGATAACACTGTACAATATTGCAGTAATATCTTATTTAAGATGTTGTTTAAATGCTATGGCGGTGGCATTTTCGAATGAAAAAATACATGAAATACAAGCCAGCTGTTTACATGAAACTGTTTTCTATTAGATTATTTTGCAATTATGCACTTATCATGGTAATTGCCAAATTTTACCAACCTCGTGTGATTTAATAGGACGTCCTCTCGTTTTCACTGCTGAATGTTTCTTTATCCGAGATGAAGTGTTGCTGTTAAAACGACTACCCACTGTGTTTGACCTGTTCGATCTGCTGGTAGAGTGACCATTTATGACGGGTTCGTCATCAAGGGGGATGTCAACCTCCACAATCAAATCCGGGTCTTGTTCATACAACAGGTAGGAGTAGTCGTGGTTATTGGTATGTACTATAGGTTCCTGGCCACCGGGTTCAGTACCGTCTGTTTGGACACGGCCCGAGTGACCGGGCGACCCCTGTCCTTTCAAATCAGCCATGCCTAATCTGTCTGCTTGGACCTCAAGGATTATGACAATGGACGTAATTCAAAACTGAAAGTGTGCCAATAAGTTTAGAAATAAGTTGGACATGGATATGACGGATACGGTAGCAAAATATTCGTGCACTTCTCATGGTACATTATCCAGTCATACTGCAAGAACGTTGTCAACCATGTTGTTTACATGTTTTGCACTCTCGTTTTCAACTACATCCGCTTAGGAATGTAATTCAAATTTGGCACTATAAGCAGATAAAAAGGGGAAATGAACAACTAGTTTGAGAATGTACAGCTCAATATATTACTTCTCGTGTTATAAAACTATCATAAGCTACTAACAGTTGCATGACATAAACGAAAGTATCTTTCTCGTATCACTACGCAAGAAGGGAGATAACCCAATGAAAGCCAAAATGAGGTAGCGCACCATTAAGTTTTGAAATTGTGACAGTAAAAAACTTCACAAACTGTAAATGTTTTCCTGTCTTCTTTATCTAAATGTTTAAATGTGAAAGCAGATTATAATTATTCCTTAAGTTGACAGATGACACATGACTTATACTGCACACACAAAAAAACTGTTTATAAAAACCTTTTTTTTTTTTTTATCTATTTTCTTTTTAAGACAGCAGCAGATGACATATTTATAGCTTTCCTATTGCTGATAAAAAGCCTTATGTGTAAAGTATACAGTGTACATCAAAACACTGTTAGCAACTACAAAGCAAAATAAACACTGATTCATTTTTTCAAAATGACATATTTGTGAAATCGTCACCACTGATCTATTTCAAGTTTGACATTAAGACACTTACTCTTCCGGAACATCTGGTCTTATTCTCCTTGTCACTTTTTTAGGAGTCTCTGTGTAACTTTTTCTTTTGTTCATATTTTGCCCTAGTTTTAAAGAAATTGATTTTAGGTTATAATTATGTTCCTATGTTGGTATTTTCTTAAAGTTTCTTGACCTGGTGACCTTGACCTGAAGTCCCATGTCTTCCTATTTGATTTTGAGCAACTAAAACCATGATGTTGACCTTGAACAAGGTAGCCATGTCCTTTATCAAGTACTTCATTGTTCAGATCAGCATGGTTTTATGTTATCGAGAAATAAATTAACAAGGAACACAAACCCATACTTATATAAATTTCATTACTGTGACCGTGTGACATTATCTAGCCATGTCAGTAACAAACACTAAATGGAACACCACTGTTATGTTATCTAGCTGAGTCAGTTACAGACACTAATTGGTTCACCACTGTGACGCTATCAAGTTGAGTCAGTAACAAACACTAAACGGTTCACCACTGTGATGTTATCTTGCCGAGTCAGTAACAAAATCAAAAGTATCGTTTTATAATGTATTTTATTAATGCCTTAATTACAAATAAATTATAATGCTGTAACAATATAACAAGGTAACTTGGCCAGCATTATATACAGCCAAGTAACCATTATAATAAGTCAACGTACACAGTTACAATATAGTCTAACACTCCCTCTACAACAGTTGTGCTACAAACGGGGCCTCACACAACACATCAGGTCTAACTCTGAAGCCTCGCAAAACCAGGCCTAGCTACAAGGCCTGACGTAACACACCAGGCCTAGCTACAAGACCTCAAGCAACACACCAGGCCCAGCTATGAGGCCTCGCAAAACAAGGCCTAGCTACAAGGCTTGGCATAGCACACCAGGCCTAGCCACATGACCTTGCACAACAATCCAGGCCTAGCTTCAAGACCTCATGCAGAACACCAGGCCTAGCATTAATGTAATTATTCATCATTTTAAAACTGGATTGGGTAAAGCTCAATAATTATTATAAGTACTAACAAAAAGAACTAAAATAAGGACTTGGAAGGGACTTTGGACTTCAGGGGTGAAAGTTAAAAACTTACTGAAGACAGAAAATAATAGACAAGATTTCACCTGATCAAACAACAATCTTTTTTACTTGAAATAACAACAGACAGGAGACAAAAATAATTGCATTCATTGTAAACAAAATGTTTGTTAAAAAGAGAGAAAAAGAAATTTGAGAGACTGAAAGAAATAAAACTGAAAGTGTAAAGTAGTAAGTGAAATATCTATGATGGAGAAAGTTTTATGCAGACAATGTCAACAATTTCATATAATAATCCTGACACATACATTAGTTTTCTGTGTTTATTTGGAATGGTGTCATAATATGACAGCAAAGGAATATGTCTTTGGAATCATTCAGTATATCATGGAATAATCATATCTGACGGAACCGTTTGTCTTAATGGCAGACCCAAGATAAGGCGTGTCTGTTGTATATATAAATAATGGCAGCACGGACAGTCTGACACTTGAAATGAGTACTACTGGACTTCTAGTCTGGTCAACTCAGTGTTATATAAAATTTGGTATGAAGGTAACTGAAAATATCACACTGTACATAATGAAATCAAACTTCTGTTGCTCAGTAAACATCAAAACAGCACTTTTACAAATCCTATGGTTCTATCTTCGAAATATTTACTTATCACAAAATCTATGGATTTCAAATATCCTTATATGAATTATTGAACAAGACCAAAAGCACAAAAAAGAAAAGGTGCAAGGACACAGGTCAGTCAGACTGACCACTATGAATCAACATTATCTCACACATGCTATGTGATTTATGTTTACTGCACATATATATCTACAGCTGGATCAGGTGTATCTCTACTAAACCCTGTACATAAACATCTCAACAAGCACTACCAGTCTCCATCAACGTATCACCCATCAACCCTAGCAATAGTAGAACATCACTTACAAGATTTAAAGCACAGCTGACCAAGAAAAACAGGAACAGTTACAATATCTCAGTTTGAACAGTACTCATATCTCATTTCAATTTGAACAGCACTTTATCACAGACTTCAAAAACATAGTACAATATTAAACATTGATAGAGCTGTTTTATATCTACACAAAACAACATAACATAGGCACACTCATAACATATTTCTGAACATAATATGAAAATACAATGACAAGCCAGCAAGCAAAAAGTGATGGTTTTAAAATGACCTTAATATGTCAAAGTACCTCTCTATCCCTACAGTATCTGATATGTTTAAGTATCACTGATCACAATGTTCATCTCAACAAATTAAATCTGTCACAATATACATCTCAACATCCCTCCCTTAATCTGTCAAAATCTACACCTCTTCTCTCCCTCAATCTATCACAATCAACACCTCATCCTCCCTCAATCTGTCACATTCTCCACCACATCTCTCCCTCAATATGTCACAATCCGAATATCATTTCTCCCTCAATATGTCACAATCTACACTTCATCTCTCCCTCAATCACTATGTTTATCTCAACACACTAAATCTGTCACAGTCTACACCTCATCCCTCCCTAAGCCTGTCACAAACTACACCTCATCCCTTCCTCAGTCTGTCACAATCTACACCTCATCCCTCCCTCAATCTGTCACATTCTCCATCTCATCTCTCCCTCAATCTGTCACAATCTACACTTCATCTCTCCCTCAATCTGTCATAGTCTACACTTCATCTGTCCCTCAATCTGTCATAGTCTACACTTCATCTCTCCCTCAATCTGTCATAATCTGCACTTCATCTCTCCCTCAATCTGTCATAGTCTACACTTCATCTCTCCCTCAATCTGTCATAATCTGCACTTCATCTCTCCCTCAATCTGTCACATTCTCCATCTCATCTCTCCCTCAATCTGTCACAATCTACACTTCATCTCTCCCTCAATCTGTCACAATCTACACTTCATCTCTCCCTCAATCTGTCATAGTCTACACTTCATCTCTCCCTCAATCTGTCATAGTCTACACTTCATCTCTCCCTCAATCTGTCATAATCTGCACTTCATCTCTCCCTCAATCTGTCATAATCTGCACTTCATCTCTCCCTCAATCTGTCACAATCTACACTTCATCTGTCCCTCAATCTGTCATAGTCTACACTTCATCTCTCCCTCAATCTGTCATAATCTGCACTTCATCTCTCCCTCAATCTGTCACAGTCACACCTCATTTCTTCCTCACACTGTCACAATCTGCACCTTGTTCCTCCCTCATGATCTGAGAACTCTATTCATTGTTTTAAGTATATATGGCATAGTATATATAAATGCTAGGGTTCTGAGAGTTGTCTTCTCCTGTATGAAAGCATTCAATATAACAGTAATGTCAACAAATGGATAGTTCTGTATAAACCTGCACCACATAATATCTAACATTACACATGATAAATAGCATATACACTACACTACAGATATCTATAGGGGATACACTACAGAGTCTCACAAACACAGGGTATAACAATTAGTATAGGGGATACACAACAGAGTCCCACGAACACAGGGTATAACAATTAGTATAGGGTATACACTACAGAGTCCCACAAACACAGGGTATAACAATTAGTATAGGGGATACACTACAGAGTCCCACAAACACAGGGTATAACAATTAGTATAGGGGATACACAACAGAGTCCCACAAACACAGGGTATAACAATTAGTATAGGGGATACACAACAGAGTCCCACAAACACAGGGTATAACAATTAGTATAGGGGATACACAACAGAGTCCTACAAACACAGGGTATAACAATTAGTATAGGGGATACACTACAGAGTCCCACAAACACAGGGTGTAACAATTAGTATAGGGTATACACAACAGAGTCCCACAAACACAGGGTATAACAATTAGTATAGGGGATACACAACAGAGTCCTACAAACACAGGGTATAACAATTAGTATAGGGGATACACAACAGAGTCCTACAAACACAGGGTATAACAATTAGTATAGGGGATACACAACAGAGTCCTACAAACACAGGGTATAACAATTAGTATAGGGGATACACAACAGAGTCCCACAAACACAGGGTATAACAATTAGTATAGGGGATACACAACAGAGTCCTACAAACACAGGGTATAACAATTAGTATAGGGGATACACTACAGAGTCCCACAAACACAGGGTATAACAATTAGTATAGGAAATACACTACAGAGTCCCACAAACACAGGGTACAACAATTAGTATAGGGGATACACAACAGAGTCCCACAAACACAGGGTATAACAATTAGTATAGGGGATACACAACAGAGTCCCACAAACACAGGGTATAACAATTAGTATAGGGGATACACAACAGAGTCCCACAAACACAGGGTATAACAATTAGTATAGGGGATACACAACAGAGTCCCACAAACACAGGGTATAACAATTAGTATTGGGGATACACTACAGAGTCCCACAAACACAGGGTATAGTAAATTTGTATACGATAACTCCTCCCTTTTCCATCTTTAAGTTAAAAAAAATAGCCAAACCATACAGCAGAAAAATATAAACCTGTAAGAAACACAATGCACCTCTTAAGCATGATATAAAGTTTGGTGATTATGATCAATCCCTATCACCTACCAGACATGGGATATCATAGAAAAGAAAAACCTTAAATGGGACCGAGGCAAAGCAGGTTTAGTCATAAATAGGAGCAGGGTACAGCAAAGGTTAATCTTTTACAGGACCATGTTATAGAATAATTAATTCTCACATAGGGCACTGCTATATTGGCTTAATCTCACAGAGGCCCAGAAATAAACTTGACCAAATCTCACACAGGACTCAGCTATACTTAGTTGTTATATGTACTAAGTATATTGAATGAGATTCATTATGTTTGTTGATATAAGATACATGTGCAGACCACACTTAATTGACCAAGCCATCAATCAAGTCAGAAATATCTAGGTTGTATCATCAGTGTTAAGTGTAGCCAAATCTGTTGTATTCTAGCTACTTATAGAGACATTACTATATAATTCAAGAAAACTTATGGCCATGTTTCGAATACATAGCAAAGCCAATTGGACTAACAGTGTGTAGACACTGTCCAGTGTTTGATTTTCAATATAACTGCATCATTATGATCACACAATATAAAATAGTATTGTCCACACTGAGATCCTGATAAACAATGTATACCTGGAATCTGTAGATATCGATGATGATAAGTAGGACTGACCAGAAAATGTTAAATACAAATGTATATACAACATTATATACTCAAAAGCACAAAGTATAAGTATATTAGTAGGTATTAAATGGCCCCTCCCACGGAAGGACTATAACAAGTATTACATGGCCCCTAAAATGAAAAGTATTACACGGGCCCCGGTAGAAGATATATTACAGTTAGACTCTGCAGCTCTAATGGGAGTAAAATGCTAAGGATCTCAATTCACAAGAGGTTCGGGTTTTCAATATTTTCAGTGACAGAATGAAAGTGCGAAAAATATTATCCTGAAAATAAAATATCTACAGTAGATTGTGGATCCTGTTTTACGTTGAACTTTGACCTTAAAAAATTTGAACTATCAAAAATAATAATCTTCAATAGAATTCTACAGAAAAATCAATTGGTCTTTATTAAGATTGATTTTAACAGGTCATTTCAATTAGATTGATTCTGACAGGTCATTTCAATTAGATTTATTCTGACAGGTCATTTCAATTAGATTGATTCTGACAGGTCATTTCAATTAGATTTATTCTGACAGGTCATTTCAACTAGATTGATTCTGACAGGTCATTTCAATTAGATTGATTCTGACAGGTCATTTCAACTAGATTGATTCTGACAGGTCATTTCAATTAGATTGACTCTTAAAGGCCATGTTATCAAGACTGATCTTGACAGGCCATGTTAAAGATTATGAAACGAAAGAAGTTCAAAAATTTAGACCATGTTCTATCATTCTAACCAGTATATACTGCAGACACTGAACCATTAAAAATATTTAAAGATTCAAACAAAACAATTAAAAAATAATGAATCTCTGATTTGATAGATAAAGGAGTGCTTTAGTGAAATGGGGAGACAATGAAACATTAATTTCTAAGTTGCTTGTGACCCGTTTGTAAATAGAATAGGTGCAATAGTTGGACACAGTGTAGATGAATTGGCAAAATGTATATAAGATATTATGTGGGTTATTACAACAGGGAAAGTACAACTTTCTGGATAAGGTGCCATACAACAGCTACAAACATATGTGGAAAAAAACAACATCTGACCTAACATCAGAGCATGCTCACACAGAAATAACAGTGTCTTGTGTTCATCTTCATTCTGTTACTTAATCAAAGTGAGAGACCAGGTACATCATTAACTTACATGTAACATCTAAACAAAGTATTGCACAAATCATTTGATTTTGAAAATTCTAAATACAGAATTCAGGAGACCATTTTTGTAAGAAACCTCCCAATACCTCACTGTTTACTTAGCATTCTCATCTGTTTATATTACAATATGTAAAAATGCATACAAAATAAATCATGGCATTCTCAACAAAATCTCAAAAATCACTGCTTTAAACGGATTTACTATCATGTGGAATATTTTTCTGTTTTTACCAGACAATATACTCTGTTTTTACCAGACAATATAATCTGTTTTACCCAATAATATACTCTTGTTTTTACCAGAAAATATACTGTCCTCTCCACCAAACAATATATTTACTTTGTTTTTACCAAGTAATATTATGCCAGACCAGACACAACACAGTCACTTTGTTTTTGTTATGGTTTTACACCACACTACCAAGTTCGTTATCACCTTTAATATTTAAAACACGAATGGACTTGGGTCAGTCTTATTTCCAACGGAACATATTCTTCCAGGATGCGGTACTGGTGTCTGGTACTGAAGACAGGTCATCACTAGCAGCCCTCGTGTGGGACTTCCTCTTTGGTCTGTGTTGTTGTGGCTGTCGATTATTCTGTTGTTCACTGGTTGCTGTCTGGCTGGTAGAAATATGGTTTCCATTGATATTTGGCCTCACTGTTTCCACTTCAGCGGGGGCCTGTGTGTTATAGTCCAGTAGAATGTGGTGGCCGTAACTGTGTCGTTTCTTTTTTGAAGCTCCTCCACCCCCTCCCCCTGGGTCAGCTAGGGCACGCATCATTGGTGGGCTTCCTCGCTTAGACTTACCTACCACTTGTCCAGGAGCCACGGGACATTTAGGAGGTTTAGAAGATATCACAGATACTGGTAACTCACTTGTAAAAGAATGAGCCTTCACCTTAGTAAGTTTAGTAGACCCCTCAGGAACACAGTCTGGTATATCACTGCTGGAGTAGGACACTCTGACCTTTGACTCCTGACCTTTAGAGGTAACAGATGTATCTGAGGAATCACTTTTACAGTAGACAGGTTCCACCTCTGACTTGCTCACAAGCTTATTGTCAGAGGGTAGAGTCCACTTAGTTCCTTCACTACTTGTCCTGTCTAACTTTTCACACACAGTTGTCTCCTCTGAACTTGCACCAAACAAAAGACCTGCACTGTTAATGTTTGTGTGAGACTCTGGTAGAGATGAATGATGTTTCAATCTGTCAGATACACCAGATATTTTTATATCAGGACTTTTCTTCTTTCTCTTCTTCCTCTTTGGCATATCTTTTTGCTGAAAGAAAAAAAAGTCCAGTTTTAAATTAAACTTATTGCTTTGTAAAGTTAACAACTTGATGAATGTGTTGCTATCTATGTACTTTGAGAACAATTATTGTATCAGATGAAAATAGATGTTACAAAGAGGTTATGACTGCATGCACTCCCTTCGGCTAATCATACAGAGGGACAAACACTTACTCAGACATAACTAGAATTGTAAGCCAAAGACTTACTTCATATACTTTACAAATTAAGTCAGCAGTGCTGTTTAACTCTCAGGAAAATCACCAGAACAAACATTTGTTAACTTTTAAAACTGATCAGGAATATCAAATATAATAAATTTTGACTGACAAAGAAGTGTTTTTCTTCTATAGACGGATGGACATTGAGAAAAAGGGCACCCAGACTCCAGAATATCCTCTTTATTTAAAGTGAGATCTGGACCTTACCTGATTACTACAGGATGAAATGTTGGTGGCTCCACCTGGATCATAGCCAGATATATCTTGACTACAAGCTGAAATGATATGAAATATACAATATCACTAATGAGTATATCTTTTTTTTGTATCACACGATACTCAATAACAGACACAACACCAGGCACTCACATTATAATGAATCATTCACACAAAACCACATGTACTCACATAATGCTGTTTCACTGTTGTATTTTTGTAGAGAACCTCCAATTCTATCAACAGAACTGTGTTGAATTGTTCCATGGAATGAATTCCTTCTGGGGAGTGCTGTTAGATCCATATCATTTGGAAACTTATCCAGTATTTTCTGAACTTCAGGTGGCATTGGTATATATGATGGCGATTTTCCTCTCCTGAGACACACCATAAATATAATGACCAGAATGATGACCTCTACGGAAGTCCAGACCATCTGTCTGTCTGTCACCTGTAACAACAAACACCAAAAGGTCCTTATCTATTTATTCCTCTATACCATTGGATAAGAATCAATTCTAGATTTTGGTTGGAGTTGCTTAGCTGAGATTTGTTAATTTGAAAAAAGGAAATATAAAGCACATTTTGTTGGGTAATCTGACCTGGTTCCTGGTTAAATATGATACATAAAACGGTGATCTGTCCTTCTGGTTCAAGGTTAATATGACACACTGAAGGGTGATCTAACCTTCTAGTTAAAGTCTGAATATGACACATCGTATATGATCTGACCTTCTGGTTCAAGGTTAAACACGACACCTCATAAGGTGATCTGACCTGGTTTTGGTTAAGTATGACACATTGCAGGGTGATCTGAACTTCTAGTTCAATGTTAAATATGACACATTGTAGGATGATCTAACCTTCTGGTTCAAGGTATCCATGTTATGTATCATCTCCTCCATCATTACAGTCAGGTTCTTCAGTTTCATCTCCATCCTCTTCATGTCTTCCTGTTGTTTCTCTCCCTGTATAGGTTCACAAACAACATAATTATTTAAGAGTACAGAGTACTTTGTATAATGTGTCATAGTTGCACCACTGTGTATCTGTATGTACAGTGTTAAACATGCAAGTTTAATTCAATGAAACATTCTTTATATAACAAGCTATCAAATGAAATGAAATAGATTGTCTCCTACCAGTAGTGTTAGTCAGTCAGTCATCCTCTCGCTTACATACCCCAGGGTTAATCTATCGCCAACCTGTGGTAGTAGTCAGTCATCCCATTTCCTACCATCCCTGGTGTTAATCTACCACCTACTTTAGGAAGAAGTCAATAATCATCTCCCCTACCTACCCCAGGGATAATCTATTTGCTACCTATGGTAGTAGTCAGTCATCCTCTCCCCTTCGATCCCCAGGGTTAATCTATCTGCTACCTATGGTAGAAGTCATAGGTAGTAGTCATTCATCCTCTCCTCTACCTACACAAGGGTTAATCCACCTACTACCTGTGGTGGTAGTCAGTCATCCTCTCCTCTACCTACACCAGGGTTAATCCACCTACTACCTGTGGTGGTAGTCAGCCATCCTCTCCCCTACCATCCCGAGGGTTAATCCACCTACTACCTGTGGTGGTAGTCAGTCATCCTCTCCTCTACTTATACCAGGGTTAATCCACCTACTATCTGTGGTGGTAGTCATTCATCCTCTCCTCTACTTACACCAGGGTTAATCCACCTACTATCTGTGGTGGTAGTCATTCATCCTCTCCTCTACTTACACCAGGGTTAATCCACCTACTACCTGTGGTGGTAGTCAGTCATCCTCTCCCCTACCATCCCGAGGGTTAATCCACCTACTACCTGTGGTGGTAGTCAGTCATCCTCTCCCCTACCATCCCGAGGGTTAATCCACCTACTACCTGTGGTGGTAGTCAGTCATCCTCTCCCCTACCATCCCGAGGGTTAATCCACCAACTACTTGTGGTAGTAGTCAGTCATCCTTTCCTCTACCACACTTCAGGTTAATCCACCACCTGCCAGTGGTAATAGTCAGTCATCCTCTCCCCTTCCATCCCCAGGGTTAATCCACCACCTGCCAGTGGTATTAGTCATTCATCCTTTCCTCTACCACCCTTCGGGTTAATCCACCACCTGCCAGTAGTAACAGTCAGTCATCCTCTCCCCTCCCTACTCCAGGGTTTATGTATCACTTACCCTTGTAGCAGCCTCCTGAATGGTCTCCTCTAGCTTGGTGTCAGTCCTGTTGAGTGCTTTAATCATCTCATCTGACTTAGTTTTGAACTTTTGGCTCATTCTCTCCAGAAATCTGATAGAAACATAACACAATGTGTCACACACTACACAAACATAACACAATGAAATACTATACCATGTCTAAACATAACATGAAAAAGTATTCTACAAGGTCATTCAGTCCATGAAAAACTGTTCTACAAGATCACTTAGTTAACCATGAACTGTTCTATAAGGTCACTTAGTTAATGTTAAACTATTCTACAATGTCACTTGATAAAGATGCTTAAGATAAAAACATTTGACATGACAGTAGTACACATGACAACCAGAGTGAGGCTATTTACCTGATACTGAGAGTAACATTCATCTCAAGGGCGTTGATTCTGTTGGCTAGTCTCATAAGTGCAATTTCACGTTTCGAGTGAGGCAGGACCGGCACCTTTACATTAACTAGACCAAGGTCTTTCTGGGGCATTCCTGAACTCTTCTGTGTGGCATTTGCTGCCACTACTGTGTCATTGATGATGCGAGAGTGTCCATTCTGAGGATCATCTAAGATAGCTGAAGCCAATTTGTCCACTATACTGGACATCACCTCAGCATCACTGTCAAACATCTCCAGGTTGTCACTCGTGTTGAGTGGTTCCATTGTTGTCGTGGAAACCTTAGTAGAAACAATTTCCAATTTTGTGGAAGTCACTTCCATTTCAGCATTTGGATTCTGATCATTTTTCTTTGGTTCCTTAAATTCAAATACAAAATCAATAAATGACAAAAATGACTTAAATTTGAAATTAAGTGTACACTTTAAAAAATAACATATCAACAAAATGAAATTATTAATATCTTTCTCAATATTCTTTGAACTTTACTACTGAGAGAACATAGACAGTATATATAAAGAACCTTAAATATGCTTCCGTTAGAAGATTAAGAATTCTTATAAGTAAGCCTTTGGGAAGCTAAAATGAAAAAAATTGTTACAAGTTTCATAAATCTTATGTCAAATGGAAACAAGTTTCAGATCCTTTTGATCGCAATTGATTATTCAGGTAAATATTGTAGAAAACATTTCTGAACATCAAATGCTTTTTGCTCTATTGTCTATAGTCTCGGGGGATCACACATACCAAAGATCTTCTAGTAGGACTTAAGTAGGCGTTAGAATCAAACATACCAAAGATATTCTCATAGGATTTTTAGTTGCCCTAAAGATCACAAATACAAAACATCTTGCAGTATGACTTTAATTAGGTATTGAAATCAGACATACCAAAGGTCGTCTACTAGGACTTTTAGGATCAAATATACCAAATATATTCAGTTGGCCTGAGGTTCACCACATCACAGGTCTACTAGTGAGAATTTAGTTGGCCTGAGGATAATTTTTCACTAAAGATCAGATTGACTGTTAGGGAATGGTATCTACAGCTTTTATGGATACTTGTTCATTCACCTGGACTCAATTGTCTGAATTCAATAGACACCAAGAGTCCCTACTCAACTCACTGAGAAATGAATGGCTGACTAGAAGAAGACTTTCAGGACTTGCTGAGACCTAGTCACTCACCTGAGACTCAATGCGCTGACTAGTAAAAGACTCCGAGGATTTGCCCTCCTCCAGTTTAGACCCTGTCACAGTAACAGAGTCCAGGGCCGGGGTTGTATGAGAGGAGTCCACTTGTGCTGATGAACTGACAATACTGGGGTCAAGAGTTATCTCCCCTGGAGTTAACGTCTTCTGGCCATTGATTTCTGACTTCTGACTCTCTTCCACTGAGACTGGGTTGATAGTTGTGGATATCTCTTCATGTGATAAAACTTTAGATGGCTCTATATCTATGGTTGTCACTGTAGCATCAGGAACAGACATTTTTGGTATGGCGTCCCCATCTAAACTCTTCTCAGAGATTTGGGTCAGTGATGACAAGTCTTCTATAACATTTGTAACAGTGGATGTGTCAGCAGATTTATCAATGGGTGAGTAATTCGACATTACAGGTGTAGACTGGCTAGATGGGGTCGGATGTGGACTACTGGATCCAGTATCATTACTGACAGATGTTGGTATGGTACTGGCCTCCAACAGCACATCCTTTGTGACAATGATGAAGTTGTTTTCACCTACAACCTTCTTTTCAGATGAATGGGTGTCAATATCCTTTCCTCCAACTTCTGCTTTGCCAGCAGGGGGAATTCTTTTCACAGAGCATGTCTCTGGCCGTGTATTCCGCAGCAAAATCTGAACATAGGTACAGAAAGCACTCGCTCTTTTGGTAGAGGTTAATCTATGCTTACTTCCTCCTTTCTTTCGTGGTGCTTTGGTGAGACACTTGGTGATGAGGTCTGATAGTGAGACCTCAGATTCTTCCCTGTCCAAAAGAGTCACTATTGGCTGTTCTTCCAGACTACTGGGAACCTGTTCATGATCCTCCAGCTTGGTTACAATAGAGGCAGACTTGTCAACAGGGTGTTCATCTGTTCCGACATCTGTAACATGAAAAATATTTGTTCATTGTTAAGAGAGAGTGAAGTCAGTATCAGATCAACATGTTGTCAACTAATGTCACTTTTGTTACCAAATATCACAAGCTAGTGTTTTGACTTACCCATACTTGCAGTAGCAGTCTGCATGTTGGTTCCTGTCCCTCCAAGAATGGATGTATTTGGCTGGTCAATAGTGCTACTCTGCTTTGACACTTCCTCCTCACTAAAGTCAAATTTTCAAATTTCAAATTACTAAATAAACTCTGGGTTTTGCAGCAATACAAATTATTATGAAAAAAGATATAGAGAAATGGGAGAGAATGACTGTTTGTATAACTGTCACAAGTATGAGAACATTCAGATCTCCCAAGTAAGGCTTTATCAATGCATACTAACTTAAGATTTCAGTCAGTTGAAATGATCAAGAAACAACATTTAGAAATAATTGTAATATAGGTTTATGTATATACATTAAAGTATTAGAAATGAATTGCTCCAGTTTGATACAAATGTCTCTGAAAAAATATTAAATTTTTTTAGTACAAACACAGCAAACATACATATCTCCAACACAGGTAATCAAACACACAAAGGTTTGGATATAATAGTCACTAACAATAGTGTCCTTTCTTTATTCATGTTAGTTGGAACTAAATTCATCATAAAACCTAAAAATAAACTTTGATATAATGACAGCATAGATCCTTCATCATAATTCTGACTGGTCAATTAACAGACCAGAAAAAAAAAAAATCAAAGTTAGTGGGAGGGATTAAATGTGTCCATCCAGGGACCACAGCAAGCTCCTTAATCCAAACACTACTTACTGAAATGTCCACAACAAAAAGGACTGATTTCTAAAAATATACACAATCAATATATAACATCAATACATCAGAGACTGATATCTATCAATTTGTTAATCAGCCATTCCCCTTAACTAGGAACTGGTAAGGTCTTTACAGTCACCATTCAAATGAATACCTTAAGGGATCTTGGTGACAACAACTCTTTAGTCATTATTTGTTCTTTAAAGATTGAATCTGTATCCGTTTTTTCTATTGCTTCCTCTATTCTTGATCATAATTATATGAAATTCGAAAATTACTCTCAGATATAGTGGCATATCCTTTAATTGTCAAATAGCGATAACAAACCTTCATCATCAAAATCCAAGATGGCCACCTTTTAGCCATTTTGTTTATCTGATCATTCTCAAAATCTAAAGTGTATAACTTGAGACGATTGGGGAACCTATATACGAAATTTAAGGAAGATCCATCCAGTACTTCCCAAGAAGTAGTGATAACAAGAACTCTTTGTTGACCTCATGCAGCCATAAGGGGATGTCCTCCAGGCAGACACAAGTGTGTAAGGGGATGTCCTCCAGACAGATACAAGTATGTATACAGGGATATCTTTATCAGGTTATTGTTCTGTCTGACATCTCGTGGACTATAGCTGGGTATGGATAACTAGGAGCAGTATGAACTTACCTGTGGCCAGGAACACAAGGTAACATGTAGCCGTCACTGGTAACATTGGCAGGAAGTGCTGAGCCTTTATCTGTGTCATTTATATTAATTGTTTCATCTACAACAACAGTAACAATATATTACAAATGTACTGATAAATGTTTGTACAGAGATCAAATCAGTAACACATTCTGCGATCATCCACCATTAAGACATTGTCAGTAACTAACAATAATAGAAAGTAGTTATCAATAAAATTAAAAAAAAATAACTTCTGTTTCTTTGTAACACAGTGAAATTGTCTTACTTAGCCCCAGGTCCTCCGTATTGGGTTTGTCTTCAACATTTAACACCTTCTTCACAATCTTTATCATAGATTCTGAAACAAAAATAATGAAGGTCACAAACACAACATTGATAAAGGAAGATTTTAAAGAATTTGCTACAATTCCCCTTTTGGATGACACTCCTCTGGCCCCAAGGTCAGACCCGACATTTACACAAAATTGCTTCTGTCCAAGTTTGGTCAAAATCTTCTCAGTTGTTTATTATTTAAAGAAATTTGAAGGAAAAGAGGATGGACCGACTGTAGTATGCCAATACACAAGGTTACCTGTAGCACTGGCAAAAAGATTCTTTGGCCCGTCAGAGTCACCTTCCATGTCTTCTATGTCATTCTCCATAGCTGTAATGTGAGATTTACGATCAATATCACTCAGTTTTAAGGAATCAGGAGATACATATGTCTATTTCTGGCTTCATAGCTGCAGTCAATATCATTCAATACAAGGAATGGGGAGGCAATTTGTTACAAAAATGTTTTTTTCCGGCCTCTTAGCTGTAGAGTGTGGATTACAGTCCATTTCACTCAATGTAAAGTTTCAAATGATGATACTTGTATTTCTGAATTTTGATATTACTATTGCTGCAATGTATACATCTACTTCTAACTTCAGCAATCTTTACCACTAAATTGTTTCAGTATGTCTTTCCCACTTACTTATTTCAGCATAGGTTTACCACTAACTTACTTCAGCATAGGTTTACCACTAACTTACTTCAGCATAGGTTTACCACTAAGTTTATTCAGCATACCGTTACCACATACTTCCACTTACTTACTGCAGTATAGGTTACCACTAACTTACTTCAGCATGTCTTTACCACTAACTTACCACAGCATGTCTTTACCACTAACTTACTTCAGCATGTCTTTACCACTAACTTACCACAGCATACCTTTACCTTTAACTTACCACAGCATACCTTTACCACTAACTTACCACAACATACCTTTACCACTAACTTACCACAGCATACCTGTACCACTCCACAGCATACCTTTACCCCTAACTTACTACAGCATACCTTTACCACTAACTTACTTTAGCATGTCTTTACCACTAACTTACCACAGCATACCTTTACTACTAACTTACCACAGCATACCTTTATTACTAACTTACTACAGCATAACTTTACCACTTAGTTACATCAGCAAGCTTTTACCATTAACTTACCTCAACATATGTTTACCACTAACTTTCTAAAGTATACTTTTACCATTAACATTTACTCCTAAAATCGCCCCCTCATTCTGTTGCTGTTGATACACTAATTGTTTCTAACACTAATTTTACAGATCAGGTAGGAGGTAGAGATAGTTTTTTCACCTGAGTCCATGTCTGAACTGGCGTCATCAATCTGCTGGCCCATGTAGGCATCATACTCCACCAGAACACCCAAAACCCTGCAGCATATAAATGAAAAGTAACCACATATTGAATCATCAGTCTATTAATATTCCAAAATGTATCTATAAATAAACTTTTAAATATATGATATCAACATGACTCGCCTACATTTACATATCAAAAAGTCTCATTCTGGCATAGATAAGATGTGTAGTATACTCACCTGAATATGGTAAGTGGACAGAAATGCTCCTCCCCAAAGTGGTCCAACATTTCTACCCTGACAAACTTAACGTAGTCGTTGAAGTCATCTGGCACAGTAAAGGCCTGTACTGCTCGTGCTTCGTTAGCGCTGAATGGTTCCATCACCTGCCAGTCCTTTGTAGGATACCTGTAATCAGGAACAGGATGACTTTATCCCTAGTCATAAACACTTCTCTACTAATAGTATATAAATTATGTGTCAAGTGTCAATCACATTTATCAGGGTTTACTTTTGAATGCCTGAGTGAATGTGTTCACTAATTCATGATGGCTTTTATTTCAATAATTTAGTGATAACTTTTGACTTACCCTTCACTGAACTGGACACGAAATGTCCGCGGCTGTGATGAGAACAACTCAAAGCTAGCCACCTCCAGAGACTTGACACGGGCAGGTTCACATAGCTCAATCACAAACCTGCAACACACATAATACTACAATTACTATTACATACAGCACTAATATGTTACCTATAACATATGATATAACTACAATCACTTTAAAGTTAAATAACATTTATAAAACACAATTACCAGGTCACATGACTTGATTTACATTCAACATATAACCAGTCACCATTACGACCTGACCATTAAGTACCATAAGGACCTAACCATTGCGAATCAACCCACCATTTTTTGGCTGCCTTGCAGGGGTTGATCATATAGTCATCTTTGTTAGAGGTCAGTACCCCCGCTGGGTTCTCCACCTCAGGGTTACTAGAGATGATCTTGGCCCCACACTCCCGTGATGCCACATTTACCACACGCTTCTGTTGCTTCATCTGGAGCCCCTCAGTACCTGGCAAATCTGCCAGCTCTGTAACAATAAACATTCAAATCAATAGAATAAAAGTTCTTATAACACAACCTGTAGAGGGTCCGAGTGGGAGGTTTCAATGACTACACGGTACTCATCATCAGACGAATGACCAGTGTGGTGCATACAAGCATTGACCTGCACAGTGTATGAGATAGCAGTGAATTAACTAACATTTTTAGCTGTACTATAGCGTTACAAGATGGTGAACAGATTATGGGAAATAAAAAGAAAAGTACAAAAGATGATAACAATGTACTGTAGTTGATTCAGCTACACCTTGTACACTTGGTCATAGATGTGCAAGAGTTTGTGCACTCCTCATCAATATTATGAATACCCCACTGCGAGCCACTTCTCAACATAGTTATTGTTATTTTCAGATGTATTTGTGTCATCTGTATAAGTATAAGAAGGTGTTAAGTTCAGACCTACAAAGATCAGACCATACAGTGATCTACTGAAATATATTATTTAAATTTTATCTATAAACACAACTATCGCCATAAAATCTTTTTGATATAATAGCATTCAGTAAATCATTAATTACAAACACTTTCTCTAATACATGTGCATCAGAATGAAAATTTCTGATAAGTAAATTGTACAAAAGCATTTGTTAGTGTTTGTAGTCGACACCAGGAACGTATTTTTCTCTTTAATGTACTGGCAAAGAGGATTGTGTAAATCAATGTTAACTTACTGCTTTGTTTTTTCTTCTCCTCTTCAGCTTGTTTGTTCTGCTCAAAGAACTCGGTAAACGTCTGGAACTCAGGGTCAGCAGGTACAGGTTCTGGGTCATCCTTCTCATCAGATTTGTTTGTATCCTAGAATAAATCATCATCAGCCAACATCAAATCCTGACAACAGCCTCATTTTCAGCTGACAATGTCTAACAACAGCCTCATTTATAACTAACGCCACTACCTAACAACAGTCTCATTGTAAGCTATCATACAACAACAAGCTCATTGTCAGCCAATATTATCATCTGACAACAGCCTCATTGTCAGCCAATATTATCATCTGACAACAGCCTCATTGTCAGCCAATATTATCATCTGACAACAGCCTCATTGTCAGCCAAAACTATATGACAACTGTCTCATTTTCAGCCAAAATCATCACCTGACAACAAGCTATCATCTGATAACAGTCTTGCAGTTAGCAAATATTATCTGACAACACCACTACTGCCTGCCAATATCATCTGACAAACAGCCTTACTATCTGAGAACATCCTCATCATCAGATATCAGCCTCAACAACTTTATTGTCTGCTAACATCAGCTATATCACTATCTGACAAAAGTGACAAGTCTCATTGTCAGGCAATAATTGAAAATTGATGTGCAAAACAGTTTAAGCTTTCAAGAATTCATTATTTGTAACAACCTGTTGTAAAACAAAAGTCAGTTCAGTCTACAAGTTACAAACCTGGACTGAAGTTATGAATTCACTATATATTAAGCATCTTACCAAACCCTTGATTTCTGTGCTAGAGTCTACCACTTCAGATAATGGAACTTCAGGAATGTGAGCAGCTGGAGTGTCCTCTGAGGTTGGTGTAACTTTTAAATCCTCTGCTTCTTTTGGATCAGGTTCGGTCTGGTCATCACTACAACAATAGACAAACCCATTACTTACACATGTTTGAACAGCCTTCAGGTTCTACTCTCACATAGATGAATCATGTGATTTATAGCTAGTGATATTTACAGATACAACCAATCTGCCTCTGATCTAACCTACCTTTTTACAGAGGCTGATTCTGCCACATGTGTGATTGATTCTCTTTGGTTTTCCTGGTCATTCTTTTGTCCATCTCCATTGGCTATTTTAGTTGTTTCCTCAGAACCAGCATTCAGTAATGTTGGAGAGGGTGAATCTTGGACATCCTTATCCATAGACCTGATCAACATCAAATGATACCTCTCAGATTTAATAGGATAACATGATGTTATAAAAATATCATTACTGTGTCAAACAGATGCAAGACTTGGGGTTAGACTTTGGGGACAAAGAGGTGTTAGCTTTGTTTGTGATGTTAAGACCACACGGACAAATAGGTGTTAGCTGTCTGTGGTGTTAAGATCCTGAGGACAGAGAGGTGATAGCTTTGTCTGTGGTGTTAAGATTTTGAGGACAGAGAGGTGATAGCTTTGTCTGTGGTGTTAAGTCTCCAGGTACAGAGAGGTGATAGCTTTGTCTGTGGTGTTATGATTCTGAGGACAGAGAGGTGATAGCTTTGTCTGTGGTGTTAAGATCCTGAGGACAGAGAGGTGATAGCTTTGTCTGTGGTGTTAAGTCTCCAGGGACAGACAGGTGACAGCTTTGTCTGTGGATGGTGAGTTTTATCTGCAGTGTTAGACTTTAGGGACGGTGAGTTTTGTCTGTAGTGTTAGACTTTAGGGAGGGTGAGTTTTGTCTGTAGTGTTAGACTTTAGGGATGGTGAGTTTTGTCTGTAGTGTTAGACTTTAGGGATGGTGAGTTTTGTCTGTAGTGTTAGACTTTAGGGATGGTGAGTTTTGTCTGTAGTGTTAGACTTTAGGGATGGTGAGTTTTGTCTGTAGTGTTAGACTTTAGGGATGGTGAGTTTTGTCTGTAGTGTTAGACTTTAGGGATGGTGAGTTTTGTCTGTAGTGTTAGACTTTAGGGATGGTGAGTTTTGTCTGTAGTGTTAGACTTTAGGGATGGTGAGTTTTGTCTGTAGTGTTAGACTTTAGGGATGGTGAGTTTTGTCTGTAGTGTTAATTTTACCTTTGCTTGCTCTCCTCTTCATTGTTTGCTGTCTCAGTAATGGACTTCTTTTCTTCTGACTCCTCCCCAGTTTTAACACTCTGCTGAGTAGAGCGTTCTTACATTAAAATACCTACATCTTAACTGACACAGAGTACTGGATATGTAAGACCCATTAAGTCATTTATATAGGTTTTACTTCTTAATACAAAGTAGGAGAATTAAATCGACCCTATTACCTTTTAAAAAAAATAAATTGGAAAAGCATGCGTCCTACAGCCATAACAGTAATGTCTTAATATTTATATCACACACATCCTACCAAACACTATTACTGTACCAGGACTTAATGTCATCTCAAACACATCCTACAGAATGAAGGTTATCATAATGTCTTAATGTCATATCACACACATCCCACAGGACAAATATAATTGTAATGTGTTAACAATACATCACAAACATCAAACAAAACAAATACAAGAAACCCATACAAATAGCATTTTTATTCAAATTGTGTAGTTACTTATTTCCAATAAAAGATTAGGAATAATGAAGCTTCCATTTAAAATTTGACAAAATACCTTCCATCAAGCAGGAAAAAATGGTTTTAAAGAATTTCCGAATCACCCCTCATGAGACCAACCCTTGGTCCCAAAGGCCTTATTACCTTGCAGGTTGATGATTTTTTTTTTCCAGGTAAACATTATGAAATTCACACAGGTATGAATGGTATATCAATATTGTGTAATCTGTATAAATTAAAGCTAAATGAGATCTAGTATCTCATAACAGACTGGAAATACATATATATTTAGTTCCTCAGATAATCAAATGTTATCGGATGGCTGCCCACAAAAGCTATAACCTGAACATCAGGGGATTCAATAATACAGAAGTAAGTCTCATTAAACAGAGAGGGGTTCATTATAAATAAGTTATATTGTCTATGCAAATGAGACTTAGGCAATCAATGTGACAGCTTTTATATCCTATTCATCAAACATTACTCTAGTTTACCACCTGTCCAACAGAGCATGACACCGTTAGTATAGGTCATACAAGTCACATTTATAGTGTAGACTTGTACCCTCATACATCATGTAGATACTCTTATATAGCACTATGACTTACACCCTAACAAGCATACATATATCCCCTACCCACCTTCACAAGCTACAGCACTAATAATGATTTTCTAAAAATAGTAACAGTGACCCTGACCAACCAACCCTGAAGCTCAAACTTGTCTAAGATATTTTGGTGCTTTATCTGTGTGTAAAGATTTCTGAAGTTCATCCAGTAGGGGACTATTAAAGCCCTTTTAAAAATCTCCACCTTCATATATATTTCCCCTAAAGACATTAATTTTTTTTCACTACCACAAGTCTTACATTAAGGTTCCAATTCTAATTTACAACTTCACTACTATTATATATCTCAGAGACAAAGTGAAATAAACTCAGGGACTGATCTTAGATACAGGGCAATGTCTTTTATCATTTCTGCCGACCCATGTTTGATTGATTGAAATCAAATGTTACTCAACAAAGGCTTCCGCACCCATTTCATTCACTTCTATGTCTGTCATTAGATAGCGTCACCCACAGCAATACATAACACACTCCCTCTACCACCACAGTATAACCAAACCATAGCTATCAGGTAAAACACTATCCATACTGTCTTCTATTATCTGTGTACACAACTGTCACTTATCGTCTGTTATTGATGTGTCACTTACTTCTGCACCCTTGATTGCCCCTGGCAACGAGTCAGACTGTAATCCCCCAGGATCCACAGGAATCTGTAATGAGCATTTCCTCAATGTTTATAAGGAAGTAAATATCAGGCTTCAGTACTAAATTTAATGCAGCTGGCAAGGTTTATATTTATATTAGTACTCCATAAAGGATATCTTTGATGCCAACTGCATTCATTCTCCCATACATGCCAACAGAATAATATAAAAAGCACCTGCATTCATTTTATCTGTATTTTTTCTTTAAAAGGTGAATCATTTCCCATTCTTCCTCTGTTTTTTGCTTTTAATTACATAAAATATGAAAATTCCTTATGAGAAATTATGGTGAGAGCAATCTTTAAATGCCAAATCAAAGATGGACGCCTGTTAGCCATTTTGTTTTTCTGAGGAGTCTCCAAACAGGACAGCACAACTAGGGACAAAGGGGACATTCATAGGAAATTTGAGATAGATCTATCCAGTGCTTCACAAGAAAGAGTGATAATAATTTTCCATAGTAAAAAATACAAAGATGACTGTGTGTCAGCAATCTTGCTTTTCTCATTAGTCCTAACACCAAGGAGGCTCAACTGATGACAATGAAGAACCTACCTATGAAATATGTGAAAAATCAATCAAGAAGGACAGATGGCAATGGCAATGATGATGGTGGGCTAAATACACAATATCTAATGATGCCTGACTTCAGCACTATACTTGATAACAGATACATAAGCTTTATTTAAATGTAAGCTAAACCTGCTTATTCCAGATAATTTAATATTCTCGCAAACTTACATTTGTATCATCCCCTTCAGCAGCCTCTGATTTAGTTTCTTTTGGGGTTGTTATTTCTGTATCCTCCCCTTCTGTAGCCTCTGAAGTGGTCTCTGTTGAGGTTGTTTCTTCTGTGATAACTGATCCAGTTTTTTCTGATAAAACTCCATGTCTAGAAAATATAAACACAGGAAAACCATCAATAACCTTCATCCTAACAAAAATAGCTGAGAAATGTGCTAATGTCCGCAGGACAAGGAACCATCTCATTTTGTATAGTAAACATCTTCGACCCGCTACCAGAACAGAATGAAACAGACCCCAGTTAGACATTGACCTGTACAGGTATATAAGGATTAACAAAAATCTGACCATTTGTCTTTTGTATTTCTCAAATTGTTCATCTTTTCTCTATTTTCTCTTCATTGTCTAAATTATTTATTGCTTTGAATGGTGAATGTATCATAGAGTAACCATGGAAACCTATGTCTGCAAAACTTGGAAAATATCCTTCCATTAGCTATGACAACCAAGAAAAAGCAACATAAACATAACAAATTTGAAAATTATGTTCAAAGCATATCTTGTTATATGATATCATCTTAAAGTTTTGAAAATTAAGCATACCTTGAAATAGAAAATAGTCTTCAAGTTTTGAATAAGGACAAACAACTGCTTTCAATTTTCAATATCTCTGAGAAAAATTCTCTTTTTTTTCAGTGAAAAAATTATAAACTTTAACAGTCTATATCCAATATGGCCACCGTTTGGCCATTTTGTTTTTCTGTTTAATCTCAAAAATAAACAAACAAAATTCGGGACCAAAGGAATCCTGCAATATTATAATTTAAACAATTGAAATTTGAAGAAGTCATCATTCATCTAGAGTTTACAAAGAAATGATGGTACATGTAACAAGAAATTTAAACATGAATGGTGGTCTCAACAGCTCACAATCTTATGATTGAGGCTAACAGGCAGGTGATCAAGCCATGAAAGACCCTGAATAGACTAATAAGAAGGAAGAGTAGGGTCAACAACTAATTTTTAAAAACTTCCCATAAAATTGTTTAAAGGAATTAATCCTTTTATCATTGTATCACAGATGTCAGCTAAAAACTAATGTCACATGGAGATTAAGTCTATGAATTATAGACTAAAATGGAGATAAAATGTAATAATTTGAAGATTATGACACATGGGTCAATGTACCCAGTGCAGTATGTGAAGTTTAATGTCAACTTAACACACATACAGTGTACAAGGTCCACAATCATCAGTATCTGACCCAGCCTATCTCACCTGTAGTTGATACATCACAGCATTTGTTAGCCCTAAATTCAAATCTGTTAGCTAAAGATCACTTTGTATATACACTGCAGGTGTCACCATCTCATGTATATCAATACATATACTTAACGCCAGGTTTTTCACCCACAAACCTGCCCATATAATGTTATTGCTGGCCTTATGGAAAGACTTAAAAACATTCATTTATGGATGTCATGATTTGTTGGTAAATTTGTTTTTTTATCTGGCTTGCTGTCAACATTAAATATATTTAATCAATACAAATAAGTCTGATGGGTTCAAAATTTCAAAACGTAGCCGACTGAAACCTAGAGTGAACAGATCAGAGAAATTGAAAATCGACTGATCCATTTATATAAAATATTGTCAAACTTTTCTTTTGTTTTACATAAATGAGAATGCATGTTGCACCAGCAAGAACAAGATTCCTTATAATGTCTAGTTTCTCTAAATAAAGTCCTGGTATCTTGTAACTTTTTCTCTATCCAGATTAAGTTTTATCCTATAGATAACTGTCCCCAGTCTAGTCTGCATGAAATCTGATTTATTTCTGGCATCATTTATCACTGAGCTCCAGGCAGACATGCAATAAATGTATTGTACTGGCATTGCTCCAAGTAACTAGACAACAATTTGGCTGATTAAAATTTGTTTCTGTACATGAAATGTGGTATTAGCCAATCTGAAAATGTACATTCTTACTCGGCATATTAAATCCCTGCAGCACATGCTTGCATGTTTCCCCAACTTGGCAGCTGAGACACTGCACACTCCAGTTCTACCTGAATTGCCTCTCAGAATTTGCCCAATAAAAAAATGCAATCTTCCAAGAGTCATTGCTTACCACTGATACATGAACCAGTAAAATTTCTTCCTATACATTACTATTGCATCTCATTTCTACTACCCTCAGAATTGAATTTATTACACACAATTATCAGTCAACTGTCTTCCCACAACTATCACTGGCCTTCAAATTCCTCCCTCCAACTATCAGTGACCTTCCTCCCCACAACTATCAGTAAATTTTCCCCCTACAACTATACGTAAACTTCCTCCAAACAACCATCAGTAGCTATAATTATCGGTAAACTTCTTTCCTACAACTATTAGTAAACTTCCTCCACACAACTGTCACTTAACTTCCTCTCCACAACTATCAGTGAACTTTCTCCCCATAACCATCACAGTAAAATTCCTCCACATGACTATCAGTTACTTTCCTCCCTAAAATTCCACAAACTTTTTCACTTGTCATTTATTATTGCTTCCCTCATATTTCCTATCTTTAAGATCACATATTAAATTTATGAAAGCTGATCATAAATCCTGTCCTGTAAAATCTATTTTTTCAGACATAAACTTATCACTGCCAGTGACATAGCTTAGACATGAACCTGAAGTTATGATTATTCCAGATGTAGTCTATCCTCCATACTACATGGGTTACAATCACTTTCATTCTCTGCATCCCTGGAACATTTTCTGGCAAAATTGAAGGCACAAGCAAAGTAATTTGATTGGTCTAAATGCAGCAGGTTTAAGGAGAATAAACCTGACCTGAGTCACAGGCTGAAATGGTCCTTTGAGATTACAATCACTGGCACCCAACTTCAAAGTTGATACAATATACAATTATGTGACATCAAGATTTGTTTGATGTACATATCAAAGGATCAAAATAGCCTTCTCGTTTTATCTACAAGGTGTCACACATGGACCTTCAATTTTGCACTGAAATGTTCTACAGATACAGAGAGCAATAGTTAGTGTAATCCCTGGAGTATCAAAGATGTAGCTAGCCTTAATTTGAAGGCTAAAAACTAAAAAGATTCACTTGTTGAAATGCTACTCATGTCTACATTGTCGACAGACAAAAATAATGTACCAAAGTACCTTTAATGTATCAACAGACATGATACTGCTGAAGTGTTCACCTAACACACTTTGACGTGTGTTCTGGCACGATCGGTATAAATTAGGTATGATATTCTGATAGAGGGACACATATATTAAAATATCATATACACATACAGATATATATATATCATTATTTTTAAAATCTCACACACAGACGATACTGTTTCTGTTGAGGTTCATGATAAACACCAGACCTTAAAGAAATCTCTTCTCAACAAACAAACATTACAGTTCAATTGTATGGTTAGGTGCCTGGTACTTTGAACTTTAAAAATGTATACACATATAAATACACACATACAGTTTATCCAGAACACTAGGTTAAACTGTTTTATCTTGTTTTATAGGCTAAACTGTATATCTAATCAAAGATAAACTGAATTTGAAACTTAAAATTTAATGTCAATAACCAGTAGACATTAATGTCAACTCTAGCTAACACAGACTCAAACTTGGTCGACTCTGCCCCTAGCTACCTGAGAACAATCCTAACCTCTAGACAAAATCTTGTAAATAAACAGATTTTAAACAAGGGAAAGTCAGCATTCCAACCAACAAAACAGGCTGACATTATCAATACTGTCTTCAAAACATTGGCATGTTACCAATCTGTCAGAAAGCATAGTCTGCAGTATAATAACTGAGCATTCCAATTCCCCCTGGCTACCACTGCAACACAAGGAAAACAAAACCAGGAGTTGAACAAAAATTCAAATTGGAAACACAGTGCAAAAGATCACAGCACAGGGAGGGAGCCATACAAAATTCAACACAGGGTAAGCATTTACAGTAGGTCATACAAAAATCAACACGGAAAAAAGCTGAGCCAACAAAAACTCAACACAAGAAAAACAGCAGAGGGAGTCATACAAAACACAACACTAGGAGGGAGTGATACAAAACTCAACACAGAGAAAACAGTGGAGTCATCACAAAAATCAACACAAGAAAAACAGCACAGGGAGTCATACAAAACACAACACTAGGAGGGAGTGATACAAACTCAACACAGAGAAAACAAAACCAGGAGTTGAACAAAACTCAACACCAGCAAAAACAGCAGAGGGAGTCATACTAAACACAACACTGGGAGGGAGTGATACAAAACTCAACACAGAGAAAACAGTGGAGTCATCACAAAACTCAACACAAGAAAAACAGCACAGGGAGTCATACAAAACACAACACTGGGAGGGAGTGATACAAAACTCAACACAGAGAAAACAGTGGAGTCATCACAAAACTCAACACCAGAAAAACAGCACAGGGAGTCATACAAAACACAACACTAGGAGGGAGTGATACAAAACTCAACACAGAGAAAACAGTGGAGTCATCACAAAACTCAACACAAGAAAAACAGCAGAGGGAGTCATACTAAACACAACACTGGGGGGGAGTGATACAAAACTCAACACAGAGAAAACAGTGGAGTCATCACAAAACTCAACACAAGAAAAACAGCACAGGGAGTCATACAAAACACAACACTGGGAGGGAGTGATACAAAACTCAACACAGAGAAAACAAAACCAGGAGTTGAACAAAACTCAACACCAGAAAAACAGCACAGGGAGTCATACTAAACACAACACTAGGAGGGAGTGATACAAAACTCAACACAGAGAAAACAGTGGAGTCATAACAAAACTCAACACAAGAAAAACAACACAGGGAGTCATACTAAACACAACACTGGGAGGGAGTGATACAAAACTCAACACAGAGAAAACAGTGGAGTCATCACAAAACTCAACACAACACAAGTCATACAAAACACAACACAGTGATACAAAACTCAACACAGAGAAAACAAAAACACAACACTCAACACCAGAAAAACAGCACAGGGAGTCATACAAAACACAACACTACAAAACTCAACACAGAGAAAACAGTCATCACAAAACTCAACACCAGAAAAACAGCACAGGGAGTCATACTAAACACAACACACAAAACTCAACACAGAGAAAACAGTGGAGTCATCACAAAACTCAACACAAGAAAAACAACACAGTGTGTCATACTAAACACAACACTGGGAGGGAGTGATACAAAACTCAACACAGAGAAAACAGTGGAGTCATCACAAAACTCAACACCAGAAAAACAGCACAGGGAGTCATACAAAACACAACACTAGGAGGAAGTGATACAAAACTCAACACAGAGAAAACAAAACCAGGAGTTGAACAAAACTCAACACCAGAAAAACAGCACAGGGAGTCATACAAAACACAACACTAGGAGGGAGTGATACAAAACTCAACACAGAGAAAACAGTGGAGTCATCACAAAACTCAACACAAGAAAAACAGCAGAGGGAGTCATACTAAACACAACACTAGGAGGGAGTGATACAAAACTCAACACAGAGAAAACAGTGGAGTCATCACAAAACTCAACACAAGAAAAACAGCAGAGGGAGTCATACAAAACACAACACTAGGAGGAAGTGATACAAAACTCAACACAGAGAAAACAAAACCAGGAGTTGAACAAAACTCAACACCAGCAAAAACAGCAGAGGGAGTCATACTAAACACAACACTGGGAGGGAGTGATACAAAACTCAACACAGAGAAAACAGTGGAGTCATCACAAAACTCAACACAAGAAAAACAGCACAGGGAGTCATACAAAACACAACACTGGGAGGGAGTGATACAAAACTCAACACAGAGAAAACAGTGGAGTCATCACAAAACTCAACAACAGAAAAACAGCACAGGGAGTCATACAAAACACAACACTGGGAGGGAGTGATACAAAACTCAACACAGAGAAAACAGTGGAGTCATCACAAAACTCAACACCAGAAAAACAGCAGAGGGAGTCATACAAAACACAACACTAGGAGGGAGTGATACAAAAATCAACACAGGGAAAACAGCTGAGCCAACAAAATCTCAACACAAGAAAAACAGCACAGGGAGTCATACTAAACACAACACTGGGAGGGAGCCATACAAAACTCAACACAAGGAATACCATTGAGTCATAACAAAACTCAACAAAACAGTATAAGATGTCATACAAAACTCAACACAGAGAAAGCAGTGGAGTCATAACAAAACTCAACACAAGAAAAATAGCACAGGGAGTAATACTAAACACAACACTGGGAGGGAGCCATACAAAACTCAACACAAGGAAATCTGTTGAGTCATAACAAAACTCAACAAAACAGCAAAACAGTATAAGGTGTCATACAAAACTCAATACAGGAAAGTATTCACAGGTAGCCATACAAAACTCAACACAAGGAAAGCTGTATAGGAGGACATGCAAAACAAAACACTGGGAAAACATAGAGGGGATTGCGCAAAGGTCAACACAGGAACAGCATTACAGGGAGTCAAACAAAATAAAATACAGGGAGGGAGCCATACACAAGTCAACACAGGGAAAGTATGTACAGAGAGTCATACAAAACTCAACACAAGGGAAACAGTACATGGAGACATGCAAAGCTAAACGATGGGAAAGTATGTACAAGGAGTCGTACAAAACTTTAAAAAGGGAAAACAGCACAGGGAGGCAAAAAAAATTAACACAAGGAAAGTATTAACAGAGATTCATACAGAAGTGAACACATGCAAAACAGTACAGGGTAGTCCTACAAAAGTTAACAGAGTGAAAGAAATACTGCAAGAAGGCATAGCTACATAGGTTTAAAAAATGTTTATTGCTGCTGAAGTTACTACTGATTGGGTGGGGATGTAGGCAGTGTACACTAAATAACATGCATCAGGCCTGCCCTTTAGGTCATAGGTTTGAGCTGATTGTTTCACTCACTGGGCTCTGAATGGACATGCACTAGGCATTTTGTATCAAAATTACCCTTGCAGTTTCCAGGACGATACACCGAACAAAAACTTAAAAACTTTCATGGAAACACTTAATTTGTGAGTTTCCTGTTAAACACCTCCCATGACATGTCTTCGCCATCAATTGAAAATGATCACTTAAGAAATGTATATCATTTATAAAATGTTCATTATTGTGTACAGCAACATGAAAGCCATAACCCCTTGGGATTCCCGGTAATAATTTTATGACTACAATCAAATCTCTTATAAATGCAGGGTGCTGTTACTAAATCAGGGTACCTTTGTAATGTGGTTAATGATTCAGAAAATATGCACTTTGTGTTACTTTGTGGATGTAAAATTTCATACTTTGCAATGACCCAGGTTTAAATCCTGGTCATGGCACCAAATCAGTAAATTTACAGGTTACTTCTTCGTCTGTTTAGCTTTGTAGTAGACATTCTCCTTATACAGTGTGAATGTGAGAGAGTTGTCCATCTGAATGTGTTTCATCATATTCAAACTTCAAAATACGGTATTAAAATCCCAGCACAATAAAACCATTGTTTAATACATGGTTTCATATATAGAGAAGTAATCGTTAATGTGTTAGATATATATGTAAGCCAATCATGGTTATATAAATATGTCATATATCTTATCTTGAATTGCTAAAACAATCTAAGGAAAATGGAGGGGAGTCCTAAAAAGATTTGAGAGCCAAGTCAGTAAAACCACTGGCCAATGAATGAACTGTCCCCTTCTGACCTCATTTCAACTGAACCGATCGGTGTCAGTGTCATGCTGACTCTCGTAGTAGTGACTGTATCAGGCGACCGACGTCCAAAAAAAACAAAAAGAAATTTCTACTTACATCATTAGTCCAACGATAACGACTGATACGATCCATTCAAAATGTTTCCCTTTCATTGTTAAGTGTCCTGGAAGTGTTCACTCCTTAAACATCGACAAAACATCATCGCTGACCGACTTTTCGCTCGTAACTGGAGATACACCGATCACTTCAAAATGCAACTTCCGGCGACGTGTTACAATACATTGCGCATGTTCGTTGGGATAGCCGTCTGTTTTAAATTCGGTGACGGGAATTTCCCTGTAGAAATGTCAAAATGGACCACGTGGTTTTGTTTGCATACGTGTCTATCTGATGCTAGAAACTTCCACGGGAACCGTAACATGTGGCTCAGTCTCGTTTACATGGTTGAATAGATTTTAACTTCAGGCTAAAGTGCACCTGTTGCCATAAAACAGATGTTAGGGACGTGGATCTATGGGACCGCTTCATGCTCTATAAAATATATTGAATTATCGAACTCCATCATATATACACTTGACATTTGTTGAGTGATTTGTACAATTCAGTTTCAAAATGTGAAATCCATATAATGTACGTATAATGTACGTATATTATATGTCCCAGGTGCTATGTCCTTGCACACGTACATACCTATGGTTTCAATGTTTCAGTTTTTTCGCCATTCTCTTCTTACAAATCATTTCATGTCGCCAGCTAGCATTGTTAGAAACAGACTAGTCCGTTAATTGCCAAATAAATATTAAATGCAATTATCGAGCGTGAAGTCTTGATTTATGCAAATCCTAACAATGACAGGCATAAATGTACCATGCGATACAGTGGTTAGAAACAGATACAAACTGATGATCTAACTACATACACGGGGACATGTCAATTTGTAAAAGACCCCCACAAGGATCTGAAAACTTCCAACGGGTCCCATTGGTGAGAGCCAGATATGTATCTAACTTCGTACACAGGGACCTCAGTGAGAAACTGAAAAATGGCCCAATGGTTAGAAATGGGTACTACGTACACACTAATTTGAAAACTTGCAATATGTCCCACTGGTGAATGCGGGTACACATATTACTAAGTACATGGGAATATGAGAATTTGTAACGAGTCCCAGAGGTGAGAAACGTGTACATGTTTAACTTTATTCAAAAAGATATTCTATGTTACTCTGAGATTGAAATTATAACTCACATTTGATGGGAATGCAAAGAGGTTCAAAATCTTCTTAGTAGCTTTGAAGTTCTGTTTGATGCACTTATCATCCCATTTAACTTTGATGAAGCATCCTACTTATTTGGTTTCTTAACACAAAATTTAAATAGTAAAATTGACAATGAAGTACTAATTGTTATTAAACAAGATATATATGAAATGCACTGTTTCCATAACTCCCTTAACATAAACGCCTTAGTAAACACAATTATGAAATACTATAATGTGCAAGGATTTATTGCAATTAGCAAGGAAGATAGCTTTAAGGAAAAGTTTTACAAATATTGGAAAAAATGGGGAAAACTTATTGCATTATAAAAATATTCTTTACTTGTTCCCCAGCTTTGATTAGTCGACTTCAGTTAACCCTATGTTTATCCTCATGTTATATTATTAGTTATCCATTCCTCATCTCTCTCTCTCTCTCTCTCTCTCTCTCTCTCTCTCTCTCTCTCTCTCTCTCCAACCCCCTCCGTGCCACCCCTCCCACCCCCACCCCATCCCACACTCTCTCTCACACATGTCACAACACAGATATATGCAAATGTGTATAAACTATTTCTATATATGCTATGTGATGATTATACATTTAAAAGGTATGTATGTCTACTGAATATATACACTCCTATATTAGTTCTAATCAGTGCTATTGGAGGTTTGTATGTGTGATTCAATGCTAATACAAGTATGTATGTATGACTTTTATTGTATGTATGTATATTTAATACTAGTATGTGTGGTTAGTGTGGTATGTGTAGTGTATATTTAATATTAGTATGCACGTGGTTTGTTTTGTATGTGTGTGGTGTATACTTAATATTGATGTATGATCTGTTTTGTACGTGGAGAACAAGAGGTCAACAAAATTTGCCTTCATTTGAAGATTTATGAGAAGCAATGTATTGTTATGCGATTGTGATGATAAAACTGAATAAAAAATATAAGTTACAAAAAAAACTTTATTCAAAGGGACCTGAGAAATAAGAACAAGTTCCGGTGGTGAGAAACAGATATATACCCAATTCCGTATACAGGAACATGAGTTATTGTGTTTAACAGTGGTGAGAACAGGGTACACATCTAACTTCGTACACAGGGACACGAGTTATTGTGTGTAACAGTGGTGATAACAGGGTACACATCTAACTTCGTACACAGGGACATGAGTTATTTTTATAACAGTGGTGGGAACAGGGTACACATCTATCTTCGTACACAGGGACATGAGTTATTGTGTGTAACAGTGGTGAGAACAGGGTACACATCTAACTTCGTACACAGGGACATGAGTTATTGTGTGTAACGGTAGTGAGAACTGGGTACAGATCTAATTTCGTACAAATGGACATGAGTTATTGTGTGTAACAGTGGTGAGAACAGGGTACACATCTAACTTCGTACACAGGGACATGAGTGGTACACATCTAACTCCGTACACAGGGACACGAGTTATTGTGTGTAACAGTGGTGAGAACGGGGTACACATCTAACTTCGTACACAGGGACACGAGTTATTGTGTGTAACAGTGTAGAGAACAGGGTACACATCTAATTTCGCACACAGAGACATGAGTTATTGTGTGTAACAGTGGTGAGAACAGGGTACACGTCTAACTCCGTACACAGGGACATGAGTTATTGTGTGTAACAGTGGTGAGAACAGGGTACACATCTAACTTCTATGCAGGAACTGCGAACTTGTAACAGGTACCAATAGTGAGAAACGGGTATACATCTTACTTCTTAAACGTGGACATGAGAGCTAAAGGGTAACATGTAACTTTATACACAGGGACCTGAGACATGAATTACATATCCTAGTGGTGAGTAGCTAACAGACAAATCGAATTTCTCACACAGGCACCCGAGAAAAAGAAAAAGATTTCCCTTTTTGATTTACATTTAGTATACAAACAATTAAGATGACCAGCTAATGTAAAAGAGCTGTTCTGTCATTGGTCTATAATTCTGGTACGTCATTTTGAAGGGAAGTTTCCTTGTACTTTTATCCGTTCGGCCACCTTACCGAACTACACTTGCGGATGCTACCCTACTCTGTCATCCAGAGCAAATACTGTGGTTAAGTGTTTCGCCTATAGACACAGCAATCACACAAAGTGGTGTTTTCAAAGTCACGAGGAGTACAAACCGTGCAGACAGGGATCGAACTACACACCTCAGTAAGACACGAGGTCACTAATTGAGCAATTGTGACCTCCTTATTTTCAACCAGATACACATCAAATATCCTATGATGTACAATATAAAGTTACAACCTCATTGTTTTCACCCATTTCTTCTGCTATCCATCGGTTACTGAAAGCTGATGAAATCCGTGTTCATCTGGATTAACTTCCAATTTGGTACACAGTATAAGCATGCTTTGACGATGAGCACAAACTCTCTATACATTAATGAAAAAAAAAAGAAACTGTGCATGGGTATAATATGCTATAACTTAGACAGTATATAAGAAATCGTTAAAAATTCAACCGGGTTTTTTATGTGAACTTTATTTAACACCTGGTCAATTGATATGGTTATTGCATCACCAGTGTCTTGGATAGAGGTCAGTTTTCACATACGTTCTCGAAACAAATGTCACAAGGTAAATTGGAGTAAGTGTCTGAAACGTCCTGTTTAATCTGTATTCGTTACTGTCCGTGCATTTACGTGTATGTCCTTATTTGGTGTTACCTGTTAGGTAGTGTCAGTGTCTGTCCTTATACGGTGTTGTCTTGAGACGTGTACATGTCCAGGTGTGACAGGTGAAGAAGTCGTGCAAGAGTATGTAGGGTAATAAAACTAGGGATACCCCTGGGTGCTGGGCAGAATCACAGATTAGCCACGTCGCTCTGGACGTCCTCGGAAGTCCAGGCGCCACATATAGCTACGGTTCAGTGACTGACACGACCCGACGGTCGGTGTAGTGATGTGGTTGAAATCTTAAATCAGGGGTATTAATAAAAAAAAACGTTCAACACACAACGAATTCGAGTTGATGGTGTGACACAAAGTTCAGCTCATCAATACCGTGCGTGTCCACAATTGGAATCGATGCATGCTCTCAACGGCGCCCATTGATGCAACAAGTGTGCTGAAAAATGCCTGGGGAATACTATTCTATATTTTTACAAGCGAACGTGGCAGGTCAGGTAACGTCAACGGCTGATTTTGGATGCAACGTAAACGACGCTGCATCTTATCCCACACGTGTTTTGCATGCGACATATCCGGTGACATTGCAGGTCCAGACAGCACATTCACATTATTCTCGATCAAGTCAGTGACAGCCCGCGCGATGTGTGGGCGAGCGTTATCCTGTTGAGGCGTGGCGTTACGTTGCTGCACAAATGGAAGGACGTGAGGTTAGATGATTTCGTCACGGTATCGGATGCTTGTAAGTGTGCCAACCACAACCACAAGAGCTGTTCTACCATGAAATGAGATGACATTCACACCATGACACTACCTCCGCCGAATAGACATCGTTGAATCACACAACTCGCATGGAAACGTTCACCAACACGACACTCTAGAACGACCGTTGCTGCTGTCAAGAATAAACCTGGACTCATCCGTGAAAAGAACACGTGCCCAGTCCTGTCGCGTGATGTGTATGTGTCCTCTACACCAGGCTAAACGTGCGACATGATGACGTTGCTAGAAAACATGACGTGTGGCTGGACGCCGTTGGTGTATGCCTCGTTCAGGCAATCAATTGCGTACCATTCGGGGACTAGTTCTTCTAAGGCCAGGAATACTTCTAGTCGTCAAAGAAGCAGTTCTGAGTTGCTCACGGAGATGAACGACCAGGATACACGTATCATAGCGATAAGACGTTGCGCGTGGACGTCCTGGCCGTGGCCGGCCTCTGTTGGGCCCAAACTGTTGGTACCGTCTCCAAAAGGCGTCTGCAGTATTTCGGTACACAGCAAATTGTCTGCCAACGTCAGTATGGCGTACACCAGCTTCGATCATGGCTACGGCACGTCATCTGTCAGTTTCACTCAACCTTGGCGTATCAAAGACGTTTTTCAAAATTATTCAGGTTTTGCGTGTTACATGTATTTACATTATGCTTTTACTTAGGTTTAGGGCAACAAACCTGACTGCTGGAAGAAAAAGAACGTGTATACGATGACGACGTGGGCAAGACAAACAAACTACCCGTGCAACTTATTCGCTGACCAGTGTACATGACGGATGCCTGTGTAAAGCTTGAATTGATAAAGCTGAGAAACACGTGAACATTTTACTCTTGTACAGTTTAGGATCTAAAAGATGTACAATTTATTATTTAAAATTTTATTTTATCACATTGGTCCCATATAACACCTCCGTTTGTTATTAAGTCTAATCTGTGAGCTTCCGTTTGCAGTCTAAACGAGGAAGGTTATTTGGGTTTTTGAGCGGTCTGAAGTGGCTAATCCCTTGTCATGATACAGTGTCTCGGCTCAGGATTCAGATGTTTTAAAGTGTGACATAGCAGGATGTCATGATACCCTGCCTACGCATATTATTTGAACGTTCTATAGCATAACAGGACAGTATGTCATTAAACCGTGTCTCGGCATATTATTTGGACCTTCTACTGTGTAACTGGACGGGATGTCACCATACCATGTCCAGGCCCAGGATTCGGACGTTCTATAGCGTAATTGGACGGGACTCGCATATCGAACGCCCGATTCCTGTGGTCCAAGTTATGACATTTCAGTGTGATTATACTATTGTACTGATAAATTATCTCGGACGATTCCGTGTCGTGATATTTTATGTCAAGACCAGTTTTCTTGGTCAATTAAGGTTAAGTAAACATAGATGTCATTGTACCTCAGTAACACGTGTCATACACAAATAGTTACATTTTATATTAAACAATATTCCAATAAAATACTGCTTATTCACTTATAGTTTTCTCATCTAGTTCATACAAACGACCTGAATAGATGTCTACAGCAAGCTTACTTGTTCGCTAATGTGACCGACTAACACACAGTGTTACCTATGTTAGCACCTCACATACAAGGCTACTTGTGTTAGCACCTCCCACACAAGGCTACTTGTGTCATCACCTCACGCACAAGGCTACATATGTGACCGACTAACACACCAGGCTACTTTTGTCAGCACTCACACACAAGACTAATGATGCGAGTACTAGTCTACTATCAATCCATGATTTTATTTCGTCATGTTCGTTGACCGATAGACTATTAGCCCACGACCAAGACAGAATATATCAGAATCTTCCCACTTATGTGAGCACCTAACACACGGGGCTACTATTGTGATTAAAGTACCTAACGCACGGGGCTACTGATGTTATTACCTATATTGTAACACAGAGGCTACTAATAATTGCACAGAACACACATGGCTGCAGATGTGAAAGCCGAACACACCAGCCGTGTACCTAAACATGAGCATACTGCTGAGAGTACCTCTTACACGAGGCTGCTGATTTGAGCATCTAATACAACTGATGAGTACCAAACACAGGAAGCTGCAAATATACGAGACTTCCGAGAACCCAACAGACTACTGATATAACAGATGACCTAGTTATGTCCCCTGATGGTTCTTTATTCTCTGATTAAGAAATGATGGTTATACTCAATAACAAATTCTGTAGTCTGATGAAAAAGATAACACAGTTCTTCATAGCACGATTAAGTAATGACAGATTATTCTTCCTTTCTTTAGTACGTCCCCCAACACACTTTGCACTTCTTTAAAAAGATAAAGGCAACACAGTGACATCCCCTGACAGATTCTTTATTAGTTTTAAGTAATCACATAATTTACTTCTTCTTGGCCACTCCAACAGTTCTTCCTCTCCTGCCAGTTGTCTTGGTGTGCTGTCCACGCACCCTCAGACTGGAAAAAAATGAAAACACTAAATTAGCCACTTTCTACATAAAGACAAAATTTTACAAACTTATATCAATCTTTACCAGCCAAGGTCAAAGATACTCTATTTAACCACTGTCAGTTACATTTTATGGTTGATAATATTAATGTCTGATCTTACCCCCAGTAGTGTCGGAGACCTCTGTGTGCCCTAATCTTCTTTAGTCTTTCAAGATCCTCACGGAGCTTGTTATCAAGGGCATTGGACATGACCTGGCTGTATTTACCATCTTTGACATCCTTCTGTCTGTTCAGGAACCAGTTAGGGATTTTGTACTGGCGGGGATTGGACATAATTGTGATCACTCTCTCAATCTGAAATGTAGAATTATTGATATTTTAACACATACAAACATGGTCAGTATTCTGATATTGAGAATAAATATTTCTACAAAGCTACAAATAAGTCACAAACCAAACTTTTAACCGGAATGAACTTGGGTTACAATGATCTATCCTCTAGGTTGGTCTGCTTCAATCCCATTGACTTTACCCATCGCTAGGTATATACATTTTTATTCAAAATATTATCAAAACTCGCAATGGTTATCACTTCACAAAATAAATCATAATCATATAAATTCTCCCATACTTAAAACACTTGTCCTGACCAAATGTGGTTTTACTAACTCGCCTCCTAATTTCTTTACAAACCAGTCCTTGAAGGGCTAAAAGGTTGAAATTCATCTGAAGACATACACTGTATACTTGTACTAAGCCGAAGGGGCCAACAGTTGATCTTCCAATCAAGAGGGTGAGTTTATTACAAGACAATAAGAGGAGTGACAATCTACAATTATTTTCAGAAGTCCCTGTAAACATAATTGCTGAAAGCAGTGGGTCTCTCAATGTAAAAATTCAGTATTTTCAGAATTCTTTGAGTTCGCTCAACATTCTATGACTAAAGGACAAAGAACTCTTATGCATATTTATCACAAGACAATAAGCCAAGATGGCCAACACACTGTAATAGTATTGGTGTCTTTCAACAGTTAAATTCAATGTTGGGTTTATCATGAAACATGGGTTTACTATTGGGAAAACTATGGTACTTTGAATACTTCTTTATTGTATATATTCACATTAGCTTTGTTATTCCCAAGGAAAAAATTCATATTTGGAGATTGTAATGGACCCAAAAAGCATTAAAACTTTTAAAACATAATATAAAGGGTCTAGTTAAAATATAATGCATGATGACACAAAAGTTCAAATCCTGGTAGAGTAAATAACATTGTTCTCATTCGTTGTCTCCAAAAGTTACTTTCTTTTTTAGTTTTTACTGTGACATATGATTCATCCCACTAATTGAATTGCTTACTTCTAAGGGACCTTCTTCCAGGTTCTGCTGTTTTTATATTTTTATCAATTGTACAAAGTACCAGTGTTCAGTGAGGAACAGAAATATTATGCACAAAAAAACCCAATGTCAAGTGTACATGGACACTGCATGCATATGAAAGGGACAGACAAGCCAGTAAAATATTAGTTTTAAATCCTATATCAATCAAAATCGTCTACAAAGAAAGCACAAATACATTTCTTTACTGTCAATTCATAGCAGAATCAATTTCTTATGCTGTCTCCTGTCTTGTGATTGGCAGATAAGAAGGCTCTGATTTAAATTAATTCCCAACCTAAATAATGTTTGTTTTCATATCATGGGCTTAATCTTTATTGTAACTCATATCTTGTACATTAATATTTTCTCCGTTAAATATTTTTGTTCACACAACAGCAGAAAAACTTATTGTTATTTACATTTTTTCAATATTCATCATTAAGATTTGTCTGTTTTGAATCATCAGATTCATTCTCTAAGAAAAGATATCAGGGACTCCAGGGCCATAATTTTGTGCATTCTGCCATATTGTCCTGTCTTGTAGAATTAACTTCAAACCAAAACAATGCTAGTTTACAACTGATGTGAATCTCAATCTGAATAGTGTCAGAAACATCTAGCCTGACAGTTTTGATAAGATTTTAGTATAATACTTGCTGGTCTCATGACCATATGCATGTATAACACTATTTTGAAAGATGGTGACATTATCTATAGCATACAACTTCCACTAGGTGGCATGGATACTTCATTGGAAACTGATTACTCAAATAAAGTGTATTTCCAGACCTGATATGATCCATCAACCATTACATCACGAAAAAAAATCTTAAAGCAGCAGTTCATTACCTCTTCTTCGCTCAGTTCTCCAGCACGTTTTGTGATGTCAACATCAGCCTTCTTGCAAACAACATTGGCATACCGCCGACCCATTCCCTACAAGTTAGAAATTCAGAAATTATTACAACACAACCAGAAGTAATTTTATGACTAAGGCTTATTTGATTCCTTTTATATTTGCCAAAAAAAAAAATCAATGACAATACAAACAATAAAGGTATAATTTCTGTTCAATAAAGTTTTTAAATGTTATTTAAAAACAACCTTTTTAGTTGCAAAAACATGGATGAAGTTGATGAATATTCTATTTTGATTTTTCATTTGATTAACTGATTAACTCAACTATCTTTCAAATGCAGGACTATCACCCATATTCAGGGTTTTGCCAAATCTGTTATATTGTTACATTCTCCTGAATATAATACAAACCTTGATGGCTGTCAAGGCAAACATAATCTTCCTTTTTCCATCAATGTTCGTGTTCATAACACGAAGAATGTGTTGGAACTTCTCAGGGATGATGAGAGCCTACAACCAAGTAAATAAAAAAACATACATATACAAGCACTGAAAACATGCAGCATCATGTCGAAATTAAATTGTAAATGTGTGTTAACATTCTGTGACCAATATTATTCCTTTAATCAATTTGTCAATTACGTAGTGAAATTCCATACCCTTTTTCACATAGTTGGTAGACTGTCCGATGATATCATGAAGGACATACAAAAACGATGCAATAGTTACTGAAATTCAAACTTGTATTCTAAAATCAAAGATATCCATCAGCAGGCACTTAGCTCGATGATGAAAAACGAGTATAACATATATCATTTATTTATATAATTATTTTTCATCAGCGAGCCAAGTGCTTGTGATCCTTATATACAGTATATTTCTATAGCTAATGTACACGAAGGAATGAAAATATTATTCCTACCAATATAATACTACATATCATAATTAGCCCAGAATTTTTTTTCAACACACTTAGATGAATATTCAAGCCTGTCATAAACACAGACCGAAATCTGTGATACTAAATTGGATCCCTTGTAGTCATGATAATACGGTTCGACACGTTCGTTCGATCAAAAAATTATCTATGAAAACAAGAACATGTTATCGAAAATGTTATGGATCTTAATAAACCATACATGCTTTCACTTTTTATTAATTTGATAGAGCTAATAGCTTCATATTTCAACGTGATGGGAGCAGATTAATGTGCTAAACCCTTAGCAGTAAACACTAACCATGATGGCGGATTACCGGAAAAGGAAGTCAAGATAGTGAAAATGCTTGATCTGAAAAATGTTTGCATTGGTCGAATTCGTGATGTATACATCAGACTGATCCAGATGAAGTTGGTGACATGGCGTCAACTGCTGCGGAGCAAAATAAGGTAAGAACACCAACTCATTCTTTTGCATACTCTTATGTAGGAAATTTTCACATGTTGTAGCATTTACCCAATAAGAATCAATACATGAGCTTCAGTACAGGTACTAAGTAACAGAGTAACATGTATATGTTCAGGTCCCGATAATGACGTTCAGAGAAGTCTAATGTAAACATAGCAAGACAAGTGCTGTACTGTATATATATTGGTTTCTTGATCGATAGGATTAAACACACTTGCATTCAAACCCAAATCCTTAAATCCATGTTTGTACAAGGCAAACTAATGACGTAAAAAGAGCAGATCGGCGTGTCTTGTATTTCAAAGTGTTCAAGTAAAATGTTCGGTACAACCATTGATGTGAGTAATAGTTATGCATTCGAGGGATAGTTACCGCTTTGAGTAATCAATTAGTTCCGCATATACAGTGTCATTGGAAATAGAAACACATAAAGTCCTTGTAAACATTTGCAACAAAAAGGTGTCATATCTTTTCAAAACAATAAGCAATGCAATCTTGTACATTAATAATAATATACATTGTCACATTTGCAGTTTGATGATGTTAAAGATATGACACCTTTTTAGTTGCACTTCTTTTAAAACAAACTTTATATATTTCTTTTTGAGAATAATCCTGTATTTAAATAACTAACTGATTACTAAGCCGATGGAGCATGTTGGTAGAAACAGCCGATAGTAGATTGACCTGGGTTTGATTACTGGTTGGGGCATTTCATAGGAATGTGTGTTTTCCTTGTTCTTTCACGATGATAATTCATGTAAAAATACTTTTAACTGAAGTTAGTACAAATATTGAAAATAAGCCCACTACCCCAATGCAATATAATGTACATTGTAAGAATCATTGTGTTGAATAGAGATACAATATAACACAGCCAATCCAAAGTGTAAACATTGGTCTGCCAATCAATGTTTAATGTTAATAGGACTGCAGAACACAATTCTCTTACTGTGATATTGTTTTATGCATATATACTATAGGACCTTGCTGACAATCTTCAGTTAAATCTTGGTGAGCTGGACTTAACTTCAGAAGATTTTTGGCTGGAGGAAGCTGATGGTGAGTATCAGTGAAATGGTTGACTGGAGATAACGAATGGTGAGTATCACTAAAATGGTTGACTGGAGATAACGAATGGTGAGTATCAGTGAAATGTTTGGTAGGAGGAAACTGACAGTGATTACCATTAAAATGGTTGATTAGTGGAACCTAATGTTGAATGATAGTAAAATGGTTGACTGGAAGAAGCTGATAGTGAATACCAGTAGAATTAGATGACTACCAGTAAATGTTGCTTGGCTGTAGGATTATTCGTAGGTGGTATAATTCCTTGGTTGCAGGATTGGAAGGTAATTTTCAGAATGTTGGATGGTGTGTAATTACTTGACTGTAGAAATATTTGATTTCAGGAAACTGACTGGGTATAACAAATTTTTGGAGAAAAGTTTTATGACAATATTTGAGGTGGATCACTGGCCTCTGACTCTGAATAGTAGAAGGGTTTTAAATACTTTTGAATTCTCTGGATGTAATGTTTATCGAAATACATGTAGCTCCTCTAAGTCTTTGTGACATTTCATTCTCAGCCTGGGAGACAAACAATTCAATACATCTACACAAGGAATTACAGGTAGACAAATAGAAGAATTAAGATACTGGAAAATAGTGGCGGTGTATTCCCTTCACAACTCTTTGTAAAGAGATATAAAGAGTTGGTCAGTTTGAATTGGTGTTATAAATGATTAAATAACTGATTTGATTCTATTTTCAGTACATATTCAACAGAATTTGGAAGATGACATTGTTAAAGAAGCCCTCAACACTGTAAGTTAATCATCAGTCTTGGATCGCCTTCAGTGAAACTCTCCTAAGATTCACACACATGAAATCAATAGATTTCTTCTACTTCAAATTGTAGCCTGACAGGCCACTCAAAATGTTACCTTTGCAGGCTGAACTAAAATTTTCTAGAACTACAATATCTGGTTTTGAGGATGATATAAGAAGTAAGGTTTGTTTAAACTTATAAAGTGATATTTTCTTAGGGATCGGATGGTATAATATGTTTTAAATTTATGTGATATATAATATGTAATACATATTTGTCATCATCAGACCATATCAGGGATACATAGCTGTATTTTGTGTTATAATCTGAGCAGGTGAAAGGCATACAAATTTGGAATATTGACAAAGGGAGACAATTCTTACATGTTTTTATTTAAGTTGAGGACAATTAGTTGCATTTTGACCTATTCCTTTTCCAAGTCGAAATTGTATGTTATATTGCACATTTTTCCCATTTTGATAAAGCAAAAGTTAATTCAGCTTTCATAAATAATGTAGAATCAATGCATTGTTCCCCTTACATTTCAATACTTTCATACAATTGGTACAAGAATATTTTTGGAGAAGTGTATAAAATTGACCTTAAGTCTAATTCTTGTGTGGATTAAGATAGGTGCATGTAGACATTGAAGAAGTTTTTCTTCTAATGTGATTTAGGGGGTTGACTTGAGGCAGTATTCCAAACAAGTGGAGAAAGAACTACTGGATGTGGAGAATGCCTCCATACAGGACTGTATCCTTGTCAGACTGTTTAACATTGGAGAAATTTTAATTTACATCAGAGTAACTTGATTCATATTAAATTAGCTGATACATATAAGATTAAATTGATTCCCTTTTCTGTGATACTTTAAAGTAACATTTACAGAGGATTTTTTTATCCTCTCAAATGAATCTTAATCCATTTCCCTGATTTACTGTCTACAAGGAAATATTTTCTAAAGTCTCTTGTTTTTTGCCTTTTGCCCACAGGACAAAAATAGTTGAAATTTAACTCTGGTAAAAAGATGGAGGAAAAACCATGGCAAGTCGATTTTTCCCATATATAGTATTTGCCCCATATAAAAGTTCACCAAGTCACCTGATGATCAGCTCAAGTCTAAATGACTTGGTTGTTGTCAGATTGATTTAGTTCTCTACAGACTGACTCGGTTCCTATCGGACTAACTTTTTACTCACAAAGCTGACTTGTCTAAAGTCCGACTTTATTTTTATAAGCCTCTCACTTGATTTCCGTAAGGTTAACATAGCTGCTATTAGAATGAGTTGCTACCCATAATTTGAAGTATCACAATGTTTTGCTCACATACTTATTAAGACTGATGTGATTCCTTAAGTGGTACAGACATCAAGGAAAGCCAGAACATTGCCAGTCTGCACAAACAGATTGCTTCCTGTGACACTATTTTAGAGGTGAGTTGACTACAGTTACAGAGGGTGATGTCATTTACAGGTCAATAAAAACATGAAATACAGGTAGATCAGATAGAATAGATTAAAAAGATTTACAGCTAAAGTGAAACTTATAGCAAACTGACATTGTGTACAACAAAATTAAGATAAGGTTTTGTCGTGATTAGATACAAAAATTCTTCAGTTGTTCAGAATGTGTTCTGTATAAATTGTTCACTATATTAACACAAACATGAAGCATGAGGGTAAGGGTATACTCCTTAGTAAGTGTATCTTCTGTGTTAATTGACAAATAAACAACGGTTTGCATTGGTAACCAGTTTAGAGACTTGAGGAACATATTAAAATATTGAACATAAACTACACAGTATACATCAGAAATACTTTTGGTTTTGAATGATTTTATGTTCTATGGTATGGAGTTGTGTGACAGACAGAGGTTCACTAACCTTGCTAGGATGTACTATGATGTAGAGGTGTATGACAGGCAGATGTTCACTAACCTTGCTAGGATGTACTATGATGTAGAGGTGTATGACAGGCAGATGTTCACTAACCTTGCTAGGATGTACTATGATGTAGAGGTGTATGACAGACAGATGTTCACTAACCTTGCTAGGATGTACTTATGTAGAATGACAAAATATTATTTATGAGGATGTATGACAGGCAGATGTTTTTGGGAAACCCTCCTGAATGTACCTCATGCAATGTTTAGTTATTGATGTAGAGGTGTTCACTGTTCACTAACCTTGCTAGGATGTACTATGATGTAGAGGTGTATGACAGACAGAGGTTCACTAACCATGCTAGGATGTACTATGATGTAGAGGTGTATGACAGACAGAGGTTCACTAACCATGCTAGGATGTACTATGATGTAGAGGTGTATGACAGGCAGATGTTCACTAACCTTGCTAGGATGTACTATGATGTAGAGGTGTATGACAGACAGAGGTTCACTAACCATATTAGGATGTACTATGATGTAGAGGTGTATGACAGGCAGATGTTCACTAACATTGATAGGATGTACTATGATGTAGAGGTGTATGACAGACAGAGGTTCACTAACCTTGCTAGGATGTACTATGATGTAGAGGTGTTGACAAAACAGAGGTTCACTAAATGCTATTTATTTAGAATGTAGGTTCCTTTTTCTAGTGTAGAGGTGTATGACAACAGAGGTTCACTAATTTGCTAGGATGTACTATGATGTAGAGGTGCTTTAGAAGTATCAGTAATTTTGTGATAGTTTTAGAACTTTTATAACATGTGCCCCATTTGTGGTCTTTTTATGTGAGTCCAGGTGATATTGGGAAGGTTTTGACTTATAATTCTTTTTTGTGATGGCAGAGAATGGAACAGATGCTGAATGGCTTCCAGGGATGGAGGTAGCAGCATGACAGCAGAGTTCACTAACCTTGCTAGGATGTCTATGATGTAGACAATGACAGTCAGATGTTCAAACTTAAACACCACACATGTACTATGATGTAGAGGTAATGACAGGTCACAGGGTCACTAACCTTGATAGGATGTACATGATGTAGAGGTGTATGTACAGATGTTCACTCACAGGATGGGTACAGATAATACAGGTCACAGGGTGGGTAGATAATACAGGTCACACCATGGGTACAGATGTTCACAGACCTTGCTAGGGTGTACTATGATAATACCGGTCACAGGGTGGGTACAGATAATACAGGTCACAGGGTGGGTACAGATAATACAGGTCACAGGGTGGGTACAGATAATACAGGTCACAGGGTGGGTAAAGATAATACAGGTCACAGGGTGGGTACAGATAATACAGGTCACAGGGTGGGTACAGATAACACAGGTCACAGGGTGGGTACAGATAATACAGGTCACAGGGTGAGTAGTGATAATAGAGGTCACAGGGTGGGTACAGATAATACAGGTCACAGGGTGGGTACAGATAATACAGGTCACAGGGTGGGTACAGATAATACAGGTCACAGGGTGGGTACAGATAATACAGGTCACAGGGTGGGTAAAGATAATACAGGTGACAGGGTGGGTACAGATAATACAGGTCACAGGGTGGGTAAAGATAATACATGTCACAGGGTGGTTACAGATAATACAGATGACAGGGTGGGTACAGATAATACAGGTGACAGGGTGGGTACAGATAATACAGGTCACAGGGTGGGTACAGATAATAAAGGTCACAGGGTGGGTACAGATAATACAGGTCACAGGGTGGGTAAAGATAATACAGGTGACAGGGTGGGTACAGATAATACAGGTCACAGGGTGGGTAAAGATAATACAGGTGACAGGGTGGGTATAGATAATACAGGTCACAGGGTGGGTACAGATAATACAGGTCACACCATGGGTACAGATAATACAGGTCACAGGGTGGGTACAGATAATACAGGTCACAGGGTGGGTACAGATAATACAGGTCACAGGGTGAGTAGTGATAATAGAGGTCACAAGGTGGGTACAGATAATACAGGTCACAGGGTGGGTACAGATAATACAGGTCACAGGGTGGGTGCAGATAATACAGGTCACAGGGTGGGTGCAGATAATACAGGTCACAGGGTGGATAAAGATAAAACAGGTCACAGGGTGGGTACAGATAATACAGGTCACAGGGTGGGTAAAGATAATACAGGTCACCGGATGGGCACAGATAATACAGGTCACTAGGTGGGTAGGATAATTCAGGTCACAGGGTGGGTACAGACAGGTAAACATCACACATATAATAGTATCACATACATAGATAATACAGGTCACAGGGTGGGTACAGATAATACATGTCACAGAGTGGGTACAGATAATACAGGTCACAGGGTAAGTACAGATAATACAGGTCACAGGGGAAGTACAGATAATACAGGTCACAGGGTGGGTACAGATAATACAGGTCACAATGTGGGTACAGGTAATACAGGTCACAGGGTGAGTACAGATAATACAGGTCACAGGGTGAGTACAGATAATACAGATCACAGGGTGAGTACAGATAATACAGATCACAGGGTGAGTACAGATAATACAGGTCACAGGGTGGGTACAGATAATACAGGTCACAGGGTGGGTACAGATAATACAGATCACAGGGTGAGTACAGATAATACAGATCACATGGTGAGTACAGATAATACAGGTCACAGGGTGGGTACAGATAATACAGGTCACAGGGTGGGTACAGATAATACAGGTCACAGGGTGGGTACAGATAATACAGATCACAGGGTGAGTACAGATAATACAGATCACAGGGTGAGTAATACAGATCACATACACAAATAATACAGGTCACAGGGTGGGTACAGATAATACAGGTCACAGGGTGGGTACAGATAATACAGGTCACAGGGTGGGTACAGATAATACAGGTCACAGGGTGGGTACAGATAATACAGGTCACAGGGTGGGTACAGATAATACAGGTCACAGGGTGGGTACAGATAATACAGGTCACAGGGTGGGTAGAGACAGGTAAACACCACACATACAATTGTACCATAGAGATCTATGACAGATCAGTGGCCAGTTCAGAGTTGTGTGGTTCCATGCAATCAAATAATCTTAACTTATTATATTACAGGCTGTGAGAGGAGAGCTGAGTCAGTTTGTTGATGAGATGGTTATACCAGAGACAATGATCAAGTAAGTTACATTATAATACAGCATGGAATTTTTCCAAACCAACCATGCATGGGACATGAATATTGGTCAGTTAAGGGAGGGTTCGGTTTGCAGAAGTGAACCAAGTTGATCTGTCCGGACTTGGAGAGGATTAAACCAGTTTCATTCTGTACATTACATTCTGTTTGCTTTTGGCCTTCACATTGCACATGTCCAACTGAATGCAGCTATAAAAATGCTATTTAGGGTAAAAAGTGTTTCATGTAATATTATATTAACTGGATGTGATATTATATTAACTAAGTGTAATATTATATTAACTGGATGTGATATCATATTAACTAAGTGTAATATTACATTGACGAGGTGTGGTATATTTACTAGGCTTGATATGTTATTGACTGGTTGTGATATTTTCCAGTCACATCCTCGACACACCAGTAACAGAGAGAGAATTCCTTGAACATCTCCATGAGTTAAACCACAAAATTAACTTTGTCAAGGAGCAGTCTTTCCGAGATGCCAAGTCTTGTTACGATGTCCGTGATATTCTAGAAAAATTGAAAATAAAGGTAAATTATGATTATATTGTATTGTAGTAAAACATTTTATTGTTTCTAGTGTATTATAGTGAAGAATCATATTGTTTCTAGAATATTGGATTTTTTTTATTCCATTGTAAGAAATACAATAATACAGACTAATTACAGAATGTTTACTAATTACAGGGTGTATAATACAAATGATAGACTTTTTACAAATTACAACCTTATTACAAAAAATTCTACTATTTACAGAATAGTTACAGACACTGATAAAAATTACAGACTGTTTGCTATTTACAACCTAATTACAGACTCTCTACTAATTACTGTTGTTCTCTTTACAGGCTATAGCCAAAATCAGAGAATTCCTAATGCAGAAGATATACTCCTTCCGCAAGCCTATGAGCAACTATACAATACCACAAAATGCAATGCTGAAATTTAGGTAGGATTTCATTTAGAAAGACTTGTAATGCTTATATTTTTAAGCCAATCTGTGTTATTGCAGAAAACAATGAAGGGTGGTCATGGTTAAGCTTATACTAGTATGCCTGTTGAAGACTTAGATAATTTCTGCCATGGTGTGTGTATATATACAAGAAAGTTAAAAAAAAAAATTAAAAGAAAATACATGTATTTCATTTTATGAAAGGTAGTAGGTGAAATCTCTTGTTTTTGTCCTAAACCTCTACTGGGTAAATTTCAACAGTTTTCTCTGTTACTGGCATTAACAGAATTTGTATTTTTTCATTTGAAGAATAGCTGATGTTAAATGTTTTCAGCATTATTCATATAAGTCTCATTATTTTTAAAATCTTCCTTCACAAGGAATAGTTAATTTTTATTTGAACATGTTCAAAGAAATTTGAAACATCAAATCTATGGTTAAGTGTATTCACAGTGAGTGTATAATACTTCACAGGTTTTTCAATGAATTCTTGATGGCCAATGAAAGACATGTTGCTAAGGAAGTTAGAGACGAATACATTGATACCATGGGGAAGATGTACTACTCTTATTTTAAGGGTTACCTGAGCAGACTGATGAAATTACAGGTAATAACTAAAGGTAGAAACAGGTTGATACAAATGTGAGTGAAGAAAAATGTTAAAGATATAGATAAGACATGAAGAATATGTGAAGGGAGTTACACCTAAAAAATTCAGAGAAGATGTGGGAACAAAGTGTGGGGAAATAAAGTAAAACATTGAAGGAAGGTATTGGGAGACACATGTAAAGTTTTGAGTGAAGGTAGGGAGATATGGGTAAAGAACTGAGGGGAGATGTGGGGAAAAGGGTGGGGAAATACAGGTATGCATTTAAAGAAAGTGTTGGAAGATAATGCAAAGTTTTGAGGGAAGGTGTGGGAGATATGGGTAAAGAACTGAGGGATGGTGTGGGGAGATACAGATAAAGAATTGAGGGGAGTTGTGGGAAGATACAAGTAAAGTATTGAAGGAATGGTTGGAGAAATAAAGATTAGGTACTAAGGACAAGTGTGGAGAGATACAAACAATGAAGAAAATCACTATTTTGATAATAATAGATTTTAATTATTAGGGATAAAATGCATATTTATCCAAAGGCTTCACTTTCAAATTGGCCTAGGTAACTAGACAACTTTTTATTTGCAGTTCGAAGAAGTAGCAGAGCGAGAGGACTTGATGGGGGTAGAAGACACTGCCAGAAGAAATATTCTTTTTTGGATACAGCGCTACTATCTCCATTGAGATTTCTTTTTTTGTATTTTTTTCATCCCATCAAAACTAAGGCTTGCTGTATGTTTGACATAAATTGGTCAGTTGCTTTTATGATTAAAAACTTACAGTTTTGCAGTATAAATGTAAGTACACATGGAGAAAGGAATAGAGTAAAAATGCAGTAGTAACTCACAATCAAAATTTGGTAGGATTACAAATCAGGGGAGATAACTTGTAGTGGCATATTCTTGTGTTGACACTATTTGCTCAGTTTTTTCAGCTTTATATCACAAGGTCAATCACTATTGTAAATATTATTAAGAAGAAAAATTGACATGCAATATTTTGTTTATATTTCTCCCTAACTTTTCTGAAGCTTCTTCTCCACGAAACCAACATTAAAAAATAGGTCAACAGTGTTTACTCTCGGTAACCGTGGTAATATCCTTGGATCAGATCTGGAGGGTCCCATCATCGTCCCTCATGCAGCTCAAAAGTCTGACACCAAGGTATGGTTTTAGCCTCTAAAACAGCATTTATTATAATTACAAAATATGTTTGGCCCAAATTTAATGAAAAACAGAGAATGACTTGTTCACTGTAATAATAATGACACAATTACTTTTTGCAATATCAGTAACTTTACATTGACAAATGATGTGATTCCAGCAGAATGACCTGCACTACAACTTTGAGTGTCTGATTATATTGCAGTACAACTTTGTTTGTCTGATTATATCGCAGTACAACTTTGTTTGTCTGATTATATCGCAGTACAACTTTGTGTGTCTGATTATATTGCAGTATAACTTTGTGTGTCTGATTATATTGCAGTACAACTTTGTGTGTCTGATTATATAGTAGTACAACTTTGAGTGTCTGATTATATTGCAGTACAACTTTGTGTGTCTAATTATATTGCAGTACAACTTTGTGTGTCTGATTATATTGCAGTATAACTTTGTGTGTCTAATTATATTGCAGTACAACTTTGTGTGTCTGATTATATAGTAGTACAACTTTGTGTGTCTAATTATATTGCAGTACAACTTTGTGTGTCTGATTATATTGCAGTACAACTTTGAGTGTCTGTTCCGTAGTATCCACTTCGCCCTGATGGACAACTGTTGTCGAGAATACCTGTTCCTTGTTGATTTCTACATGGCATCTGGTTCCGCCTCTATAGACCTATTTAATGCTATCATTGGCAAAACCCTCACACTCTACCTGGTAAGTTCCCTGCCTGGTAACCAAGTCTCACACTCTACCTGGTAAGTTCCCTGCCTGGTAACCAAATTTCACACTCTATCTGGTCAGTTCCCTGCCTGGTAACCAAAATCTCACACTCTACCTGGTAAGGTCCCTGTCTGGTAACCAAAATCTCACACTCTACCTGGTAAGTTCCCTGTCTGGTAACCAAAATCCCCTGTGAAATGCATTTGCAAGGGATATTAAGTTCGGCTCTGTATGTCCGTCCATTTGTGGGCTTTTCCAGGCTATAACTCCAAAACCATTCAACTCGACTTCACAAAGCTTGCTGAATATATTATTTGCCCTACTTGTGCCTTTTGCTATTGACAGCATTCTATTTGTTGTATTTTTTGTGTTACCATGGAAACATAGACAAAAAACACTAAATTTCTGGTTACTTTCCATGTTACAACTTCTAAACCATTCCACTCCACAAAACTTTCTGTATATATTATTATTATTTTGCACTAGCGATTTTACAAATTGTTATATATAAATATCATTTTTGGTTTTACACCAACAGCTCCTTGTCTGATTTGAGTACCCGTAATGGAGTTGGGAGATCAATAGTTTGCTCATATGACTTCTGTGTAAGATTTTGATGGTTTTATCTTTACACAGAAACAAATGGAGGAGTACATCAATGACTGCTATGATTCTATCGCCATTTTTCTCTCCATTCACATCGTATATCGCTTCCATTCCATCATGCAGAAGAGATCAGTGCCAGCTCTAGACAGGTATATGTAAATGAATTGACTGTTCTGTAGTTTCACAATCAAGTCTTAGTCTGTAATCACCTGCTGTACAATATCACAATAAAAATACAACAAAGTTTGGAAATTATGATGATTTTTGAAGTGTTTTTGTATGACTTTTGAAATGTTTTAGGTACTGGGACGCACTACAACAAATGATGTGGCCAAGATTTGAATACATCCTCGACCTTAACATACAGAGTGTCCGTGACTGTGACCCACAGAAGTTTGGCCACATTGACAACCGGCCACATTATGTAAGTTACATCAGACAACAAAACAAGCTTCATATGTTTGATGTCTGTTAACAAGGGATCAAACATATTACATAAAACAAATATTTATTTCCATCAGTTTTTTTTAATTCATGTTGATCAGTTGTATTCCTGAGAAAAATAAAAGTTGTGGAGTTTGCAGCTGCAGGTCTAAAGTTTGTAGAACTGTATTTTTATTCATCATTTTTATTTCAATAGATTACACGACGTTATGCTGAGTTCTCAGCAGCTATTGTGGGAATCAACCAATCATTTCCCAACGAGAGAGTCCAGCGCATCCTGGAGCAGCTGCAGACAGAAGTGGAAAATTTCATTCTAAAGATGGCTGCTGAGTTTCCACACCGCAAAGAACAGCTGATCTTCCTAATCAACAACTATGACATGATGTTGGGGGTCATTATGGTAGGTCATAGTTATCAGAGCAATGACACAATGTTGGAGGCTATACCAGACCAACGTATCACAGGTGTGACACAGTGACAGGGGATATAATAGGTCAACTTTGACACAGTGTTAGGGGCTATACCACATCAACGTATCATAGATGTGACACAGTGACAGGGGATATAATAGGTCAGGGTATTGCTGCTGTATCACAGCTGTGACACCATGTTTGAGCTACTTTAGGTCAAGGTATCAAGACAGTGACATAGTGTAAGAGGCTATAACAGGTCAACAAATCACAGATATGACACAGTGCTAGGAAACATTTTGGTCAAAGTCGTTACAGCAGTAACATAATGTCATGGGGTCAGTAGATTTAAAAAGTCACATATTTTTCATTGATCACACAGTATTTTCTTGTTTTGTATGAAATTCAAACTGAGGGATATTCACACATCCATGGACACATTCTGACATGACATCATGTTAATGGTTATGTACACATTGTAACTAAAGTTTGTCTTTTTTTAAGGAGAGAACGACAGAAGATTCCAAAGAATCTGAAAGTTTTAAGGAATTGCTAACTGCACGCACAACAGAGTTCATTGAGGAGGTTCTTTCCCCTCACTTCGGGGGTCTCATTAGCTTTGTAAAGGACTGTGAGGTGATGTTGGAACGTGGTCACACTGATAGTCTCAAACACGAGGAGAGTAAGTAGTGAATTTCATGTTATAAAAGTACTAGGCAAGTGTAAAGGAAAGGTGACTTAATTCAGGATTTCCATTGGTAACTCTTGACCACAATTCAATTTTGTTGCATTCATAGATGATACAAGTCTTGTTTACAGAACTCCATGTCATAAAAATAAGTTAGTGAAATCCTGGTGCTATGGGTGCCAAGGGTCATGCTAATTTATTGCTGTCACTACATGGCGCAGCAATCTTATTAATGGATGCATTCATGTGTTGTCAGGCCAATACTGGTATGTTTGTATCTGTGATATGTATGTCACAGGGTTGGTAATGATGTGTTTGTAGTTGTGATATGTATGTTATAGGGTTGGTAATGATGTGTTTGTAGTTGTGATACCTATGTTACAGGACGGGTACAGCAGATAGTGAGAGGCTTCAACAATGACTGGAAACGGGCCCTAGAAGTGATCAATGGTGATGTAATGAGAGCATTTACAAACTTCAAAAATGGAACACAGATACTACAGGTGAATGATAATTGATGTAATTCATATATCAGTTATAGTAATACATCTTTTATTGGAGTTACAAAGTCTTTTGTAGTCTATATATCACATATAGCTATATCTAGGTTACAAAGCCTCTTGTTGTCCATATATTAAGTACAGCAATATCTAGGTTACAAAGACTCTTGTTGTCCACATATCAAGTACAGAAATATCAGGGTTACAAAGCCTCTTGTTGATCAAGTACAGAAATATCTGGGTTACAAAGATTCTTTTTTAGGATGACTTCTGTTGTAATTTTCTATTATTATAGAGGATTATAGATGGGTTGCTGAACTGAATCAATGTGGCTTATGCTGACAAGTCTCACTGTCACATGGCAAATTGTACGCCATTGTGTGCATTGTATGACGATTGTCTACAGAGCCAGGAATAATGATAACATAATCTTGTTGTTGTAGGGAGCCCTGACCCAGCTGATTCAGTATTACCATCGCTTCCAGAAAGTTCTCTCACAAGGACCCTTCCGTAATATGGCCATCAGGAACGAGCTCATCAACATTCACCATGTCATGGTGGAAGTAAAGAAATATAAACCAACATTTTAGATCCTTCTTGTTAACGAGTTATCACAATGTAACATTGAGATTCAGAATCCTTGTTAGAATACAACGTACCTGTGATTTGAATTTGGGACATTCTCACTGATTTAGTGTTGTAATTAATAAGAACTTCTGATAGACTTCAAACTCACATACAAAAACTATGATTTAATTCTGACATCATTTAGATTGAGGGTTGGTTGTTTTGTCAGGATCATGTACAAACATTTTATAAAGTGGAATAAAACTTTTTGTACATATTTATGTATCTATATAAAACATAAATTATAAATGTTTAAACAGATCGTTGTAAAATATGTTTGAGCAGTTCTTTGTAAAGACATGTAATTATGTACCTCTGAGACTGTTGTCTGTGACTTTGTAGATTAATGGATTTTTTCTGTGTATATTTATTTTAACAATTTGCCTGTCACAGCTGTGTACCAGAAATATTTAGGTGGAACATTCCATATCATTATGTCCCCACAGAACTATCGATGAGGATATGAAAGAAGGAGAGAGAAAGAGGAGGAAGAGAGAGGGGAAAAGAAGAGAAAGTGAGGGTGATGAGAGAGAGATGGGAGGGGGACAGAGAGAGGGAGAGAGAGGGGAGAGGAAGAGAAAGCAAGGGTGATGAGAGAGATATGGGAGGAGGACAGAGAGAGGGAGAGAGCATATGAAATTATCACAGAAAAGATAATAAAATATTACAATCATGGATAGTATTTTGTTGTTTTTAAATTTATGAATATTCATGCTCGTTTAACCTTGGTAAGTGTAGTATATCATATTTAGTACACAAAATTACCAAAACATATTGAAATCAGTTACAGATACATATACATGTATATGTATAGAAATCAATTACCAGATGTTGCGTATATTATCAAGAATAAAGAGATTTTGGTAAATGTCAAACTCAATCTAAGTGGACAGAACTTGAACATCAAAGTACACTAAATCTGCACTACAGATGGTACAATTCTTCAAGGTGGAAGGTCATAGTTCACTCACTTCCTACTTCTTGCAGGGGGATTTTAAGATGAAGGTACTAAAACAATCACTTCCTACTTATTACAACAGGAGTTTAAACAGAAGGTCATTGGACAGTCGCTACCTACTTCTGACGAGAGGAGTTTAAGGTGTAAAGAAGTCCTTTCACTTCCTACTATAGGTGGTTAAAGCAAAATTCACACAAGGAGCATAAGATGAAGCTCCTAGTATACTCACTTCCTAGTTCTGACTAAAAGAGTTAAGGTGAAGATTGAAGTATACAAACTGCCTTCTTCTTACTAAGGAGTTTAAGGTGAAGGTCAAGGTATACTCACCTACCTCTGACTAAAGGAGGTAAAGGTTAAAGCCAGTAGACTCTCTTTCTACATGTTTCTAGAGGAGGTGAAGATCGAAGTACACTCATCCCTTGAACACTTTCTACTTGTCACTAGAGAAGGTGAAGGTCATAGTACACTCATCTCCTACCTCTGATTACAGGCGGTAGAGGTGAACATCTGAACACTTTCTACTTGTCACTAGAGAAGGTGAAGGTCATAGTACACTCATCTCCTACCTCTGATTACAGGCGGTAGAGGTGAACATCTGAACACTTTCTACATGTCACTAGAGGAGGTGAAGGTCATAGTACACTCACCTTTCACTTCTTTCTAAAGGAAGTGAAGGTCATACTGCCATCACTTCCTACTTCTGACAAGAGGTTAAGGTGAAGTTTGTAGTGAACCTGCCACCTTCTGACTAAAGAGGTCCTGGTTAAAGTTATAATACACTCACTAACTACTTCTTAGAAGGAATGGTATAAGGTACACACTTTTCCTACTACTGACAAAAAGAGTTTAAGGTGAAGGTACTTTCACTCCATGGACTGTGATTCCAGACCATGCAGAGAAAAGTACAGCATAGAGCAAGGCCACAAACTTGGACTAACACCTAGCATTCAACTCCTACCCACCCTCTCCAGTACAAACTAGGCATGAAATGAACCTTGACCAACAGGACCAACATAGTCTGAAATGATTAGAAAAGTTAAGGAACACTTGAGATCAGCTTGTGGCCAATGTGGCTGAAGAAACTGGACATCCCAGGGAATGGAATCCTTCAAAAATAATTAAGGATGGAGAGGCTAGATTTCAAAACACTTTACTCTAGTGGGGTCATTCCTCATGTAAGTGGTATGTCCGAGGTGCATGGTTTGTCACTTCTCTGCTATAACTCTAGAGTCACCAGTGGCCATCAGAAGTTCTCACAATGCTAGGAAGGAAAATTTGTTTCACATATACAGAGGCGTAGCAATAATGTATGCTTGTATGCTTAAACATACACTCGAATTCCATTGAGATATATTTGCCCAACTTTTTTAACCTTACTGCGCCCCTAGACCCCCTAAACCGGGGCTTCGCCCTTGGATCCTCTCTTGAAAGCATACACTCCTAAAAATGTTTTGCTACGCCACTGATATATGATCCCCTATAAAGTTTATGAAACTTCATAAAAATATTTGTTGAAGTAGGCTATGAGGATTTAAAAGGGTAACCGAAACAAGGTTGAGTATAGTTACAGTTGTGGAATTAAGGATTTTTTCTGGTAACATTTTGCAGACTATTGATTTCCGAACTATCTTAAAGAAGAAAAATAACCACTTCAGAGGTAAGAGGGAAAAGCATGCCTTTATCCTTTAATTTTATCTAGGTATAAATTAAAGTAACATAAAAACAAGGCATCATAGTGATGAGATTTTATTATGATAATCAATTTTAGTTTCTGAAAAAGAAGTTGTACCATTTCGGTTTCAAATATTTTTTTTCTTCGGGTGCTCGAAGAACAATTTCTTTCATAGATTGGAACAAAGAAAAAATATTTCCATCTGTTATTTTTTTTTAAATCCTCTTTTAATCCCACATAACAAATCGGTCGATTTAGATATGATAGATAGGAACAGATAAAGGTATATGAATCATTATAAAGGAATGCTACGCCCGCTCCAAGCTAACAAATCACACCTGGCGGCGTACTTCAAAGGTGTCGCTCTTGTATGTGACGTCATAACTCATCAAAGCTTCATTTCCTGTTCAACATGGCGGCCTTCCAATACAACTATGCGATTGTTTGTCGTATTCCAGACAGTTTCCAGGACATTCAGTCACAACAGGCAGATGCAGACCCCATAGATATTGAAAAGGCACGCGAGGAACACTCCGAATTTATCAAAACAATGAAAAAATGCGACGTGCGCGTGATTGAGCTGGCATCGGACGAAGCGTACCCCGAATGTCCCTTCCTGGAGGACTGTGCTCTTGCTATTGGAGGTGTGGCGCTTATCCTCAGACCTTTCTCGAAAACACGGCATGGAGAGGTAAGCTATGTTCAGTTACATTAGATATACATGTACAATAGTCTACAAACGTGAAAATATGATGTTTTGAGTTTTTTCCCCACATACACCTTACTTCCAAACGTTCCCATCTTCCACTCTGATTCATCAATAGAATTATTCAGATATCCGTTAGACAGGTTGGAAACATTCTTGGATTTACGGGGATTGACTGGAACTCCGAATAGTTTTCTCCTCATAATAGGAAGCAACATAAAGCATTAATAATATTTCATTCTGTCGTTTATTTCCCAAATATATGTTTTATTGTCACTGATCACAATGTGATGGCTTGCATTGATGGGTCAGAAAAATCGGGTGAATAATATATTAGATATAAATAGTCAGTGGCTACAATCAGGGATTGAACTTCTTTCAATGCTTTGTACACTTAACTAGTTCTTAACATAACTGAACTATGTTATCATGGTACACAATAAGTTTAAATGTATCTGTAATACCATCCTAAAAATAATCACATTCAGAATCTTTCTCATTAAATAAATCATGCCATGCAATTCAAGAATAAAGTTCCCTTCATCTCGATATCATAATAGACTGGAACATGATAACATGATTGTGACCTTTTTTTTTGTACAAATCTCTAACTTGGTATTATGTAGCTGAATGATCTCCCACGAAACAAGCACTATAACTTTGTGGCAGGTTACATGATATATTATTAGATTTGTGGCAAATTTCACATCTGTTGGGTAGAATGGGTTATGCTTGTAAGATACATGCAGGATTTGTTGAAGCATCACCTATAATGCAAAACCGGTCAACCGTGAAAATAAAGCAAATGAAATAAGAAACTGTCAAGATGTGTTGTGGTTGTATTTCATTACTATCACTTGACGATTATACAACCGCCCTGCATACCTAGAGGTATCCACACCGACAGCTAGGGACCTTAGCTGGAACTTCATTGTCATCTGCGTTGGTTCCAAACTTTGAACCTTAAGCTACATCTTGAGACATTGATGTTGTGTCTGCGGAACCATCCTTGATACTCCAAGGGTTACCATCAATTTAGCTATCTGCACACCTGAAACATATCATTGGAAAATTGAAGGATCCATATACAACACCTTGTAGACAAGGTGAAAAGACGAAATTTATCCTTTGATGTACATCAAACGAATCTGGAAGTCGCATAACAGTATGTTGCACTGGCTTTAAAGTTGGGTGTCGCTCCTTTGTAATCCTCAAAATGATTCATGTTATCATCCTGTTATTGGCCAGTTTTTTCTCCTTGAACCAATCAAATTACTTTGCTTGTACCTTCAATTTTGCCATGGCATAATCTGGGGATGCAGGATTTGAAAATGATCATAACCCCTGGAGTATAGACGATGCTGCCAAACCTAATAGTTCATGGTCCAATAGAGAACGTCCCCATAAGTACATTTGAAAGAAACGGAAGTATTTTTCTCATACCAATGATTATCTTGAATACTTCGTTTGTGAAGTAGAGACCAATGGAACCATACCCCCATTGTTTAATGGAGAAGTTCTTGATATCAGGTTAACATTGTTTGTAAACCTGAATCCCACGAGTATCAAAGGTAATAGTGCCCTTATACTGGTACAATGGTCACATATAAAATTAATTATTTGTGAGTTTTACACTATTATTAATACCGATTAGTCAATATTGAATTTATACCTTGTTGATCCACCACGCAATCAAGACTTGATGTCAATTAATTTGTGATCATGTCACTTCAATTTGAGTTTGTAAAGCCAATGACTTCACCTCTAGTTTCACTTGGTGCAACCGTTCTTAAAGGTTTTGTGTACATTTGTCATATTTGATGATGGCATTATCTTGGATCCCGGCCTCCTCCATAGAGCTCAAGTCAAAACTACAAAATCATTATTTCCTTCTTCTATTTTGTTTCTCACATTATTAATGACAGTTGATGAGTTAGGTTCCCCAAAACTTTTAGACTCAGTCCAGTTTCTCACTGGTCTACTATTTATTAGCAAATTGATTGTGCGAATGGTGCAGTGCAGTGCATGGTGATAACATGTTTAGAATGGATAGCAATCCGAAAAAGGGATAGATATATACTGAATGTTGCATTAACATTGATATCAAAGTGATTGAAGGGGCTGGATACATGTAACTGCATAATGATGATTGCAATAACATCAAAGCTGATAGTACTGACCTTACACATAGCTCAATTTATACTATAAATTCTCACTTTTAAAATTACTTGTTAGTATGAAACTCAAATGACCATGTTGTTTCAATGTACAACTAATTTTGCCCTATTTGTATACTTAGATTCTCTAAGGCTATGGATTTTAGAAATATCCATGCCAAGACCTATATGTGAGTATAATGACATAAATCTCTACTGCAATCCTGTTAACACTAACCTCTGTTTGTCTTCACCTAGGTTGCAGGGATTCGAAAGCTCTTACAGGAACTGAACCTCCATGTATACGAGATCAAGGATCCTGATGCGTATGTGAATGGAGGTGATGTCTTCTTCACTGGTGAGTGTAGACAAGGCTGCATATGTTTATCACGACATAACAACTAGGACTTTAAAAGTGGGCTTTTCAGTTAAACTTTAACTTATAAAGGATCTCTAAGCATGCATTATATGTATCATGTAAATCTTACCATTGTAAAAGGAACACAATGTGTCTGTTGTATACCTGAGGCATCCAGTAGAACCATCAATAAGGTTCAAATCTACGGTGAGGAAGAAGATGTAGCAAAACATATTAAATAGTCAACAATTCATAATATTTACTTCTGGACTGTTGTTTCTCTTAATCAATAAGCTCAAAATGACAAACAGTAGACCATGAAAACACTATGAAAGGACTACAGCCATTCATGTGGAACAATCAGTTGATTTTACACACAAGATGATCAGTTGTATCAATATGTCCAAAACTTATTTATGTAAGAGTAAGCTCCCCTTTGTCCAACATTACCAAAGTGATAAAATTAAACCTACTGTTGAGAAGTGAAATTCCACTAATTGTTCAAACAACCCTTGATCAAGAACAAAGAAGTTGTCGTTCTTTTATGATATCTTGCGTTGCAAAATGACAGATCGACAGAATCTCTTTTGTGATTTCATTCTCTGCAGGATTTAAGAATTTTTCATTTCTTTAGCTAGCATGCACCATGAGATGTATAGAGAGTTAGTGCTATCCATTGTCACCATGAAAATGAAAAAAAGTTAATTAAAGTCCTAAACACATTATTATATGTATAATTAAAGCAGCTATACATGTTGCCTGGTAAGATAATGAAGTGTCACATGCTTCCACTTCACCATCACTGAAAAAGTCAGGTGACAACCAGATGAATTCATGTAAATTGTCTTCCTGCTATGATACTTCAATATAGCATTTGTGAAATTATCTGCATATAACAGTTTAAGGGATTTTGCCAAAGTGCATATATCTTGTGATACCTGTCAGAATTTTCACTGACATTTTTAGTCACCTGCTGGAGGAATTCCAGCTTCTCACTGATACATCTGGGAGTGCATTGAATAAAAAAGAAGTCGGGGGGAGGGGGGATGGGTGAAGGGAAAAAACAAGGAGGCTTAAAAAGATATTTTGTAGTTTTAATGAATCAGTCGAAAAGGGTAAGCAAACAATATTTTGAATTTTGGCCAGATGATTTACAGTAAATCATGAATACTTTATTTCACAAACTTACCTGTTTAGACATAATCGTGAATACATGATTTCACTTTAAATTCATGTGTGCTGAACTATTGGTTATATATTGGTAACCATATCAGCATGCTTGTCATCAAGAGTTAATTTTGTATAAATAATGGTGAAGTATTTGAATTAGCAATTGATTCTCCTTGCGTATTAACACAGAAATAAATCACACACGAAATATGTATGTATAAGTGATTTACAGTAACTTTTCAGTGATGATATGACATTTATAGTTTTGACCAATCAGAGCACATATTTTCCTGTTCAGATGTTATTGACACATAAGTTGAATGAACAAGTTGCTTTATCATCAAATCTCCTGTGTTTATTTAGGATTTTCTTTCATTTGGTACATAAAAACAATTTTGTTATTGATTCTTAGTCCATAACAGCATAAAATGGTTGAATACCATGTAAAACAGAGCTTACTATAGAATGGTATTGTCTTGTTGACATGTAAAAGAATACTACCATCAAACTGTTTGACATCAAATAGCATACTAATTTTTTTTAACACTGGTTTCTTTTATGAAATAACAAGTAAAACTGTCCCTAACTTTGTTGAACACTTGTTTATTTCATGTTTGGTTCAGGTTTTTCTTTAATATCGGTTTATTTTATTTTTTAATTCAATAAAAATAATATTATTTACTCATATGACAGAATAAATGTGTATTTAGGTATTATGTTGTACTTCAGATATATATATATATTTAACAAGAAATCATTAAATGTCCTCTATTTACTGATGATTACGGTATTTTTGGAGACAATTCCAGTCGTCACAAGACCAAATTGTATATACAAGACTGTCTTTCACAGGACCAAACTTTATATAAAGCTCCATTCAGTCACTCTACCAGATCGTATACATATATGTAAGGCTGCTGTTACAATACCAACAGTTTTTCAAGACTCCTATCTAGTATCGTTACCACTCCCAATGTCAGTAAGGACTCCAGGTTTTTGGTGCAAGAATGTCTCCTTTTTCCTTTTTCTTTTGACTGTATTTTGTACAAACCACAACTCCAGCAGAAAGAATGCAGATTTTGATGAAGATACTGACACTTCATGTTCATAAGTTTATGCTTAGAAACATGGTGAGACAAGCTGCTAAAGTTGTCAGGAAGGAAAATAGACAAAAGAAAAACAAATCTAATGCAGCAACGAAATCAGCCCATGTCAACACTTCAGCCTCTTTGTCACAGGGATATACAGGAAAACTTTGTCCTGGTTCCATTTGTCTGCATTCAGTACCAGATTTAAACTCTTCATTGTCTTTGCTTTGTTGAGAATTTATAGTGGGTATGTCTTTTGTGCGTACATCAAGGAAGGAGCTTGAGGTTGGGTTTTGAGATTGGCAGGACACAGAGTGTTGTGGTAAACTGTCTGGCTGTGGAGCTATCTTCAATTTTACATGAAAACAAGTCATTCTTCTAGTGAGTCGTATGAAGCACTGAACACATGAAGGTGCAGTTTCACTGTGTAGATGATTATGCAAACGTACCTGGATCACTGTCACCATGACAATCAGTGTTCCAAGAGAAAGTAGGGCTAGTAAGTAGGCACTCAGGTAGCTTGTTGTCTGGGAGTTAACAGGCAGAGAGCTACTAACAATGGTGAGAAAGACGGCAAATGCTAGGTAAACTGTCATACTGTAGCTGATCTTCTCACCGCTTTCAACAGGAATGATAAAAGTGAAGACCGCAAGAATGGAGAGGAAGAGGATGGGACAGATGATCGTTAGTAAATAATATTGGGGTTTCCTTTTCAGGTCCAAAGACACTTCAATCTGATGAACATCAATTAAACTTACGCTCAGTCTGACTTCAGAGCTAACCATGTCCCACAGTGCATTAGGTTTGAAGGCTTGAAGGGCCACCTTGTCAGAACCCAGATCGAAGCTAGTGACTTCATTTGGTGTAGCCCATGCTCCAAATATCAGTTGGCAGGACTGACTGTCGAAAGGGAAGTTCACAATGTCTATGTAGCAGATTGTCTCAAATACCTCATACGGCTTCCATAAGATTACCCCATCATATCTAATTTGGACTAAGATGACATCGTCTCCTAACTCTGTAAGCTTTGTGAAGCCATTCTGTAGAGTGAGATCTGGTTTCCATACCAGATTCTGTGGCATGTTGAAAGTTTCAATACCACTATAGTCACTAGGATTCCATGTAAGATTTTTGTCTGTCCATGTTAATTCCAGGAATCCTGTTGTTGTTAACTTTTCTTCTACCTCATCCAGAACATTGATTCCATTTAAGTGAAAAGTAAGATATACAGTGATAGGAACTTTGGGGTCAAGCTGTGGAGGAATCAGGCTGTCGTAGTCTCTATTGTTGAATAATTCATCCTTCAGTGTTTTGAGAATAGCTACGGACTGAGACCGGGTTACCACCGACAGTAGTATTACTACTGTATAAACTATCTTCTCCATGCCAGGTATTGGTCAGTCCTGTTTCACTGTCGCTTTAAAGTCTTCCTCCTCAGTCAAAGCTTCGTTACTGATACAGTTACCTATTAACCTGTATTATACCTGCTGATTGATGATAACTATCTGATACGCACCATTGACCACAAACCATTAAGTTGATGATAATTGTTGATCGGAGACTTACCCAATCTTCAGCCTGTATTTATGGAAGGGTTTATCAACTCATTTTTTATGTTTAATAACAATGAATCAATGTAGATGTGTACTAAGTGATTATTGTTCCAAACTTGTTTGTTAATGAGATGCTCAGCCTTGGGGAAATCTATGTTAATTGTATAGGTATTAAAGAGCCTGGCTTTCCATTGTTTACTGTAAATCCTATGGGGGGATCATTGTCACAGTACAAACCTCACATAGGATCTCGTTAACGTTAGCATGCATCACTGAGTTTACTTTTACACAAGCCTCTTCTGATGTGTTAATTATATGGCTTACCTGATGTATAAACAGATTTATTTTATCACTTCAGCAGATACAGACAAATAGTTTCAATCTAGTACATATTAGTACTATAATTGTTGTAATTCTAGCTATATCACTGTTCATTAACAATTTTATGTTTACCATCCCCCAGCAACAGGGCTGTCATAGAGATTTAGTTTTGATATGGTAAACACATAGTTGGATACACATAAACATATGGAGGAAGGGCCTGCAACCCCTTAATATTACGCTCATTGTTGTTAATTAAAATTTTGTGTTGTGAGCATAAACTTTGCTTGCATTAAAACTAGGATAATAAACCATGGTGGATACATTTGTCATACTAAGAGGATGTTCTATGTAACAACCGCAGTATCTGAAACTCCATAATTACAGAATTTTTGCCCTTTGTTAAAATTTTTTGTCAAATAAAGTCATTATTGGGGAGCATTTATCAGTTTCATTGATAATCTTGTCTTAATATTTACCCCATATTATCATATCATGAAGCTCTACACTTTATTATATTAAGGTGGCTATGGGTCCAGGTTAAAGGGTCAAAGGTCACCTTTGACAACTTCTGTAGATTCATTATGTATAGAAACAGGATGATTTGAGGTCTTACGACAGACATTCAATCATCATGGAGTAATCTAGAATATGGGGAATATTACCTGTTGTGGAAAAGGGGGAATTTTTGGCCTATTTTGAGAAATTTCAGTCAGACTTTTTCGTTAGAATTCAAAAGAGGAATATAGTAAACATTTATAAACATACATGAAGATTACATAAATAAAATACAATGTTGTTAAAAGGTAAGATTGATATATCTTGTTCATGGTGCCATGATTTGTAAATATAATTAGTAAAATAATACTAATTAGCTGTTTGGGGGAAAATTTTTCCTATTTTTTTGAAAATTTTCACATGTTTTAAATATATTATCGCGATGGAGAATTTGTTAATATTCAGAGGGGGAAACATACTACTTTGGGAATACTACCTTTCCAGGAAGTAAAATCCTGTCTAGATTACTCCCTAATTATTCACTCATTTGATGGTGAGATAGGGGCATCTTAACTCTTATAGGAAGATTATTAAGTTGCTAACACCACAGAAGCCTCGTGTTTGTCTGTTAATTCATCTTTCTTATTGGGTTGAGATCCCTCAATCACAACTCCAAGGGGATGAAATATTCTTTAAATCTGTGTGGCAGACACATGGAATTAATCTCAATCAATAAATTTACATCATTTTAAATCTTTATTGGTGAATTCACATCTTTCATATTTTCATTGATAAAGTAACATCTGTTTAAAACTTTGTTGATAAATTTACATCATTTTAAATCTTCATGGATAAAGTCACATCTTTTATACTTTCATTGATTAAGTGACAAGTTTATAATGCATATGTATGAGATTGAATTGTGATTAATGGGAAGTAACTCCATTGTTTTCCACAGGTAAGGAGATCTTTGTGGGCGTTGGTTCTGATGAGAGGAGTAATGAAAGAGGGGCCAATGCAATAGCCAGTGTTTTCCCTGAGTACAACGTTACACCCATTAAAATGAGGGGGGATGTTCGCCTCAAGTCCCTAGTGTGTATGGCCGGAAGAGACATCATAGCTTGTGGCAACAGTCCCATGGCCCTCAATGTACTCAACGTAAGTCCTACAGTGGTGCAATGTAATACAGACAATACCCAAGATCTTTATGTTAGCAAGTGTACAGAATAATACACAATACAATTATTAAAGACACATGAATATATTTATAGGGATTTGATGTGTCAAGAACCCATTTATAGACTTTAAGTATTTGTTGTTTACAGCAAATCCGTACCACTGCTCAGTACAGCTACAAGATCCTAAAGCTGGACAATGACCGTGCAGCCAACATGTTGTATGTAAACGGACGACTTATACATCGTACACGAAGTGAGATTGGAGAGAAGTGCTACAGTGTGAGTATTTGCACTGACCCTGTACACGGTAACCTTACAGTACAACACTGCTAAAAACGCCAATATATTCTTTACAACTAAAACATGATACACCAACAACATAGACAGCTGTTCACTGGCAGCATTCAATTTGATTGACAGTATTCTTCTACTCTATTTTATCTTGATGAAAATAACTGTTTAAATCAATTTTATTCCCTCTATGACTTCACATGGCTGTGTTTTTGTCCTGTCTGTTTGTCTGGAAACTAAAACACACCTGTAAAACTAAAACACACCTGTCAGTGGGTGTTTTCGCTGAGCCAATCAGGCAATAAGTAGTAAGAGTTTTTTACGGTAAACATTGACAATTAATGTGCACATGACATGACAGGTGGGCGGAGCTTGTTACAGATGCTTACAAATTGCAGACAACACTTTTTCTTAACTATATCATTCTTTGGTTACACTTTGCATTCAATTTCATTTCCATCATAGCTTATGCTTTACAAATATAATCTATTTTAAGTTTTAAAAAAATCACCAAAGTTTAATTTGGTATAATGATATAGCTTGGCTTTTAGAGATTTATTTTTTAGGTTTATCTTCCCTGTCGACAGCCAGACTACATAATCTGACTTTTGTCTGTCCCTAAAAATTTGAGAATAAGAATAGATCTAGAGATTTGGGCGGATGAGAAGAGAAAAACTTTATTCTTGATAATACAGCTGAATCAAGTTAAAATAGAAATATGTATATCGGATAGGTTTTGCATAATTACCCGTAATTTATATGTATGGAAGAATAAATAACATGTACAACAAAAAGAAAGAAATGGACAATATTGTATTATGTGCTGTCAATTTTCATGAAAACACAACTGTATAGATTAATTACATTTGAATACATACACCCTCTATAATAACACCACAACATCTGTACACATACACCCTCTATAATAACACCACTTCATCTGTACACATACACCCTCTATAATAACACCACTACATCTGTATACATACACCCTCTATAATAACACCACAACATCTGTACACATACACCCTCTATAATAACACCACTAATACACACACCACTACATCTGTACACATTCACCCTCTATAATGACACCACTACATCTGTACACATACACCCTCTATAATAACACCATTATATCTGTACACATACACCCTCTATAATGACACCACTACATCTGTACACATTCACCCTCTATAACACCACTACATCTGTACACATACACCCTCTATAATAACACCACTTCATCTGTACACATACACCCTCTATAATAACACCACTACATCTGTACACATACACCCTCTATAATAACACCACTACATCATAGATCTACTATATCTGTACACATAAACCCTCTATAATAACACCACTACATCTGTACACATACACCCTCTATAATGACACCACTACATCTGTACACATTCACCCTCTATAATGACACCACTACATCTGTACACATACACCCTCCATACACCCTCTATAATAACACCACTTCATCTGTACACATTCACCCTCTATAATAACACCACTACATCTGTACACATTCACCCTCTATAATGACACCACTACATCTGTACACATTCACCCTCTATAATAACACCACTACATCTGTACACATTCACCCTCTATAATAACACCACTACATCTGTGCACATTCACCCTCTATAATAACACCACTACATCTGTACACATACACCCTCTATAATAATACCACATCTGTACACATACACCCTCTATAATGACACCATTACATCCGTACACATTCACCCTCTATAATGATACCACATCTGTACACATACACCCTCTATAATAACACCACTTCATCTGTACACATTCACTCTCTATAATAACACCACATCTGTACACATACACCCTTTCAGTACTGTAGCACCAGTGTTTAGCTGTCTTATCACACCAACACTTGCACCAACAGTGTCATCACTATCTCAGTACCAGACTTTGTCATGTTTCTTGTTTTACAAACCTTCTCTTCTAAGTGCTTATGATTTCAGCAGAGCTTTGGTTGTTGGTACACTGTACATGTGGAAATGGGACGTATTTTGGAATCAAAAACCTGTTTTGATTACTAGATGGGAACCAGTGTTGTCCCTGTAATATTTATCAAACTTTTACATTTTTTAGTTGAAATCACAGGTTGGATTTCTTCTATGAAAAGAGAATAGCCTTACACCTTTGTATTATTCCATTATTGATATCTAGTCAGTGTTAGTTAAAGAGAGGAAATGATTATTACCAGGGAAAACCTGATATGTGATTGAAAGAAAATCACTTAGTTGTAACACCCAAGGGCAATAACTCTATCAGCTTTATTAAAATTCTTCATCAAGGGCAGTTACTCCCAAAGTACAGTGTATTATCACTTGATTGAATGTGTTCATTTTCTTTCACCTATCACCTGTCCCCAGGAGATACAGGATAAGCTTGACCAGGTCCCCCACCATGAAATCAGCTTCAAGGAAATGAGCAAAGTTGGTGGCAGTGTAATCAACACCGTGCTGTTGGTGTTAAAAACGAAACACCACAAGAGTGTGGTGTCTACCCTGCCCTGACAGGGGTCAGGTATCTACTCCGCATGCTTATGTCTACCCTGTCCTGACAGAGGCCAGGTCTCTACTCCGCATGCTTGCCACAAGTTTTTGACACCCTTCAGAGAAGCATTATTGCTTCTCTTTGCATTACTTTTTAATCTTTCATGTTTTTGTTTTTGTTATACTAATCTGTTTTTCATTTTTAAGTTTTTGTCTTTATTGATTATAGAATGGGAATGCTCTCTGGATTATGTCTTTGTCATTTCAACATTTTACTTCTAATAAGTTTCAACAAAATTAGTAAATATGCATTTGAACGCGGCATATTTTCTTTGTATGTCTAGTATATATATGTAGTATTGAAAATGACTGTCAATGTGTCTTTCATGTCAAACACCTTCTTTCTACAAAACTTGACTCAGAATATGGCCTTTTACTGATGTTACAGCATCCTTAGATAAAAAGACAGTCTGACATGAAGAGCAGTTATTTGCGTAATAACCTGCTGTGTAGAGAATGATCTTGGCTCTTTGTTGTGATCTAATTCTTTCCTTTAGTAAGACATGTTATACTGTAGACATGGACCTAATTTCAGTTATGATTTAAGATAAAGTAAAGTTTTGGCGATAATTTAGTTACAGTGCATACTCTCAAATCTCGCTTATACATGAACCAACACTTCAGAAATCTTGCAATCAAGCCAGAATTATAGAAGATGGATTTCCTCGACTATATCTGAAAAAGACAAACCAGAAATTCTGTTGCTTTCCTTTATGCTGTCTAAAATCCTGTCCTGAAATGCTGTTTCATTTTTATTTGAATTTCATTTCTTGGTCTTTATAACAACTGTTGCTCATCCAGTCCTTTGAACAATGTGTCTTAATTCATTGTCAGAGCTTCCATTAATTTGTCTGCTTATTTACCCCCACATGATGAATGGTGTTTGACAAATGTGTTCCATCTGTCTCTGTCCGTCTATCTGTTAGAGACGGTGTCTTAAGCATGTCTCAGCAGTTAAGTCATGAATTTCTTGTCTGTGTGTCTTCAGGACTAGTCAGGCCTTTGCATTGTGAAACAAAAAAACAAATAGTCAAAATCACTACATTAGTTGTATCTGGGGCAGAGTAGCAATGTTCTCCTATAGTTATGCATAATGTTTTACCTGGAAAGTTGGTAGTTTGTATAATGTTCGGCTTGTCAGAGAATATAGATAACTGTTAGGAATGTAGTTTTTATATATAGACTGCATGTTTATTGTTTTCTGTTGGAATGCCTGTATGTCACAAAGCATCATAACAATGACTTCACTGTTCATCACCTGATTCTGCTACTCACATCATATTTCAATCTTTCTAGTTGTAATGTTGAACCGTTACTAGGATACACTGTGATAAACAAGGTCAGGATGCTACTCCAGGAGTGTCTGATATTGACTGAGTAATGATAAATTTGTTTGTACTGGAAGAATACTCAAAGTTGTCACAAATGACCTACTTAGCATATATTTATATATATCTTCCTTGATGTTGGGGGAGGGGGATGTGGGGTTACCACAAAAGTTGGCTAAACAACTATGTGTACACTGTCCGTACTATTTCATTGGTGGTAAATAATATGTAATTATACAAATATCTATTACCTATGTATATAGATAAACATGGGATTTTTTTTGTGTTGTAGGTGCTGGATGAGAAGATTACATATGTTAAACATAGACAGGATATCACTGAAATGTCCAAAGCCCGTGGCACACTGTCCAGTATGGTCCTCTTTATCAGTAAACACAGACTTCATAAGGAGATGATATCCAACATCGGCCCCCAGGATCTGACTGCATACACGGAGGTGTCCAACTTCTAATTTATTATTGTGTAATACATTCCTGATCATTGGCTGTATCGGCCGAGACATACCTGTATATAGCAAGTCCTGCGTTATCTTACACTGTCTGCAACTGATATTTGTAATCGTTTATCAATATGATATAGAATCAATATGATATAGAAGCTACGATAATTTAAAATATCATTGTCAAATCATCAATTGGACAAACATTGTTCCTGAAATTTTAGGTGCCATATAAATGATTATGTACATTTTTGTTGTATGGAAACTGCCAAAAATCTTTAGAAATGTGTGTGTGCAGAGGTACTTTTGGTGGAGTGAGCTCAATTTTTCTTTTTAATCTAAATCTCTTACCTCATTTTTTAGTGGTTTTGTTCCTGGCTCTCTAGAGTTGTACTTCTTACTATCACATTGGTGAAATTGTTATTAATAAAATAATTTTATTATCATTATTTTATCATTTACATAAGAATATGTCTTAGAGCCCTTTGAACAAAAGCTTTTAAGGGAGAATAACCCATGTTAGCGCCAGGTAAACATGCCACTGCCAGCATCCATTCCAGAGCCACTCCAATTCATTAAAGCCATTTACCTTTTTATGAAAGTGGATATTTCTGAGATTAGTCTAATTTCGAAACACTTAACATTCAGACATAAGTTTTTAAATTCCTTTAAGTAGTGTCGGGTGGATGAGAAGTGTTGGACCTTGTCAGACATGTATGATATATAACTGTACTTTTAAACGTCGTTAATTCAGTGGCATTAAGATCCTCTGGAGAAGTATTGATACCAGACTTTATAGCTATATATATACATTTGGGTTGTGTAAACAGTCATGGATACAGCTTTATATACAGGGCTACATATACAATTTGTTTTAGATCATGTTTAACCTGCTTTTATAAAATATGTTATATAATTGTTTTGCTTGATTTTCTGGGCTTAAAAAAAAAGAAGATAATTGTTCTGTGTATTGTCTCCCCCCACCCCACCCTCTACACACTGATAACCTAGGATTGGTCGAAGCAGCCATTATGCATTGATAAATATCATACCTGTTGTTAGAAGTGACGTACAAATTGTCATCAGAAACCGGCTTCAGTACTACTCTCACTTACCATATAGTATAGAAGTAATGTACAAATTGTCATAGTTACAAGCACCTCATTAGAGATCTGTCACCATAGCGACATGTCAATATCTGATCAAAGGCATTTGACCATGTTAATGTCTCTGTGCATGGTTATAGATATGTCACCATTTGATGTGTCAATACATGTGTATGGTTATAGATATGTCACCATTTGATGTGTCAATACATGTGTATGGTTATAGATATGTCACCATTTGATGTGTCAATACATGTGTATGGTTATAGATATGTCACCATTTGATGTGTCAATACATGTGTATGGTTATAGATATGTCACCATTTGATGTGTCAATACATGTGTATGGTTATAGATATGTCACCATTTGATGTGTCAATACATGTGTATGGTTATAGATATGTCACCATTTGATGTGTCAATACATGTGTATGGTTATAGATATGTCACCCTTTGATGTGTCAATACATGTGTATGGTTATAGATATGTCACCATTTGATGTGTCAATACATGTGTATGGTTATAGATATGTCATTATCGTGTCAGACAGTGGTGTTATATTTTGTATTTTTGGTGCAGGAATCAACACGTGTTGTAATTTCCTTCTAACTGAACAAACATATGATAACTAATATCTATAAATATACCGTTAGTATGAGGAGGACCTATAGTTTCATCATGCCTGTGACATACAGTTGGAAGAATTCAGCTTGAATTGGAAGTCAAATTATCATTTTATAATTTTAATTTCATCATAGGTATCTTGGGGAAATAGTCTTCGAGGATATTTGGTACTAATCTATTTTCTTGAGCAATTTTTTTTGCTGCTATTAACAACAGAGTTGATGTTGTATTAGGTGCAGTAGGGTGGTTGGCAACTATTTACAGATAGAGATGTATGGGAGTGATGTAGAGGATTTTATATGGCCTACCAATCATACAAATGGGAAGCCTTCATTTTATTTTCTCCAATTTTGTTTTATTCATATACCCCATGTTTTTTAATTTGTTCAAGTATGATTTTAAATTTTAATATGTATCATGTTATAAGGTTGTTGTATGTGTAGGATCATGTTGGATCATAGTGGGAAATAAAAAAAAAAACCTGAAACAGTATATCCTTTCATGTCTCCGGCGTCAACTCTCTGTCTACACATCACCATGGTAATGAAGCAGTTTGATGTGAAAATTGAGGGCTTCAGAATGATATCTACCCGTCAAAAAGTGTGTAAATCTTAAACAATATCGGTTGTATTCCTACTTATTTATAATGCCGTAAAGAAGTTTTACTATGTCCAATGAGTTGTAAATCCATTTTAAAACATGTTTTGTGGGGTTCCTCTTGTAGTTTATTGACCGAGATATACATTTTTATTCCGCTATTTAATGAATGATTTTGTCGTCCATATTGCTTGTGTTGTACTTTTATGTCATATTGAACTGCAATATTATATTATACTTATTGTTGTAAAAAGCCTGTCCTGTACATGGGGTATGTAATAGCACAGATATGTTAAATCACATGTTTGTGATATGACATGTGGTGTGACTTGTATGTAATGCAACATGTATGTCGTTTAAAATGTACAAGTTGTGACACATATCTGATGTGACACCTGTGTTGTGAGATGTATATGTTGTGTGACACATGTTGTGACACATGTTGGTGACATATATGTGTTGTGTGACACATACATGTTGTTACACATGTGGTGTGACACATACATGATGTGTCAGCCCTTTTAGTGTTTACAGAAACCACTATACCCCATGTACTGTGAACACAGGTTTTATTATGCATGCTTCAAATTAGAATTAGAAAAATACAGATGCTTTGTCCTTACAAGATGTTTCCTGTTCAGTTAATTACTAGGTTTTGATAATGATGATATTCTACCCAGGAATATGACTGCCTTCATTGGGAATGAATCTCACAACTGCCATGTAGAGCTTGCCAAATGTGGCTGAAAATCCAAACAACATACTAGCTTGTCATTTTTCAGTTAAGTGAATGGCACAAAGTTTACCAGAGGTGTTATATTTGGCACAGAGAGAGCATGTTACAAAATCATAATCGACTTTTTCTACTGAAAAAAACGTTATTTCTACTAATAAAAAAAATGGCATTTATTAATATGGGTTTTTGAATTATTCTATGTTTGACTAGTGTTTTTTTTATTTATTTATTTATTTTTTTTTGAGATGAAGAAGACCTGTGGAATGCACATTGCCGACTGATAGCTACAGATATGTACCTATCACTAGGGATGCACAAGAGTAGGCATTATAATATTCTTATCCAGGTTCCATATACCAGTCATACCCCAAAATATCCCACATACCACATAACATCTCCATACCACAGATATCTCCCATACCACAGATATCTTCAAGATATCTCCCATACCACATATATCTCCCAAAAAAAAAATACCACATAACATCTCCATACCACAGATATCTCCCATACCACAAAATATCTCCTTTATCACAAAGCATTCATTCCCCTTACCTAAAAACATCTTGCATACAACAAATCATCTGGTACTACAAAACATCACTCATACCACAAACTATCTCTCATACCAAAACATTTCCCATACCCAAAAAAATCCCTCGTACTACAAATTATCTCGCATACAACAAGCCAACTCGCACCGCAAACATCCCTCATTACACAAACACAACCTTCATTGAAGTGTATGTATATTTTGTACATGTCGTCAGTGAACATGTGTACTTGAACGACATTCAGTCAAGTTGTATACGTGTTCACGGCCGACAGTGAACGTGTTTATATGTACAAGTCATACAGTGAACGTGTATACATGTACACGGCCTACAATGAACGTGTATACGTGTACACGACATACAGTGAATGTGTATACATGTACACGGCCTACAGTGAACGTGTATACGTCATACAGTGAACGTGTGTACGTGTACACGGCCTATAGTGAACGTGTAAACGGCCGACTGAACGTGTATACATGTACACGGCCTACAGTGAACGTGTATACGTGTACACGGCCGACAGTGAACGTGTATACGTGTACACGGCCTACAGTGAACGTGTACACGGCCGTCAATGAACGTGTATGTTTACCGTGTAAACGGCTTTAGTGTACGTGTATACCTTATGAATGTTCTTAAACGAACTACATCTATATACTGATAAATGGCCTTCGGTGTAACAGTTTATTTCGTCACAATCCACTTTTAAATTGAACGCAAAATCAATTAGTTAGTTAAAACAAAAACGTTCCCTATCCCATTAGTTAGGAGGGGCTAGTGTTTTTACACCTGTTAGATCGTTGTTATACTTCTAATTTCGAGTTATTGCGAGGAAAACAATACCAACATGTCTCTGGAAAGAAATGAACAGATCGTTATTAGGTTAATATGTCACTATAGAGACTGGACCCTTAAATACTAGTCTGTCGAGTAGGTAACAACGGCTGGTCTTTTACCACGGTTACACCACGTCCGAATACATGGAGGGAATATTATAAGGGAAATATATATAGACATGTTTTAGACTCTGCCACTATTTAGTTTTTTCGTTACTGCCGTGTCATCATATTTGGCTAACAAATATCAATTATCATCACCATCGACTTCATTATATATGTAGTTTCAAAGACAGCCATTCAGTCGGCGATTTGTTATGTGGTCAAACTGTCTTCACAAGCACGGTAAAGACAAAGCTGTGTGTCACGTGACTGTGTTACTGAAGCACACTGACAGCGGAGTCGCAGCTAGCTCCAGATTCTTGTCAGCGTTCCAAGTTAACACGTTTTGTTTAAGGTTGGAGATCTAGCGATAGTCTGGCGGGAGACAAAGAGAGCTTGGCTATAGCTTACCCGATTTCTGCCGATATCACCTGTATGACAGACCCACACGTCAACAGCGAGCCTCCCAAAACTATCATGGCTGACCGACTGACATGATTAGTGGATTTGGTTAATTAGCTGTTTAAATATCGGTATGTTTGATTGTTCTCAGTATAACGGAATTCTCACCTTTCCCACAAAACGGTTGAGGTAATTTGTTAAAATATCTGTCAAACTCAGACACGCAGATCGGACAGATTATTCGGGGGAGAGCTATCACCCCGATGATGTCATGCTTATGTCATTGCCACAATATGCTTAGTGTTTGACCTATCCGTCCGGTCCGTCCGTAAATCTTCGTAAATATTTGCATTGAACTTAATTACTGTACACTGCGCGGAAAGTAGGTTCCAAGGGTAGCTGTGACCTATATTTTCATAGCCGGACTTTCACGGTGAAAGTTTGTGGAACAAGCTGGACTTGGTAGGCTGGTTGTTTTTCGAGCATCACTCGGGTTTAAGAATAATTAAAACTAGAGGTACATTTTCTTTGAACATTATGGTATTGTGTATCAAAACAGATAACAAGTCATCAGTGAGTAAATCAAACTGCGCTCTCTGAGTGACAACCACCGTGTCTGATAACCGGGCGGTAATTAATCGTGTTTTATGAGTATCATTATCTCTTACGACATCGCGAAGCCGTAAAGCGGAACAGGGTTATGTTTCATTGCAGTATATTGTGAGGGTGTAATCAGATCAACGCCATCATAATCTCTGTGTTGGGCGTAATGCGGCGACGTTTTGCTTGTGATTTGGTCATCAAAGGAGTACTTTACCAGGTTCGAGATTCCACTTGTTTAGTATTTGGTAAAGAAACAAATAAGGAAATATGGCGACCCCTCTTGTTCCACAGCGAGGACCATGTTTCTGAATACATGTACAAAACGAAAAGTCGGTTAAAAGTTTTATGGATAGTTGGTCACCATTTGTCGGTCACAATTTTTACGGGTTGTTTGTCGCCATTCGCCAGTCACTTTATTTTCCGATAATCCGTCACCATTTCCCGGTCATTCTATTGTCTGATAATCCGTCACCATTTCCCGGTCATTCTATTGTCTGATAATCCGTCACCATTTGCCGGTCATTCTATTGTCTGATAATCCGTCACCATTTCCCGGTCATTCTATTGTCTGATAATCCGTCACCATTTCCCGGTCATTCTATTTTCTGATAATCCGTCACCATTTCCCGGTCATTCTATTTTCTGATAATCCGTCACCATTTCCCGGTCATTCTATTGTCTGATAATCCGTCACCATTTCCCGGTCATTCTATTGTCTGATAATCCGTCACCATTTCCCGGTCATTCTATTGTCTGATAATCCGTCACCATTTCCCGGTCATTCTATTGTCTGATAATCCGTCACCATTTCCCGGTCATTCTATTTTCTGATAACCCGTCACCATTTCCCGGTCATTCTATTTTCTGATAATCCGTCACCATTTCCCGGTCATTCTATTTTCTGATAACCCGTCACCATTTGCCGGTCAGCAATTTCCTTGTAGTTCGTCACCGTTTGCCGCTCAGTGCTGGAGAGAACTAGCCGCAGTGTACCACTCGGACAGAGAACAGTAAGCCAGAGGTCCCGAGTTCGAATCATAGCGGGGGTATCGAAAGAAATAATGACCTCTGTTACACTGGGCCCCATAGTTGGTTACTATTGACACTGTTTTTCTTGTTAGTTGGTCACCGTATACCGGTCACAATATTTCCGTATAGTTGAGAACCATTTGCCAATCATTTTTTGCAGAAATTAGGTCAGCATTTGATGGCCATCATATTTCGGAATACTGCATCATCGTATCGAGACAGTCGGTCATCTTAACCAAATAACACCGGATTATCTGTTCCAGCACAATGAGTCGGCTCAATGTGAAGAAACTCCGATACCCGCCATGTATTTTTGTAATTTAAGGCAGTAATGTCACGTTCTGAAATGAGAAAAAGGTAAACAGCAAGACAGCCATCAGGACTAGATAGAAGACCGCCATTTTTGTGGATAGCTATATAAAGTCATTATATTTTCTGAACTTTGATCACAAATTCGTATTTTTCTCGAAAATTTGTTGTGTCTTTGTGTCAGCAAACGAAATTACATTAATGTATCGTAAAGAACTCTTCAATATTTTATATCTTGTACTTTATCGTTACTTTACGTTTACCCGTTTCTATATCTGTTAGAATTGTTTTGATGTGTAACAAATCTATTACCATCGTTCTCAGACATATATTTTCAGGGCGACACTCGAGCTATCCCCTGGTCAATGTTTTGTTACCTAATTATGTACCGAGACAATTACGTCATCTCCTGTTAATGGTTTAGTGTATGTGTTTCTTTATACCGGAAATAGTTTACTTATATTATTTTTACCTAGGGTAACGCCTCTTTTGTGTCATTAATCCCTATTATTTACCTGTCTAGATGTTGGTATGGACAATGGTCAGCTCCGTTCTATATATTGGATTTGGAGACCTATCTGTTGGATTACCAACCAGCAAAGGGACAACACTACAGGTTACCGAGTGTGATTAGAACTATTCTATCTCATTGGATTTGTGGTTTTTACATAGCTGGACTTCCATGTATATATATATTGGAATACCAATATACACTGACTTAATTATCATCACTCTCAAATCTATCATCATATTGTGATTTACAAATTTAAAACAAATGGTTTAAAGAATAATACCCATCATCACAAACGAACTTTGAACTTCTTGTTTTGCGTCTCATCACGCAATATACCAGACAAATCCTAAAAAAGTGAACACAAAAAATGCCCTGGCACATGCATACTTCATTTATTGTAAGTGTGTAGCGTTGTAAATATAATCAAACTTTAAAAAAAACACACACAGTGGAAACTACTTCTGTGTAGCTAGAGAGAGAAGGTAGACTGTTTGTCTACCCCAAACATATAAAGACACAGAGCTGTTTATGGACCGGATTATACCGGGGTCAAGGGTGACTTCTTTAAGTTGTCTACTAACACAGACTGACGGATGAATAAAAAGGAAAAAACTGTGCAGAGATAAAGTAAATATTGTGTGGTTAAGGGGATTGATCCCTGTGTAAATTAGTATAACGTAGTGCGTTTGTTTTATATCGATACGACAAAAGACGGAGTAACCCCCCACCCTCCCCCACGAAAGGCCACTGTGACAGCAATTTACCGTATAACGAAGAGCAAATCATTACACCACCATCCCTACCCACTAAACACAAAACCACCGC